AACTACGGCTTTAAACTTCCCCTTGATAACCCCCCCGCTAACGAACTAGAACCCCCTTGAAGCTTTGTATTTTGTGCTAAACCTACCAAAACAACTTTCACAATCGGAGAAATCGTCTTCCGCCTCGAAACGTAGATTATGCAAATCAAGTGGTGCAAGATGATTACAGGCGGCCTAGCCAGTGATAGCCACTCCAAAATCGTTAGGTTCTTCACGGTCATCCGGATCCTGGAATATATCGGAAGTGTCGGGACGGGTGCTAGGGCGCAGGCTCTTTTTGATGGGCGTGCGAATTTTTTCCACGTCTTGCAAAATTTTTAAAGAAATTTCACGCACCATGCCCAATCACGGGTTTGTGAATGCTCCATGTGGACCAGAGTCGTGTTGAAAGTGTACCTTAACCTGTTAAAATGGAGGTGGATTTCAAGAGATCTTTTGAGAGAGAGAGAGAAAACAGAGAGACAACCCACAGAGTGCAAAACGCTGACAGCCAAAACGCAGACAGGACAAAACGAGAGAGCAAAGAGAGAAAGCCGAGAGAGAGAGAGAGAGAGAGAAGAGAGAGGAGAGTGAACAGGAGAGAGAGAGCGCGCAAGAGAGAGAGCGAGAGAGTGATAGAGAGAGAGAGTGATAGAGAGAGAGAAGGAGAGTGAGAGAGAGAAAGCGAGTGACAGATATTTCTTACATTGTCAGAGTCAAATCGGGCCTTTGCAGCTATTTACAAGCAATTGAAATACCAGCAAATGATCAGGTCTCATTACCGTATTACGTAGAAGTTTCCTGAATATTTCACTAAAACCGTAAAAAAATACCCTTAAATGCACACAAAATATGGTTTGCTGATACGACGAATTTCCAAAGACCCGCTTGCTAGTCATGCTCTTCCTTCAGTCTATTTAAAAAATCATTCTTGGAAAAGTATACAGCGTAAAGTACCACTAAACAATTTCATTTTCAGGGATCCCGTGTGCCTAAAACTGCCTTAGTAGAAACCCTAGATTTTCCGCTGGAGCCTCCAAGATAGAATTTCCCAGTCTTAAAACTGGAAATTTATAGATTTGGCAAATGCAAGATAACCTATGAGAATAATTGCGTATTGTCGTGGTCAACTACCAAGGATTGTCCGAGAAAACAGCAGGTGCTGCTTAGGCAGTAGGTTAATTAGGTAAGTAGGCGGAGAGCGAGTTCCGCTTCACCTGTCCTTCAAGGCCTTCGCTGAGTTCAGAGCAAATTTTTGTGAGGAATCTGTACCGAGCCTTGGCTGTTATAATAAAAAAACTGGCTGGTATTTTAAAGCCGGAAGTTGGCAAAAACCAAGCATAATAATTTATTTATGATTAATGCCGCAGCACCAAAATATAAGGAGTAAATTTGAAGTATTCCAGCCATTTGGCGGTCATTTGGATACACTGTACGGTGACGGTGTTGACGCTGAAAAAGGAGCAAGTCCAAGCCGCTGTTGTTTCTGTCGATCCCTTTTCTCTCTCTCACGAATTCTCGGTCTCTCTGTCTCTCGACCTCTCTCCCTCTGTCGCTCTCCCCCTCTCATTTTCTCTCTCTCTCTTTCTCTCTTTCTCTCCCTCGTTTTCTCTGTCTCTTTCTCTCTCTCTCTCTCTCTCACTTCCATCTTTGTTTAAGGCATCAAGTTTCGCTTACCCTCCCAAAAAATTGAAGGATACGGTCGCCAACAGGAAGAAAAAACTAAATATAATAAAACAAACAGCAAGGTGCTTCTCGACAGAGCGTTTTTGTTGCTAAAAGAATCTTGATTTTTTTAAATTGCTTAGAAATGAACCTTTTTCACCGGAAGTGGATGCGCTTGTAGTTGAATGCTAACTCGAGATAACGAGCGTTTAGAATTTTTGGAGGTTTCTGAAGGTTGACGGATTTTCTATCGGGTGACAGCGCTACCGTACCGCTTGTATGAACTGCTGAAGAAACACTGATAATTCGACATAGTCTATTAGTGCGGCGAAGTCGATTCCTTTGTAGAAAATAGATGACATAGAGGTCGGCAGAAATGATGGAGAACAGGCAGAAACCCTGGAAAAAAGATTTATTTTTAGCTTTTGCTTAACGTTTTCCTAAAGAATCGTTGCTAGTTTGCTTCAGCTAAGCTTTACTGAAGTTTGTTAGCCTAACGTTAGCCATTCCAAAATTTCCAATACCAAATTCTACCTCTGAAGTTACAAGAACTTCTTCTAATGTTGAATTTTAACATGGTACTTCCCAAGGCTATGCATTTTGGAAACAGGGAACTGAAGCAAATCAATATTAAAAACTTACCTGCGATATCCAATTCCAATAAAAATAGATAATCGATCCAAGCCTTTCGAATTCAAATACCCAGTAATAACCTGGTATGTTATAGACGAATCCGACAAAATCGGTAATCAAGGGGAGTGATACTACTGAAAAACCCTCGTCATCCAGTTTAGGAAAAAATTTCATACGAGCTGCCAAAAGCAAGATGATAACAATAGTGATATTAAAAGTTTTGCTGGGCATCCGTCGAAAATGGGTAAAATCGTAAATTGACCACAGGTGTAAAAAGGCCATGTAGCAGACAAGTCCCAGGATACCGTACCTAAAAATATCGATTTTTTTTATTCTAAAAATATGTGCTAACCAGCGCTGACCCTGGGTGAAGACGACGAAGTTCAGGAGGATATCGGCTGAAATTACAGGATAAAATTTGTATTTTGATCATTCCAGGGATGGGTCAAATTCGGCGAAACTTACAGTATACTTCGCGCCCTAACAACTTGGCCAAAAAGTCGTGCAGTGAGTCGGGGAAGATATTCAGCAAGTCGAGCGCGAAAATCGTCTAAAAATCAAGTTTTGCATGTTTTGAATCCTGGTATCTGGTTAAAAATTAGAAGTAGAAAACTAGAAAATCAATGTTGCGAGTTTATAACCTGAAAAATAGACAATTAGTTAGCTAATTACAGTAAATTAATTAATTAAATAATATAAAATATCTTTGCAATATAAAAATTAAATTCGAAAAAATCAATTTAGAAAATAATTAAAATATGTTAAGATTTATTTCGATTTTCAGTTTGTCATTGCTTTTGTAATTTTTCAAGGAAGCTAGGCCGCGATTCCCGCAAGATTTAACATTTTTAGCCTAGCATGTTCCAAATCTAAAAAACCCACCAAAACCACCTTCACAATTGGCGAAATCTCTCTCCTCTTGACGGCGTAGCGTATGCAAATTATATGATGGACTATCACGACCGGGACCCTGGCTAGTAATATCCAGTCTACAGGGCTAAAATTCTCCGCAGTCATGGTAATGGGGGAAGCCCGGCTTGAAATGGCAAAAACTCGGCTGCCACCCGGATCTGCCGAATTTGTGATCACCGCGGGAGTGTCAGTAGGCTTGTGGGGGGATTTTGCAGAGTGCGTAGTCGAGGCTGTGGTAGCGGTGTTTGTGCCCGCCGTGTGTCCTTGGGTATCCCACCGTGCTTGTACTTATATGAATTGTCAGGCTACAGAAAGTTTGCCGCCCGATCGTTCAGTGTAACTTAACGTCGGGCCAAGATTTTCGTGTGAAAGCAGGATGATAAGTATTCACGTGGTTTCGAGGAATGTTGCGTGATGTCCACAGTGTTAGCTAAAAATTAGCGGTTTGTCTCGTTTGGTTACAAGCTACATCTAAGCGTAATTATGTCTAGCCAGAATTTGATGTTACAAGGGCGAATAAAAATTTCAAGCACCAGATGTGACGCCTTGGTTCCTCAAAAGTACAATAAAAATTTTCCGAATTTTCTTGGTATCGTAAAGCAGCTGATGGCTTGCCTTTGGTCATTGAGAATGAAACTTAAATTGTCGTAATTCGTGCACTTTAATAGCCATGAACTATCGAAATTGAGTCTGCTTTTCCTGTTCCACCTAGTAAGGAGTAGTGCTCTAAGGAAATAACGGGAAGTATGATACCTGCCAGTTTTCATCCCTTTATCAGGTCGTGTCTGCGGATCTTTTGCATTATCGGGGGGAACAGAATATCAACGTAATACGGAGCGCTTTAATTAGACTTCCAGTAAAATTAACTATATTTCACGTGGAACAAATTACCTAAAAACCTAGGAAATTTGGAGGTTTTGGTCAAAATCCTGCATTTTTGGCCAAAAATCGATTTTCTGTAGCCTTTAAAAAGATTTCTCAACTTCAAAAAAATTCAGGGAAAATCAAAAAGGCTTTAGAAACTCTTGCTGTATTTATATTAAGCAAATTCAGCACTACAGTAAGCTTGCAAAATCCATGGCGTGACCATGGAGGCCAGAAGGCCAGTATGCCCTGCCTTGTTGGCCCCTTTAAAGATCTGAAATTGGGTTTCTCCTTTCAACACTTCCGACTACGTTATGCCCTTTTTTAAGTTTCTGATTTGACGTTCCCACCAAACCTCGCCTCTTTTCCGGAAGTAAACTATGAGCGCTTCAAACAGCTTCCTTTTCGTCACGGAAATGAACTTGTTGAGCACGAGAGAAAATTCACACCCCAATAAAACGTGCTGTCGAAAAGTGATCGCGTTAGTTTTTCCACATCTATTTCCGGCTTGTGGAACTGGTACCGTACCTCAAAAAAAAAGACATTTAGAAAAACTCGCCACCAATTTGGGCGAATTAGCAGAGCTTGAAGAACCTGTGAAAAAATTTGTCAATTTGCCTATATTTAGGAACGGGAATTGGGAAAGGTGGAAAAGTACAAGCTTGCAAAATTTCCTAGCTAATGCCGAAAAGTTATACCGTGAATTTCAAAATTTTCTTCCAATTTTGCGAAAAATCCTTGGCGCCTACGCGTTCGCAGCAATTTTATGATCAGCTACCCCCGAAACTGCTTGAAAAATCCTATCGAATGCTGTCTCTGCCTCCCTCTCTCTCTCTCTCCTCGCCGGTCCCACTCTTTTAAAAATTTGTGACGGGCTTTTTCTCCCAACCCGTTAATTTGGGGGAAAGGGAAAAAGGCATGCAATAACATTTCAAAAACGTTGAAAAATGAGCCACATCAGGTTTGGGATTTTAACTTTTAGACTTCAAGTTTAAGTTTCAAATTCCAGTCTTGCTATTTTCGACTCCATCAGTTCCGGGTCCACCGCGCTCGAGCATCTGATAGTTCCGAAATAAACTATCCGCTTGGGCGGCGGGGGCAATATTTATCGGCCCTTCCTTCCGCGTTCTCCAGGATTTCACAAAATGTTTCCATTTCTATCTATTTTTTTATTCTCGGCCACTATTAAGGCAGAACCGAAATATGGCCCTGAAATCGTTGCCGAGACGAGCTTGGGGCGAATTTTGGGCGAGATAGTGCAGGTGGGAAACTAATCAACATAAATGGTGGAGGGCATACTGTATGACAAAATTTCGGGCTGCATTTCAGGCTGGCCAGTTACACTGCGGAAGTCTACGAATCGGTACCGTATGCCGAGGAGCCGAGTGGAGAGCTCCGATTTGAGGTATCAGAGATAAAGAAGGAGAGAGAGAAAGAGAGAGAGGGGTGAGAGAGAGAGAGAGAGAGAGAGAGAGAGAGAGAGAGAGAGAGAGAGAGAGAGAGAGAGAGAGAGACAGGGAGAGAAAGAGGGAGAGGGAGGGAGAGAGTGATCACTACAAAAGACCGTTTTGTAGACGCCAGTCCCTCGTCAGAATTGGTCAACGATCCTCGACGTCCGTGCGCAGACGAAATGTCCCACGCATGTGGATTCTACCCCAGTTAGTGGTTGCAGAAAATCTATATCTATTTTTGGACATACCTTGAGCAAACTTTGCTTTTTTTGAAAGAATTTAGTTGGTTAGTTTTAGCCAAATCCGTATGTTCCAGGTTGCCGAAGATTTCAAAGCGATAGAAGACTGCTTACGCCTAAAAATTGTGGTACCTTTGGATGAAAACGGAAAGGTGAAGGTTACTGGAAATTTTGCAAGAACACTGATTTCTAGCGCTTCAAAGACAAGGCGCCTCTTCTGGTTTGGATCCACGGCGGCTCTTACCACGTCAGAAATGCAGATTTTTGGCCAAAAGCTTTATATTGTAGTTTGGCGGCAAGTACCACTACAATAGCACGGGAGTAGTGAAGCATTTTGCATCGCGGAAAATCGCCTTTGCCTCGATTGATTATCGGCTTGGGTTTGAAGGTAAGTCAAAATATATTAAAAGAGAGCGGCTGACGGAAAAACATCCAAATTTGCAAGCTTACCCTCCCAAAACGCCGATAAAAGCCAAATACAAATTTAAATTTTAATTTTAAGGTTTTCTGAGCGCTGGCGACCCGGAGATACCCGGAAATCTGGCCCTGGAGGACATCTACAGCGGACTGCAGTTTCTCAGAGTAAAAATTTGCTTTTATAAAGTTTTTTAAACGGAACATTAAACAATGAAAATCGATCCTCTATGTTGACTAGCATGCGACGGTTGTCGGTTTTACAGTTATTTTCAGTGACTTAGCGATATTGTCCAATTACAGGAAAATGCGAACAACTTCGGATTCGACGTGAACAACATCGTCGTAGCTGGGGAAAGCGCAGGCGCAGCGCTCGCCGGGATTACAGCGATTAGCCCGAGGTTTAAAGGTATTGGAAAGTTCCGGACTTTCCAATTTTTACTAAATTTAATTGAAATCACATCTTAGGCCTAATCCATGGCGCTATGCTCTTTTCCGGGACTCCCGGAGCGGCATGGGGCATTCGAAACAAGCATACGGTAGCTTGTTCTTGCTGAATTTTGCTGAAAATTCAAAGGTTTTAGATTGCGAACACAAAGTTCATGTTTGCCAAATGCAATTGTAGTGCCACGGCCGATACGAAAAGCGTTAAGGAATGCATGAAAAAGGTAAGCAAATAAACTAACGCTGGTTCAAAAATTGCTTTTTTCAAATCATGCTATTTCGGTAACCTTTCGCAAATTTCAGGCCCCAATAGACTGCTACCGCACCGGGGATAAGAACGAATTGGATCGTAAGGGAAAGAAGAATGGGGTGAGTTGTGATCGGTGTCACCTCCTAGATTTTTATTCAAAACTGAAATACAATTTTGAAAGTATAACACCTTTAGCGAACGTACGAAAACCAGCGGATGGGCGAAACGCTTTTTACCCCGATCGTCGATGCTTCTAGAGGCGAAGATGCGATGCTTCCCGATAAGCTGGAAAACTTGATCAGGTAGTGCATGCAAAAAGCTTATGACCTTTTCATAATTGCTACGTAATCACGTTTGGAAATACGTATTTTGTAGCATGGCGTAGGCGCTAAATTTCACTTTTCAGCCAACACGCTCATCTCCCCATCCTGATCAGCAACGCTGCTCATGAGCAGATGGCGATGATGCGGGCCTTAGGTAAGTACTAGCGTTAAAAGATAGTATTGTATTCCGATGACACAATTGAGCACTATTTTACTTGTACTACTATAAGGTGGTAATAACCATCGAGAATTTCAGTGACTTACCTAAACCACTACGGAACTTCGATACCGCAATGGTTCGGCGAAATGGTGCCCGACCGCTACAACGCCTCGGCTACTGTAAAGTTGTTGTTGAAGGAACGGTAAGTCGGCTTTAAGCCTAATAACCGACTTAACGACCACTCCCCTTCAAATTATTGCCTCTATTTGAAATCTTCAGATACCTGCCCGAAAAATTCTCAGACCAGGTGACGATCCGGAAATTGAGCCACTGGTCAAATGGTTAGTTATGGATGTCATTTATGCATCAATAGCCAGGATTTAGTTTTCAAGAAATGTCTGATTACCGTCTTAAATTTGAAATTTTTAGATGAATGGACGACGTCGGCGCACGAGACGGCCCTCCAATATGCCGACAAAAATCTGACCGTTTATACGCTGCTCAATGACGTTTTCGACGAACCAGAAGGTCCCCTTCCGCTCTCGCACCCTCCCTCCCTCTCCCCCTCTCTCTCGCGCCCTCTCTTTATCTCTCTCTCCCCTCTTTCTCTCCCCCTCTCTCTCGCCCTCTCTGTAGCTCTCTCTCTTTCTCTCCCTTTCTCTCCTTCTCTCTCTCTCGCTCTCTCCCTTTCTCTCCGACAAGTCGAAGTTCTAGGTGGTGATGACCTATTGGATTGCACGGATCATGGCAGCGACTTGGCGACAATGTTTGGAAATTATCCGGCCCTAACTGGTTTTCATACAATCAAGTAGGTACATTACTTCAAAGCTAACGATCAAACGGTAGATAGCGAATTATATGTCGTAAGCCTTCATTTGCTATATGCTAAAAATAATAAATGGCAGCTATTTTCAGGCCCAATCACGCAGAACGAACAGCAAGGTTTGCGGATAGACTCGCTGGGCTTATTGCCGAGTTCGTGAAGACGAAGTGCGTTTAAGAACCCAATATTAAAATTAAATTTACCACATAAACAATTCCAGAAAACTCGAAGGCCATCCAGTATTCAATCGAGCCACGAGACCATTAATCCGGCTGACACACAACGGAATCCAGCACACGCATTACGACACGGAGGCGTACTATTTTTGGTCTAGATGGTCCTGAATTTTAGTAAATTATGTGTTTTCAGGAAAATGCTGCTACCCACGCTGGCGCGATTTAATGTAAGGACCAAAAATTAATCGATTTAGAGTCTATTTTTCAGCTCGAAGTGAAGAAGGAGGAGGTACCTTCAAGGACCCAATAACCAAGTGGAATGGTCCGTAATCGGAAAAAGATTTAAAAAACTATGCACTGATTACTTGTAGAAACGGGGAATAAATCGTTTAAAAAACTTGAGCGCATCAACACAACAGTTTTTTTTACCTTGCGACATCGATTTTCTTGAAAGTCTAGGGATCCTATAAAAATTATTGGTATTCTACAGCACGTTCTGAGAAAAGGACGAATTCTTCGCTATTAAAGGGCACGTTCAGGGACGTTTTTTTGGAAAAAGCAAAGATTTTTGCCGCGGCCGGGGGTCGAACCCGAGTCCCCCGCTCGAGAGGCGCGGATGGATACCAGTCCGCCACAGCTACAACCTGGCGATGGGTGAGGGGCGCCCCACGCCGCAAAGGAGGGAAATTGCCTCCCACGACACGGGCAGGCAGTGCGCGCGGTCCCTACGTCCATAGGGTGTACACGTTGGGACGAGTACACGGCAAAAAAGTTTTTCAAAAAAAAACAAGCAAAAAAATTTAAAAAAATCCCTCCTGAAAATGCGCTTTAAATTACAATCCTTAACCCTTATCCAGTTTTTCTTGTAGTTTGTGTGTCAATTTCCGCAGCATTCGGGTCACCTCGGGTCCAAGCTTTTTCGAGACACGCCGGAAAATAAACTATCGCTAGCACGCACGTGTGTGTTCCTGTTTATTGGGCCGAAGTTCCAGTATTTAGCGCTTGGCATCGAAACGCTACTCGCTTCCCCAAAATGACTAGTTTGCTCAGTTTCTTATTGTTATTTCTATGTTTTTGTCAAGCTTCTGCCGCTTCAACCCCCAAACACGGCCCTGAAATCATTGCCGAAACGTCGAGAGGTCGAGTTTTGGGTGAAATAGTTGAGGTATGAGGATGAAACCTTACTTCTAAAGGTCAAATAGAGCTCAAATTTCACAGCCGAAGTCTACGAATCGATACCGTATGCGGAGGAGCCGTCGGGAGACTTGAGATTCGAGGTGTTGAAGCCAGAACTGTTCGAAACCGAATTTTTTTTCTGCTTTGGGCGGCTGGCTCGCTCGTTAGTGCACGATTTTAATAGTGATTTCAAAACGCCATTTAAGATACAATTTAGAAACCGGTCCCTCGCCAGAACTGGTCGACAATACTCGACGTACGCGAGAGTACGGCATGCCCGACTTATGTGGGTTTTGACAGATTCCTCTTGTAGACTGTATTTTCCCGCTTTGAGTTTAGGCACGCGAGTACCAACTTACCTACCAAGAAGATTGCTTGCGCCTGAAAGTCGTCGTACCTCTAGATGAGCATGGAAAGGTATTAATAGTTTTCTAGTTTTGAAAAACCAATTTTCAGCGCTATCCTGAGAAACTACCACTACTGGTTTGGATCCACGGCGGCTCTTATCAGGTAAATCGCTTTTCCAAACTTAGAGCCTTTTTAGGTTGGCGGCAAAAAATACTACGCGAGTAGCGGCGTTATCAAAAATATTGCTTCGCGTAAAATTGCATTTGCTTCCATCGACTATCGGCTTGCATTTGAGGGTAGATTTTAAACAGTTCTTTCTAACGTCTTTCTCTCACTCTCGCTCTCTCCCTCTCTCTCTCTCTCTCTCTCTCTCTCTCTCTCTCTCTCTCTCTCTCTCTCTCGCTCTCGCTCTCTTTCTGCTCTCGCTCTCTTTCTCACTCTGTCTCTCTCACTCTCGCCTCATTCCTCTTTCTCTTTTCCTCAAACCCTCTCCGCCCACTTTTCTCTCTCACTAAAAGAAATCAAAGAGTATTTTAGGCTTCCTGAGCAGCGGCGACAAAGACTTTCCGGGAAATCTCGCACTCGAAGATTTGCTGCTGGGAATGATTTTCCTCAGGGTAATTGTTTTTTAGACTGCCCGTTTTTTATTTTCCTTGTATTTTTAAGTTAAAAAATCTAACATTAGTTTCTTCTTTAAGGAAAATGCCGACAACTTTGGTTTCGATGCCAACAACATCGTGGTGGCCGGGGAAAGCGCTGGCGGCTCACTGGCGGGGCTAATGGCGATAAGTCCTAGATTCAATGGTATTCCAAGTCGGCTGCTCAATATTTTTTTAGTTTAGATCGGCTTAGCAAAAGGCAGGTCTCGTTTTTTCAGGGCTCTTCCATGGCGTTATGATTTTCTCCGGGTCGCCATCTTCTGCCTGGGCCATCCGAACGAAACATACGGTAGGTAGAAGTTGCGGACCTGAATTTTTTTACTTTTTACGTTTTTCGCCCAACGGTCTTGCTATTTTATAAAATTACCGCTGAAGTTCAGGCCGCGAATTCGAAGCAGCTCTTCGAGCGGTGCAATTGTACGACGACGCCTGGGAGCCGGGCAATTAAAGAGTGCATGAAAAAGGTATAATGGTTCTTACTGTAACGTGTTTTACTCAGGCGGCTACGGTTTACTTTACCCCCCCCCCAGCCGGAAGTTTTTGGCTATAACTTTTTTATTTTACCAGAGGTTGAAAAAGCCCCTCCAAAATTTTAAAACCCCCCCCCCCCCTTAACAAAAAAAAAAAAAAAAAAAAAAAAAAAAAAAATAAAAAAAAAAAAAAAAAAAAAAAAACCCCCCCAAAAAAAAAAAAAAAAAACCAAAAACCCCCCCAAAAAAAAAAAAAAAAAAAAAAAAAAAATAAAAAAAAAAAAAAAAAAAAAAAAAAAAAAAAAAAAAAAAAAAAAAAAAAAATAAAAAAAATAAATAATTAAATAAATAAAAAAAAAAAAAAAAAAAAAAAAAAAAATTAAAAAAACCAAAACACCCCCCCCCTTAAAAAAAAAAAAAAAAAAAAAAAAGAAAAAAAAAGCAAAAAGAAAAAAAAACAAAAAAACAAAAACAAAAACAAAATAATATTATAAAATTATTGTAGGCTCAACTTAAAACCCTTAGTATATTTTTTGACGCTCTATCGAATGGCGTTGCAAAAATCCCGACAAAATAAGCGAAAATACCGAAAACTTTGAGACCCTTCGGCTGTGGGGTGGGGGGGGGGTAAAGTAAACTCTTACCTACTCAGGCTGACGTTTCGGAATGGGACCTAGCCTATCTTGTGCAGAATTTTTTGTTGATTCCAAATCCGTGTTCCAAATTTGCTGCCGACCTTTACCTCGTGTTGAATAACTCGATTGAACAACCCGATTGCAGGCTCCAGTTCAATGCTATCGCGACATCGACGAGTTCGAATTCGATGTGAAAGGCAAAAACAATGGGGTATATGTTCCATTGGGAATTGTTTGAACAAAAACCCAGGGCATTTACGAGGGATGGCGGATGGCCACCTGTTGGTTCACACCCGTCGTCGACGCGCACAGAGGAGCGGAGTCATTCTTGCCGGAGAAACCTGAAACGCTGAGCAAGTGGGTCGTTTGGGTTGCAATGTTTGCCCTGAATGTGCGTTAAATGCCGCCATAAATGCTTAGGCTTAGGCTTAGGAATGCAAATACAGAATTCAAAATAAGGATTTTAAACGGGAATTAAAATTGGATTTTTATCGGGGGATCGGACTTCGCATGGTTTTTTCACGGCTCAGTAAATTTCATAGTCCTTTGAGGTATTTCCTGGGAGTTACAGAAAACAGCTGAGATCTCAAAACTTAAAAGATGTTGGCAAAAATGAGTTAGAGGGATAGAGGCTTTGTAGGAATTGGACACAAATGTCTCTTTAAAGCGCACGTTCAAGGAGGGGCCGTGTACTCGTCCCAACGTGTACACCCTATGGACGTAGGGACCGCGCGCACGGCCTGCCCGTGCCGTGTCAGGCAATTTCCCGCCTTTCCTGGGTGGGGCGCCCCTCGCCCTCTGGCCGCTTACACCTGTGGCTGACTGGTATCCATCCGCACCTCCCGATCGGGGGCCCGGGTTCGACCGCCGGCCGAGGCAAAAGTCTTTGCTTTCTTGCCAAAAAAGTCCCTGAACGTGCCCTTTAATGAACGAGAACAGTGCCTACGCGATCTTTCAGAAAAAACGCGCATCTACCGGCCATTATCAGCAACGCCGCACACGAGCTGATGCAGCACACCGACCAACTGCGTACGTTGCCCTGATGATGTCTGGTCTAACCCTGCATTCTTTAAGTTCAGCAGCTAGAGGAGGGGTGGATGACGGTGGACGACTTCTTTGACGCCCAGGTCCCGAAGCGGTACAACGCTTCGGCCGTCGTGAGGATGTTGATCAAGGAACGGTAGGTAAAAAACTGAGCTCAAACGAAAAGCCCATACAAGAAAAAAAGCAAAATAAATAACAAAAAAACCTAAGAAACGTTTAGCTACCAGCCCAAGCGCACCAGGGAACGAATTACCGTCGTTCGCAAATTGACGCAGTTCACGACGGGTTCTTTCATCCTGAATTTTTTGAAAATCCGTTTAGACGAATGGCTTGCCGACGCGCAGTACGAGGCACTGGATTATACCGGCAAAAATTTAACTGTTTATTGCTTGATCAATGATGTATTTGATGCCCCAGACGGTGAGTACCGACGAACCAAGTTTAGCTTATGCTCATTAAAGACCGTCAGAACGATGAAATTTCGTTAAAAGCAAAAAAGGTGCGCACCGGGCGGGGGTCGGACCCGCGATGGTTCGCTCCACAGTCCGCCCGCCCCAGCCCCCCATCCCCCGGGGCCCGGGGGGGAGGGGGTCAGAGGCGCCCCAACCCCCGGGGGGGCCCTGCCCAGAGGGGGCCAAAATGCGCCTCTCTCGGGCGGGTCCTTGGGGCGCACCCGGGGGGGGGGGGGTTCAAGGGGTCTCGCGCGGTCTTTAATGCATTGTTGAGCTTGAGGAACAAGATACGATGATGCGCTTTTGCAGGTGGCGAAGAGCTCTTTGATTCGACCACGCACGGCACCGACTTGTTTATGTTGTTCGAAAACCACGGCATCACCGAACGCATTACTTTTTTGTAAGTTTACCAATCTTCTCGATATTTGTTTTCGGGTATTCATGCTTTAGATCATACTTTAATGCCTTTCTATATTTTGGAAAATGCTAAAAACCTATTTATTTAGAATGCCTAATCTATCCAGTTCATATTTTAAGGATAACCACTTAGACCTTCAACCGCCGTGAACCGACTTAGGCAAATTCGTAACTTTAAAGGGCACGTTCAAAGAGTTTTGGAAAAAGCAAGGTTTTCCGCGCCGGGGGCGAACCCCCGCCCCCGCTCGGGGGGGCGGATGGATACCAGTCAGCCACAATGGGGGGAGGGGCGCCCCACTCGCAAAGGGGAAGCTGCCACGGCGGGGGGCCCGGGTCCCAGGTCAAGGGGAAGTACACGGCTCCCCCCAGTGGCTTTAAGAGTTTTTGGGTTCTTTTTATCGTTTTGACATGACTTAAAATCTTCAATGCTTTTTTAAATACAGCCCACTTTCCCAATTTTTAGCGACCGTCACAAGCAACTCGGGGCGAAATTTGCAGACCGTCTAGCCGACATCATGGAGGAGTTCATCCGAACAAAGTAATGCGGATGAAAGTGCCCTAATTCCATTCCGAATTTCTTTTTTTAGGAAACTAAAAGATCACCCGGCGTTCAACCGGGAAACTCGGCCATTGATCAAAATTTCACATCACCGAATCCAACACGTTAATTACGACACGGAATCCTATTATTTCTGGTGGGTTTTAGAAACATTCTCAAATACTGTGTTTCAGGAAGATTCTTCTGCCCACCATCGCTCGTTTCAATGTAAGAAACCGCAGTTCCAAAACTCATATTTTTTCAGCTCCAGGAAAAGAAGATCGAGACTGCGAAGGCCGGGTGAAGCCTTGCGCGAGAAACTATGAAACGATGTCTGAAAACTGTAATAAATATACGTTCCTGTTCGATCCCTCTTAAACTGATGAGCAGCAGAACGGTTATAGCTAGCACCAAAAAAAAATATAGAGGCAGATAGAGAGAGAGCGAGAGAATCGGAAAAGATGCAATTTTCTATTTTGTGTAGTATGCAGAAATTCTGTGCATTCATTTTCCCGCCCATACCATTTTTATTATGGTATCGCGTAGAGAAGCTGATAGCATGAGAAATTAATACATCCAACATCAAAATATAAGGGTACCTCACGACCTTGATGAAATGGTAGCAATGTATCCTGCTTTCACAAATTGCCATTTTTTTGATACCAATGAATCGGAAATTACGATTTTTAGCACGGTGCACTAATTTTCACTAATTTTGGGAAAACCATTTAAGGGCTCAACCCATGGGAGCTTGTGGTGATCAATAGGTTGCGTTAGTATAGTATAGTATAGGCTTGTAGCCAGACATATCATTAGATTGGTCATAGGATCCAGCGGCTTCAGGAAGTACAAGCCTAACTTCCTGATGGCTTTGGAGTAGTCCGGTTGATCCTCCAGGGCCAGCTGTTTGTATTTAACCAGGGCCGTGCCCCTCAAGAATATGGGCAGCAGGTAGCCAACCTGATCTCGTGGCACCCCAGTTGGGTGCCGGTTGACCGCGTCGTACGGAATCGTACAAACGGCCGCCCAGCCATTTTTCCTTTTCTTTTACGACCGGCTAACCGTCTGTCGGAGTGAGGTCTTAACCATTACGGACGTTTTCAGTAGTGTACTGTATCGTTATCGTATGATGTCGTTGCGGGAGAACGGGATAGGGCAACACTCTTTATTTCACCCAAATTCTCAAATTTCACTCCAGGTCGAGGTCGACGACCTCCTCGACGTCAAGTTTTTCGGCGTCCTGTGGCTTTTCCGCCTCGACAGCGGCGGGCGGAGTATCCCCTATTAAAACGCGTTTTCCTCTCGAAAATAGGAACAGCGTACCGCAAAGCAGTTTGTGGTGGCCGCCACCACACACACATCGGGGTGCACCGCAGTTGGCCGCTGGGTGCCCGCTGCCGAGGCACATGAAGCATAGCAGATCTCAGCCTGGAACGGCACAGTAATGGGCTTAAACCAAAGGGATTTCATACCGAATTATTCCAGTCTCCGAGATACCAATCAAGGAGATCTCTACAAAGCACCATCCTTGAATCGCATAGAATTGAAAAGATCCTGATAAAGCAAGGTAATTGGGCTACCGGGATCTGTTGAAGGTAGGTCTGAAGCGACAGGACATAGCATTTCCAGGTCGAATGTATCTTGGAAGCCTAGGCTTCTAATGAGATTGGGAAAAGCAGAAGACAAACCCATCGATATATTATACCAACGGGCCATCCGTTTATATTCGGACTTGGCGAATTCGTGAAATTCGGCCAAGACTTCGCGATCCGCATATAAACGGATTTTTTCAGTGGGCTAAACTAGATGTTAGAGACAAGAGGGATGGCACAACCTACCATGGAGAAATGGGCCTGAGATGCGTATTTGTGGCGCGTCCAAAGAGGCTTAGATGCCCAAATATTGTGGGGATCTGCTGCGATCCGAGCCTTGACTTCCTGGCGCCAACCTCGAACGGTTTTATATCCCTCAAATCCGAGCTCGCCAGCAGCGATGGCGCCCGTGATTGTACCCATTACGCTTCTCCGGGTCCGTTTATTGCCACCTGCCGCTAATTGTTGCTTGAGCTGCCTGGCGACTTCCGGTCCCAGATAATCTGCATAACGAGTGGCCTATCAGATTCATAAGATATGGAAAAAACCCAACCACGTCCTCCGGAGTGCGAGGCATATTTATATTGGAGGGAAAGTGAATTTCGGCCCATAGGTCGGCGCAATCAATAAACCAAAAATGACAGATACTTTCTGACCGTTCCTCCACATCGGGCCAGCGGATCGCCAAGATTTTCCACTTAAACATAAATTTTTCAGATCTGCCGCCGCCAGTTGTCGCCCTCTCCCTATCATCTGTAAACCAAGCACTAAATGCCATCTTCAACTTCCCTATCAATAAATTGCCTGTTTTATTAGCTTCGTGAACGGCAATTATGGATTAAAACACCGAAAAAAACACAAATTAGGGTGGAAATGGCAAACATATGCATAACAGGGTTTAAAAAACAGTATTTTTCGGTATTTCCAGAAAATTTGAAATCGGGAATTTTAGCCCCGCCCAAACAGCCAGTTCAAAAATCCCCGATTTCGATTGCCCCAAAATTCGGCCAATTTGCCTGTTTTTAATTGTTCCGGTGATCCCTGGCAAAAATCCCCTATTCCGGGAAAAATCCCCGATTCCTGGAAAAATCCCCGATTCCTGGAAAAATCCCCGATTCCTGGAAAAATCCCCGATTCCTGGAAAAATCCCCGATTCCGGGAAAAATCCCCGATTTCTGGAAAAATCCCCGCTGCCGGTATAGAACCCAAGTTACCAACCTTGCGTGGACGCGTAGCCGGTCCATGGTGTTGTGAAGACTGATGTGTGCTTAGGTTGAATGTGTGGGTCGCTGGATCATCAATACTGGTTTTATTCAACAACCGGGATCTGTGCCGGGTGAGATTATTTGGCTTTTTTCGCCGGTGGTGTGGACGCGGGTTCCGATGTGGGATGAGGCCAAAACTAGCAGTGGGTGTGGTACTGGGTGCATTCGGGTTTACGGCAGCATAACCAACCATGCAAGTTGCAGGAACCTCACCGTAATGAAGGGAGCCGGGTTGCTGCCGGGTCAAGTGCTTATTCTGGGAGAAGTTGGTGTGAGAAGACTCGATAAAGGCTTCCTCAAGGTTTCCTTTATGCACCTAAGAACGCGCTGCAGATAGCGGCCTGGAATGTTACCATAGAGGGGCAAAGCTGGAAAGCATGGTTGCCGAACCACTCCAGTATTCAGTCATGATACCAGTCAAGGAGGTCTCTACAGAGTACCATGCGAGAATCGCATAGGACTGAAAAATAGCTGGATAAACCGGGGATTGGATACCGGGCTCTGCGTGACGTAGATGGTCAGTGGCGACAGGACCCGTCTGTTCTAGATCAGAAGGATCTTGGAAGCCTAGATTGCAATGAGTTTCAGAAAGCAGAAGACAAGCCCATGGATGTATTATACCAACGGCCCATCCTTTTATACTCCGACTTGGCGAATTCGTGAAACTCTGCCAAGACCTCGGGATCCGCGTACAAAGGGAGTTTTTTGCTGGGTTATAACTAGTTATGAGAGGGATGACACAGCCTACCATGAACAAGACTGTCTCCCAATCCTTATCTTCATATTGTTCCGCCCATTCAGATAACGAGTTTGCCGTTCGTCGGCATCAGTCTCGCCACTATGAAATAGACCGTGTATCCAATAGACAGGCGGTCTTTTTGTTGTGATGCTCAGCCCAAAATTCAGGCACGTCCAAGAACCAAAATCCGCATATTCTTTTGGAACGTCGTGCCGTATTATCGTTCCTGCGTGTTCTGGTCTCAGAAAGTTTTTTTGACAAATTTCTGAGGCTCGCGCATCGGTTTCATTGACCGATACGGGTTTCCAAATGAAACTGCGGTAGAACAACCGAATTAGTTAGCGTAAAATTGGATGCCATCTCGGTGGGACATCCATGCGGCGCGACTATTTACCTACCATAAATTTAATCTGGGTTCTTCAGTGCGGTTTATATTATACTTTGGGGACTTTTATGAGGATCGTGGGGGCGGCTACAGCTACGGTAAAAAGGGGGAGGCGCTCATCGACTATCCGAGTCGCTGCCGATCCGGGCGGGGTCCTGGGAATTGTACTGTCTTATGACCCTATAGGACTTTTGTAGACGTAGCCACAGGAAAAGGGACAGGTAGCGTTTTCCCTCTAGAAGAATCGGGTCTCTAACTGGGAGTCGTCTAGGTCGGTATTTGACGGACTTGATGTCCATTTCGTAGGGGTTATTATTATTATTGAAGCCCAGTTGGCTTTTGCCCTTTTATACCCCCGCCTTTTTTTAATTCTACAAACTTTCAATCACATTTTTTAATTTGGAAATATAGTTATACTTTTTTTGGATAAAAAGCGTTCCGTTTCATCAACTCTCTTGGGGAACTGCGAATGAACCGTGACTTGACTTCGGGTAAAATGTAATCCGACATTTACCGCCTGAAGCAAATTTTCTCTTTCCTTTTATCGGAGATTTGAAGGCTTGAAGTTTTGAAGATCAGCGGCGGCGAAAGGGGCGCGTCCAGTGATGTCCAATCTTCCCGCAATATGTGCATCATTGTAGGTCGAAGGATGCTTGATGGTCCAGACCGTTTCGCCTATGATCGACCTGTTGGTCTTCAATGGCTGGAGGTTGGTGTGCCATGTTGCTCTTGCTTTCTTCCGAATTGGGTTTGCTTTGTTAAGGGACTTGATTGACCTTCAGGGAAGGGCTTGATTGGCCTCGTTAGAGGACTTGTCGGAGACGAAGAGGTGATACTACCAAAACAGTTTTTGAATTTGCAAGGTTCAGTTCAGATTTCAGTTCGGGGGCAGGTCATCAGTAAGTGGAGTGGCGCCAACTGGTCGGCTGACGTAAGGGGATCAGGACGCGACAACCATCGAAGCGGCTGACCACGTCTACAAGGCGGTTGGCGGCCCTGTAGTCCGCTGCGTCTCGCACAAGCGGTTCCGGCTCTACCGGTGCAGCCTCCTGGGGTTTCATTTTTTCCGCAAACCCATTCTCACAAATTCAAAAATAGGGGAATTGGCTGGGGTGGTGTGTTGAACAGAAATAAAAAATTTACGTGAATAGAAAACTGTTTGAATAATAATAAAAAATTGTGAAAAAATACATTCCTCCTAAGTATAAGGTCGACGGGCAAAAGGTCAAACTAAAATAAAAATTCACGATCCCGATATCGGCGCTAAGCCCTTTTGCTTGCGAACCGGAAAAAATCCACGTTAAATCCGCTTCCTTGTTCGGCCGAAATTCAGGACTACCCGAATCAAAACAAAAGAATCCGAAAACCGGCCCGATATTGTTCGGAAGGGACAGATGTCGGGCAAAACTCCTACGGCTTAGGTGTGGTTGTAAAAACCCGCTTCAGCCGAGGGCTCCCCTTGCCAAGCCAGTGCTGCCTGTAAATGGATGGGGTGAGGGCTTTGGGGCGAAAGGTCCCTGATAATATACATTGTCTTCTAATTAACAATTTCAAAGTTCTTAGAGCGCTGAAAATATCACCGACCGGAAAATCGACAAGCCTCACCGGTTGACCGTCCCCTGGGAGTCGAAATGGCCAGCCCCCTGTTTCTAAATTTACTGGTCAGGGCCTCTTTTGAAGATGAATTTACGAAAAAAACTTCAGGTTCGTGATGGCGCTTCTGATTAAAAAAATATGCATGTACGGAAGCAGCCAGGAAATTAAAAATTCAAATCGTCCTTATGCAGAACATGGGGAGCCTCCATTTTGGGCCGACGGAAATACCATCACCGGATTCTTAACAGGGACTAAAAAATAATTAAAAAATAGTTGGACAGGGAAAGAAGATGAGGGATGAATTTTAGGTGGGCGGAAAATTTGTAAATTTTGTAATGACCCTGGCTTTGCGGGTCAGCCTTGGGTGCCTGGACTAGATGGTTAGTGAGACTGAGAAGGCGCCCACGACCAAGACAGGGAAAAACCGGCAGCGGTTTTCCTCCAACGTTTTAGCCGGATTGGTTCGGAGTAGGCATGCTCATCAAATTCCAAGGTAAACTCCGTTGTTGCTGAATACGGGAACGGGGTCGTAGGGATAGAGATGGATAATAGGGGCGCGGATAATCCAACTAATTGGAATTCATTTCCGATGGGAGATCGATGGCGTGTCCATAAGGGTTCGGTCGCCCAATCCCTATCTTCATATTGTTGCACCCATTCAGATAACAATGTTGGCCGTTCGTCGGCATCAGTTTCGCCACTATCAAATAAACCGTTTAATACGTCCCTAGTTGGACGGGGTTCAAGAAACAATCGGGAACCCTTTCTTCCTCATCTTGGAAATAGTATTTCCTGTTGCTGATCGTTTTGACTTTAAAGACTTTGCTAATTAGCTGCGTCCTGTAGAATTCGCGCTTTCACGTCGAGGTGGCGATTGGGTCGCTCATATTTTCTTATTAGCGCGGGTTCTTGGATAAATTATTGCTCTAGTTGTCGGCATTTGGTACCCTGTCTTACCGACTGCCATCCTTTTGTACTATGCTTAAAGTTAGAAGAGTTTTGCTTGTTGTACTGTGTTTCAAAAAAAATTCTGGACCCATGAAATCATCGACCTGCACATGGCCGCGACGGGTTGCTCGATTTGCGTTCGGGAGAGCGTCGTTCCACCCGGCCCAGCTAGTACTTTCCACCTGTATTGAATTTGAATTTTCAGCTAAAAAAAATTACGAAAAATGAACAAGGCATAGTGCCTGGAATTTAACAATTAGCAAAAAATTAGCACACTTTAGCTGATCAACCCGATTTCCGATTCATTGATACCCATTTCACGGCATTTTGTCCGAATTTGGAGCCATTGATACCTTATGTTTAAAATTCAGCATAATTACTTACATAACGCATTTTAAAGGTACAGAAAGGTGACGACAACTATTAATTTGGCAATCGGAAATACATGAATTTTAATCTAAACACAATCCGTGTAAAAAAATATCTTTTAGTTGACTATTTGGCCTAGTCAATCCTGCTACAGCAAAAATTTGGTAATTTTTCATTCGGGGCATAGGTGGAGTTTCCAGATTACATCGATGACTTACGATGGAACAGCATTTTGGGTAGGCGTCGTCTTTGCTTTGCAATTTCTGACCCTGAGCGGTTTTGGATCTGAAATAAAGGCTTGTGGCATTTTCCGCTTTCATTCGAAAGACTCGGAAACACAATTCTACTAGCTCAAACGAAATTTGCAAATTTTCTAAAAATAAGTTACCAACCTCGTAAAATTTTATGGTGTTTCCAGTAGTGAGGCATTTAGTAAAACTATTGACGTCGATGATTCTTACAGCTTTCTAATTAGTTTTTACCTAAAAATGATTTCTCAATTTTTTTTGCGGGTCAGTTTTACCTTTTGAAGGTTTTCAAGTTATCAAGTTAACTTGTTGTTGCCGAACATAGTAGGTAATCGGCGAGCTTGGCAAAATTGACACCAGCTGAAGGACAACGGAGGGTCCCTGAAAAAGGTATAAGTAGGGAAAAATTTCTGCCGTCGTTTAGTACAGCCGATCGACGCGAAAAATTAAAATCGATCAAGATCGATCCTAAATTCAAAGTCAGTCATCAGAACGTGAAGGTGGACGATGAGCGGGTGCATGTTTAACGATATGAAAGTCAAAATCAAATTTTTGATCCGGAGAAATTGTAAAGGTTGGCAGAAAATCGATAAATGTCGAAGGAAGTGATGGGCATGCTGGCCGGCTTACAACAGCCGAACACTGATAAGGCTTCGGGGTTGGTCTCCGGGTATCTTCTCCATCTCCTCTCTCGGTATCCTCTTCGAACTGTGTGGTATACGGGTAAGATCAAAAAAAATGAAATCCACATGACACATTCGAAAATTAGCATACCGTCGTTCATCTACAGTAACCCCGGTGGTTGTATGTTTTTAATCACCTCAGGGAGGGGGTAGTATCTTGTGGTGGAGGAGGAGATCTATTTTTGGTGCTTTTAAGCAAGTACAACGGTTCCTAGCATTTAAGGCTGCTCACAACCACTCAGGAACACAGTACGAAGCTCAAAAAAAAGACGGTTTTAGCCTCTTTTTTACTGTTAAAGGCAAATTGTTTTTGGGGTGATATTAGAGGGGGCTGTATTAAAGGAAACATGGTACCTGGTTTAGCATCCGCCACTTGAATCCGACCTAATTAACATAATTTCCAAAGCAAGCTGCAGAAAGTTTCCCACACCCTGGTTCGGGCATGCGGTCCCATCGGTTGGCGCCTCTCTTCGTGCTGCTCTCCATCTTCAACTCCGCGACGGTGATGTCCCGCCAGCAGACGGTGCGCGATCAGGTCTCAGCCTCAACGTGATTTCAGCCATATCGCCTTCCCGAGGAGCAACAGGCTGAGGATACATTGAGGCTGGCGTACCATCTGGCGCTGAACAGCGAGACGAGCGCATCCAATGAACTGCTCAAGAAGGTGGAGCTTAAAGTCGTTTAAAACGTGGATTCGTGGGTTCCGGTCTGCTAGCTTGGGGCGGGGGAGGGGTAGTGAAAGTAAAGGCTACGGTTTACTTTACCCCCTCCCCCCAGCCCGCGGGTCGCAAAGTTTTCGATAGTTTCGTTATTTTTTTTTCGGGATTTTTTCGACGCCATTTGATACAACTTTAAAAGGATACTAAGAGTTTTTATGGCACCTCAAAATATTGTAATATAAAATAGTAATAGTAAAAACAAAAATAGCCTCTAGAAATGGGGCTAAAAAGCTAGTTTTAGATATTTTCGTTATTTCTTCGACATTTCCGATAGGCCATTTGTTAGAGCGTCAAAAAATATACTAAAAGGTTTTAATTATAAGCCAAGTAACGTAATATAAAATAGTTACGGGAAAAACAAGCAAAATTCGAATAACCACTCACACAATTTTAATTGTATAAAAATTTTTTTTCGAAATTTTCGGCCAGGGGATAGTAGCTGGGACCTAGGGCGACCGATTGGTGGCCTTAAAAACTTTAGGGGCCTTCCGGCCAAAGGGGGGGCTAAAGTAAACCCTTGCCCGGGATTTTCCCAGAGCCATTCGAGAGAGCGCCGTAAAACATATTAAGGGTTTTAATTTGAGCCTAGAATAATGTAAGATAAAAAAATTATAGCCAGGTTTGGGCTGTAATTAAAATTCTTAGTATAATTTTTTGTGTTCTCCAGAATGGCGGAGCAAAAATCCCGACAAACACACGAAAACGGCGAAAAAATTTTTCGGGGCCCTCGAGCTGAGGGGGAGGGGTGAAGGAAAGTCTAGCCTTCTAGTGAATTTGGGTTGGTTTAGTATTTTAGCAAAGGCAGGATTTTTAGTAATAGAACAGTGGAATGTAACAACGTTTTCAGGACCTGCTCTACAGCATCCTGGTAAAACACGTGGCGCAACTCTTCGATGAAAAAGAAAAAGCCGCGCTCGCAAAACTGCCCGAAGCGGCAACGGCAGGGCGGTTTCAGGTCGAGATTATTAGCTTTTTTTGTAACATAAATTGAGTAGCATTTTCTGGCAGCGCCGTGGTTGCTTTAGAAAACCCCGCTTTGCACCAGCACCTTTCACAAGCGCACTGCTAGGTGTCGCTCTCCCCTTAGAACAGATAGGCTGGGTGTCGCGCTCCCTTTAGAACCGATATGTCAAACCGTATATGTAGGCTACGGGGGGCAGGGGGGAGACTGTTGAGAGCGAACTAATCATTTTTTAACATCATTTACTGCCACAAACTAAAAGTTTGGTAGATTTTTTTTCGAAGTATCGAAAGACATTCAAGAAACTTTGCAAAAACATCGATAATATCGACAAATGGCTTTCATTCAATGTGCCACGTTTAATACTTGTTGTTCTATTTAAGGCTATTTTATATTACATTATTTTGGAATAAAAACTCTTAATTTTCTAAGTTTTAATCACCTACAACAATATCCAACCTTTTTTCTAAAAAAGGGGGCGGGTATCAACAGTTTTCATGGTGTTTGGACGTAAAATTCGCGAATAAAAATACATAATATAGAAAAAGAACCCACCTTCATTGCTCACCTCTTCGAGAGCTTTCGATAGATACCTAAATCGTAACAATGGGACGCAGCTGCGTGTAGCTATAGGGGAGGGGGGGGGGGGGTACTTGTCTTTGGGACACCCTGTATATTTCGGTCTCGAGCTATACGAAGTTATAGATGAAAAACTCGTATGTCGCGCGCTATAAGTCCAACACGCGCTAATAGTCCAGTACAAAGAAATACCCTCGTGCCCCCATTCTGTTTTTAATATTCACTGTTACAGTATACCCCTGGCCCGGGCGAGCAACCGCCGGATGACGTGCCAGTCGCGTTTTACGTTACTTGCGCAGATGTGGCGGGTGAAGCGGCAGCATATTTCAATTATGACCTGGACGACTTATATAAGGTAACATAGGCTTTTTTTGTCTGTTGGCTTATCACGCGGGTAGTTTCGATCCGGATCTCTCTGACGCTGTCGTTTAAGGTTGTCAAAGAATTCAACGACCGCGCGGCCCCTGCTGCTACTTCAGCTAGGAGAAGCACAAACGAAGACACGCCACGCTCTGCAATTACTCAATGAAAAGGTTGGCGTAATTCCATAATTCTAAATTCTAAAAACCCATGTTTTGTTTCAATAAAACCTTGGCTTTTCATCATAAATTCCGGCCGTTTTGCAAAAAAAAATAATAATCCTAATAAAAATCTCGGGATCTCGAATAGGAAAGAATTTATCCGCTCAGCCCGCCGACAGCCTTTTATCGTGAACCTAAAGCGTAAACCCCGGTCATGTCCTAGGAACAGGCAGTTGGGGTGAACCTGCAGACGAACTTTTTTGGAAAATACTGTAATTCCAGTTTTCAGAAAAGGGTGTCCGTCGAACAGCTAGACGTGGAATACTTGGAGATCAAGACAGTCTTCAATAAGGCGTGCCAATCATCGCGTAACTGGGCGCCACCCCATGTAGTTCTTCCCCGACCAGCGGTTCGTTCGCCATGCCTTGGTTGGAGGAGTCGATTTTTTAGACGCTTCCCGTCTACGCGTGTCTGGCGGTCGTCGACCCGATCGCGGCTTCGACGTCGACTACGGTATGGTAAAAATATAACCCCCGGAGTTATGTTAGAGGAATTAGAGCACGAGCTATTTAATTGACATTTAGCGAAAGCGGCGCGGCGGCGAAAGCAACAGCATTCCGGCCACCGACGAACCGCGCACGGCGCTGACTGATCCGGCGTGTTCAACATTGTCTTTGCGCAGACGCAAGTAGGTCTCCTCCCCCCTCTCCCTCGCTGCCTCGCTCCCTCGCTCTCTTTCATCTCTCTCTTTCTCTTATTCTCGATCCATTCAAAAACAAAAAAATGTCAGATGGACGTCGAGACGCCGCCCAAGAGGCTTCGCCGTGAGGAGAAGGCCCTAACAGTGCGCTTCCGCCCCCGTACCGGCTCGGAGTTTACCCTCAAAATAATGCCCACTATCAAGGTATATTTCGTTTTGCAGGGCACCATCGACTCCTGGGCCAATACCTAAAAATGGATTCCTTTTAGATCTCCGCGCTCAAACGACAGCTGCTCGCCACTGGAAGATTCCCCGGTGTATCCGCCCGCCGAATCCGGCTCTACTATTTTCCCATGGTGGGGAATATTGTAAACATCAATGTTTTTGTTTCTAGCATATCGATGATTGCCGGACGTTCGAGGAAGCGCACTACGACGAAACACCGGGCAAGCCCCCTCATCGGCCGTGCCTTCAAGGCTGACTTCGCCAGAAATGAACCGTGATAAATCGTTTTTATTATTGCATCTGAAAGAGGAACCGAAATAGAGCTAATAAGGATTTACTACGAAACTTGGGAGCCTCTGGTGCAGTTACTAGGATTTTTCGAATTGTACACTTTCCGTTGTTTTGGAGCAAGGGGAACCACATCGATCTTGTTGAAAAATCGCATCAGCCAGTCGCTCTCGTCATAGTTTCGCCCTCGACTAATTCGAAACAACTTGAAACGCTGATTACGATGTGCTAGCTGGCATAGCTGTGACGTCTCGTTTGTGGTTTTTAAGATTTTTTCTGAAGTTGTCGCAACTAGACACCCGGCAAGCCCCCTCATCGGCCGTGCGTTCCAAAGTTGATATCCGGAGAAACCAACCGCGAAAGCGTTTTGATGGAACTGAAATACATACGAGCAATAGTGCAGAATTTCTTTTTTGCTTTTGGAGGTCATTTTTCTCAGGTTTTTGAAGACCTTTTCGACGGCCACGATGCAGTTTATTAAATACAATTGGAATGAGATTGCGTCTGAAAAAGCTTTGATTCGACGTGCATCTTTATCCTCGGGCTTTCGGGTCGGTCTAAAATTCTCGAAAATTAGGGCTAGCCGGAAAAGTTTTTACCGCCTCGCCATGCTGGTCAATGACGGCTTGATGAAGCTTTGCTCCAAAGTCGGGATGGACCTGTAAGAAGTACGGAATGTGGTGGACTACCATCCAAAAACATCGCATTTCTGATACACATTCCGTCCGGCGAAGGGGACGATATGCACAAGCGCCGCATTAAGGCTGCTATGAGAATTCGGCCCTTACCTGTCCGCAAACTCCAATAAAGCGCTCGACGACGGCCGGGTTGCAGGCGACGAGCACTCCGGCAAAATTCTTGACCATACGCTCACGGGCCGGCTCGTCGAGGACCTAAATTTCCTGATCTCCAGATCGTAAAGGTTTAAACCTTGTTCCAGAACTCGCGCGGCTGCTCGAAGTTGTGCTCGTCTCCGTCGTCGTATCGCGCGGCATCACCAGTCACTGAATAGACGTGCTCGCGGGTGTGCATCGTCTGCAAAAAAAATAATTTTGGTCTCTTTCTACCTCTCTCACTCTCTCTCTCCTCTCTCTCTCTATCTCACTCTCTCTCTCTTTCTTTATCTTTATAACCCGTTGTCTTTATCACTAGCTCGTACTAAGTGATCTGTACTGTTACTCTACCCTAGATATCTATCTCACTGTCTCGCTGTCTCTTGCTTTCTTTCTCTCTCTCTCACTCTCTCTCTCTCTCACTCTCTCTCGCTTTCTAGCCCGCTCGCTCGCTCTCCGTCTCCCTATATGACTTACCGTTAACTCCTTTGGACCGTGGAAAGAATTCGGGTGGTACATCGGGCAGCCACCTAGAAAATTCGAGGATTATCGTAAAATTTTGTGGATTACGGTACCTTTCGGTGTGATTGCTGCAAGACCATCGAATTGATAGTTGTTAACCGGGACAATCGGACAATTGATGGGGAGCTGCTGGTAGTTTGGGCCAAGTCGGTGGAATTGGGTGTCCGGGTATGAGAAGATGCGGCCCTAAAAACATACTGATGTTTTCTATTTTCTTAAATAAATCGAGGTCTTTTTTGGTGCCCCCGCTAGCTGTCGAGATCTATTGGCCCATGAGGCCGTATAGGACATGCCTGGGCTCTTCATTACCTGTAGCATCCGGTCGGGCGAGAACTCGATCCCCGGCACGACGTGGGCGGGACAGAAAGCGGACTGTTCGACCTAAAAACGTATCACATTTCACTTTTCCTTTAATTTTCAAACCTCTTGGAAGTAGTTCTGCGGGTTCCGGTTGAGCACCAACTTTCCGACGGGGATCAGCGGGAACTCCTTGTGGGGCCAGATCTGAAGTAGTCAAATGAGTATCACTTTTCGATTACTAAAAGAGTGCCAAAAATAGCTGATTGTTAGAAGCAGAAATTAACACGAAAATTTTGATAGTTCTTGCCTTGGTGACATCAAAAGGGTTGAACTCCCAGGTTTCGGCTTGCGCGTATTGCATGATCTGACATTTTGTTGTATTTAGGGTTATCTATTTGGGCGAGAGAGAGAGCGAGAGGGAGAGAAAGATTGAGAGAGAGAAAGAGAGAGAGAGAGAGAGAGAGAGAGAGAGAGAGTGAGAGAGAGAGAGAGAGTAAAAGGAAGAGGAAGCGAGAGATTGACGCCGAATTAATTAAACGACCTGAATATACATGGTCCACTCCGGGAAGAAGCCCTTCTCGATCGAGTTGAAGAGATCTCGAATAGCATAATCTGGATCTTCTCCAGCGAGCTTTGTAGCTTCCTTGTCCTCCAGGAACTTGTTGCCTTGCTTGGTCTGGAATAAAAGACGTCTTACGTAGGTATCTGAGGTATTTTAAGGTAGCTGCTAGCCTCTCCGTGCTTTCCGACAACCAGAAGAAAACCTACCTTGAAATGGAACTTGCAGTAGATCGGCTGGTTGTCCTTGTTGACGAGTTTGAAGGTGTGGGATCTGCAGAAAAATTGGCGTTGATACGACTTTCCGGGTTTCAAATTACCCATAGCCATCCATGTGACGATAGCCGTCCGGGATTCCGCGGTCGCCGAATAGGAACATTACCTAGAAAATCGAGTATTAATCAAGTTCCTTAATTCTTGAAGTTGTCTGGTTTTCCTGAAGGCCTAGCTAAAAGGATTGGCAAGCTAGGGTTTCCACCTTTATCTATGGTTAGCTCTCGAGAGCTCTACGATGTCATGCCAGATTCGCGCAATTCTATGGAAGTAAAACTGCAGTAAAAATTGTATTAAGCCGGTAAGCGTTTTGAAATCCCGCGTAGTTGTCTGGACCCAGTCGAGGGACAAGGTTGATTTTAGCAGTTCCCGGAGCCCTTAATAAATGTTTCTTACCTGGTGAATCGACTCGGGGCGCAGGCTCCAGTAGTCAAACATGGCATTCGGGTCCTGTAAGGTAAATTTATTATGTTTTAAACTTTTCCAGGTTTTTTTACGTGTTTTCGAGCCCAAACTGTGACAGGAAAATCGTGCTTTGCTGACTAAAAATATCACTTTTTCAGACTAACTTACCCTCAAATGCGTCTGCGGGTTCCGCTTCTGGGTATGGATAAATGACGGGAAGAAGATCGGGTCTCGCATGAAGAAAATCGGTGTGTTGTTGCCAACCTTAATACACAAAAAGTCAATTAGTCTATTCTTTTTATCACTTACCAGATCCCAGTTCCCCTCCTGCGTGTAGAATTTCATGGCAAAGCCACGCGGGTCTCGGGCCGTGTCGGCGGATCCTTGGTCGCCGCCTGAAAATCGATGAATTTCTAGGCTAATATCCGTCTGAAAATTAAATTTTGCAAATGACCTAAAACAATTAAAATTATACTCTCACTCACCAACTGTCGAAAATCGCACAAAAGCCGGCGTTTTCTTGCCAATCTCCGAGAAAATGTCGGCCTTGGTGTACTGGGTGATGTCGTGCGTGATTTCCAGGTAGCCGTGGGCGCCTAAATTTGAATAAATTTTAATTGTGCAAACCACGTTGATAATTCTTCTGTCTTTTTTATCAATATAAAAATGCGTAAAACCGGGATGCTGTTAGACTTTCGAAAAACTGGTAAAAACATCAAATACCGATATTATCGCTTAAAAATCCTTTTATGGATGCCCTTGCCCAATTTTGTTGGATTTTACAAGCTAGTTAAAATTTTGTATTTTGTAGCACTACCCCTTTAAAATATCCTGATGCCTTTGTGCCTGGATAATTTAAAGGTTATTCACAATTTTTAAGGGTTTTTTTTCCCTATTTTGCTATCACCCTCAAAACTGCGTTCTCCGGGTATAGTTAAGAAATTTTTAATTATTTACGCCCTCTTCTTCGGCACTCACCGGCTCCGTTCGCGTGCACGACACGTTCGGGGATCCTCTCGCGGTCGAAATGCGCCATCTCGTTGAGGTAAACAAAGTCCTAAAGGGCACTTGTTGCACCGGATCAACAAGAGAGGGAAAGGGGAAAGGGGCCCGCTCGTCAACAACTCCAAAAACAACACTCGTCTGGCTCGTTATTATTTCGATTTTTTGATCTTAGGAAAAAATGTTTATCGTTAATTAAAGAAAAACGCCGTTTTGTAATCCGTAATAAAAATTCATCAAAATCAAGATAGAAAAGTACTGAAAACCCTAAAAACGTGAAAAAATGCCAAAGAAGGTCAGATTACTGCGCTATAAGGCACAATTGTCTCTGCTTAAATTTTTAGTTTGAGAAGTTTTTTAAGGTTTCTATAGTCTATTATCGAATTTAGCCAGCAAGTTTAAATTTTGCCCTTTTATTAAATCCGAGTTCAAAAACTAGAGGCCATAACCCAGTTAAAAAACCCTAAAAATCTCGAACAATGTGAAAAAAATGTCTGATTAATTTGCTGGGCAGATAAAAACCGAAAACGTTTACATTTTACATTTGTAACCACCTGGCCAGTTCACTTTTATGTTCAGCAAATTTTTAACCGACCTGCATTAGCATCGGGCCCCTCGGCCCGGCCGTCATCACCGCTTTCTTCTCATGGATCGGGGCTCCGGCGCTGGTGGTAAGGGTGGCGGTTACCTAGAAATGAAGAATTGTATCTAGGTAATAAGCCTTTAACTTTGTTTCTTTATAGCTTTAATTTTCGCATAAAAAACCTACCGGGTTGTCGGCCCGGAACTTCTCCAGCTGCACATCGGCAGGGAATTTTTGGAGAATCGGGATGTCGGTCTTTGTTCCAGCGGCGGCAAACATCTTTTGCTGCAAATTTAGTGGGTTTTAATTGCCAAAAAGCCTATTACTTGTATTCAAACAAATTTGTAAAAAGGCAACGAAAAATAGAAATTGTCCACTTGTGAGTTTCTAAGTGGTAATAAAAGTTTGAAGGGCTGAATTTTTTAGAAAGGCCGGTAAAATCGATAATTGCCGTTTGATGGAGCTATAAAAACCGTTACTTCAATAGCTAGCAGAATTATAAAAAAATTTAATGCAAGCATATAATATGTGTTCAAAATAATAACGGCATATTTTATTAAAAAGGCCGCTCAGTCGTTAATTTTCGCTTGACGAAACTATAAAAGCCTTCATTATTAATCTAGAAACGAAAAGCCCGGGGGGGGGGGGGGGAAGAACTAGAACGAAACAGGAAAGAACCGGCCGGAGGACAAAACAAAAAAGGGCTCGCGCCCGGGGAAATAGGCAAATAAAATAGAGGGGACGACACCCAAAAGGGGGGGGGTTTATAAGATTTAACAGATGTCAAATCATGAAAGATTTCATTTCTAAATAATTCGCAGGCGTATAAAATGAGGCGAAGATGAGGACTGCGAGGCCATGTTTTCGATTTTGGCCCGTATTTTGAAGGGGGGAGGGGCAGCGGCTAACCGTAAACACCCCTCTCGCCGGTGTCTCTCTCTCTCTCTCTCTCTCTCTCTCTTTTTATCTCTCTCTTTCTCTCTCTCTCTCTCTCTGTCTGTCTCGCTCTTTCTCTCTCCACTTGTTTTCCGCTCTCCCATAAAAACAGCTAGGCGACTAGAGTGCATCCGCTGCCCAAACGTTCAACAAGTCGCCGCGGGAGGTTCGAGTTTATGGCGAGTTCTGCAGTAAATCAGATTCGCTTAATAAAAACCGGATCTTTATGGTTCTTGCAGGCTACGAAATTGCTGAATTGAACCGAGATTATGGTGTTATTAATGTCACCTTGTCCCTGGGTGCGTACAAAATTCCACAATTCTAAGGAGTTTTTCTAGTGGCGGATTTGCGTAGTATTTCGCCATAACACTATTAATTTAATTAATTTTAATCTTAATTAAAATAAAATAAGTATGAAATTTACCTTCCTACTCCCTTTCAAGGTGATGATTTATGGACAAACAACGTGCAGTATAGTATTTTTTTTGTGCGTTCCGCTAGAACCTTCTTATATTTCGCTTGAGGGGTCCTTCCAAAGCAGTGACAAATAGTTGTAGCTGTAGATGTACAGGATGTTCCAAAAAAACGACCCGTCTGGCTTTTCGCCGTGTTACATCCAATCGGCCCCAAATTTGGAGAAGAGGTGTATCGTACCCTAAATAACAACAATCCTGACTTATAGCCCTGTAGCTAGAGTAGTTCTCGAGTCATAGCAAAAAAAACTTTATTTTCCGTTTTTCATGGTGTTTCCGTGGTATTAGAACCACTAAATGTTAAGCGAAAATGATTCGGCAGACCTTCTTTAGCATAAGAAATCTTTCCCGAACTAAAATTGTTTAAAAAACGGTACCCCAGATCTTAAGCAAAATTAGGAATTCGCGGCCGGAAGTCGATGCAAAACGATGCAAAGTCTAAAAAGATCGTTTATAAACAAAAAACTGTTTAGAATTGCGGGAAAAACAGTATTTTCGTTATAACTCGAGAACTACTGTAGCTACGGGGCTAAAAGTTAGGATTGTTGTTATTTAGCGTCTGATACCCCTTTGGTACTAATTTGGGACCGGTTGGATGTAACACGGCGAAATGCCAGATGGGTAGTTTTTTGAGACACCCTGTATATGTTCATTCAACCTCAGAATAATTTATTTTGTTATTTATTCCAAAGATCGTAAGCACCGAACAAAAACACATACAAACGCGCATTCAAGTCCGTAGCACCCAAATGTAAGGCGTGAATTTAAAGTATTCCAGCCATTTGGCGACCATTTGGATGACTTTTACAAGCGAGGAATTTAATCTGAAACAATCGTATGTGTCGAGATATGTAATTTTTAAGGCATGGTGCGTACTATATCTTAACTTACCCGCCAAGAAAATTAAATGACACCGTCGCCAATAGGAAGCATAGGCTGAAGAAGATAAAGCAGAAAGCGAGGCTTTTCTCGACTTTTTTGGGTTTCTAAACAATAAATTAAATAAGGTTTGAAAAAACATAAAAAATCAAATATTGAACGTCGAAAATAGTAGAATTTTTAGTTAAGATAATTTATTTAAAACACTTACAATTTGACAATTCCGTATTACAACAGCTGGGGTTACCGGGAGAACGGGAGTAATCTTCGAAGATGGAAGGGAGCTTTCTGAAAAACTTGGGGTATTTTTGCTTTCTAGAGTACTTAAGATACAATCGCATTTCTGATACCTTGATGCACGAGGCGAAAAGCGAGAGAGAGAGAGAGAGTGACAGAGAGAGAGAGAGAGAGAGACAGAGAGAGAGAGAGAGAGAGAGAGAGAGAGAAGAGAGACGATTCTACGTTTTCACCAACCTCTCGTCTCAGATACAATAAATCGACGTTTAACACGCCGACAAAGGATACCGATATTTTGTTGTGTTGTTGTGAACGAGAGGAGGACGGCCGCTTTTCTTCGCTTCCGATATCGTTGGAGGAAATAGATGACGTACAGGTCGGCGGAGATGATCGACAGTAGGCAGATGCCCTAAAAATATAAATAAAATTGTTGCCATCTGAAAAAAAACAGGTTGTTTAGGTTTAAATGGCCAGGGCAGTCGTGCTCGAATGCAGCTACCAAGGCTGTCTGAAACTTAGAAGAACAGACAATGTGGACATGGTTTTTCTGATACCACATCTCCGAAAATCACTTTTTGAAAAACATTTTTTCGAAGGTCATTTTTCCAAAGACACCAGGGTTGAAAAGCCGCCTCGCGACTTTTCAACCCTGGCCCCGTCCACATCCAATGACAAAAGGGCTTTGCATATTCTGCGCGAATCCCGCCGACAAAAATGAGAAATCTCCTCTGTGGCTTGACTTTATAGGCGAAATTCGCTTCCGGCGCATGCAAATTCTCCCTAACAAAGATACTTTCACAAAGACCTTAATTTAATGTCGAAAATAGTAAATTTTCAAAAAGCTAATAAATCGGCAGCCATCTCCAGTGCATTACGCACCTAAAGACGTATCAAACATGCCGAAAGGCTACTTCCCTGACCTTTTATGAGTGGAACATACCTCCGGAAGTGGATGCAAATCTACACAGACACACACTATTTTTTTATATATTTTAAGATATACCAGGGTTGAAAAGCCGCTTCGCGACTTTTCAACCCTGGCCCCCGTCTGGGCTCAATGAGATTGTAAACTTTGCATAATTCCGCCTCAATCAACTGAGAAAAATGAAAACTCTCGTGCCAGCCCTTTATATAGGCTTTTTCTACTTCCGGCATATGCTAATTCGTTCCTAACAAAGAGGTTCGTCGAAAACTTAACAAAAACCCTAATTTTAATGTCGAAAATAGCTTATTTTTATGATTCTAATAGGTGTGCAGTCATCTCAGGGCCATTACGCACCTAATGACGTATCATACACGCCCTAAAACCCCCGTCCTTATTGAGCTATCCTCCGGACATACTGACGGAAGTGTATGCAAAGTGTCACACACACACATACACTATTTTTTATATATAGTAGGATTTTCGAAAATCCGAATTTCGATAAGTTGCATCGCTATTTCATACCCTTGCAGCCCTTTTTTGGAAACTCTGAATTTGGAAAAATGATTCTCGAAATCAGCTGCCTCTCTGTAGCTTGAGCAAATTTTTTCCATCACAGCTGCAAATTTCGCTTATTTCGGCTATTTTCCCCCGCCCCCGGAAACCAACTTTTATAGCGCTGGCCATACCGAAAACACGTTCCGAATGGCAAAACTTGTACCCGGCCCAATTGGTCCGTACTATTGTTTCCATTCGTTAGCCGGAAACGACGTCTGCCCGCCAAACAATTAGGCTTCTAGGTGGCCAAACACACCTGCGCGATCCAATTCCAGTAGACATAAAGGTCATAACCCGGCTTCTCGCGGTCGAACGACCAGAAATGGCCGCCGGTGTTGTAGATGAACCCGGAGAATGGGGTTAATAGAGGGAGGCAGATGGCTAGAAATTGGATTTGAGTCGAGAAAGAGAGAGGCAAAGAAGGAGAGAGAGAGAGAGAGAGAGAGAGAGAGAGAGAGAGATAGAAACTGACCTGTGCAAAACACTAGGATCGCCGTCACACTAATGGCAAATGACCGATTGGGTAACTTTCGAAACCGTGAGATATCGTAAATTGACCAGAGGTGTAGGAAGGCCATATAGCAGACGAGGGAGAGGATACCGTACCACCGAAAGCATTGCGTGAACCCGATATAGGCGAGCAGGAAATCGGCTAAACTCAGTAAATTACACCTTTCACGGCTTTTCGAATTAAGCTCTTGGTAATACAGTAATTTTTTGACTTGTAACAAATAAGAACAAAATTTTGCAAATATAAATACTTACGATAAATTTCCTTATCCAATAAAATTGCTAGAAAATCGTGCACCGATTCTGGTATCAGGTCGAACAGGTCGAGGCCGAAGATTATCTGAATTATAAAGGTTTTTCCATATTTCTTTCTATATTATTCTCGATTTTTCCATTTTCTCTCGAACTTTTTTCATCTGATTTAATGCAGCTAAATTTATGAAGCTATTCTGAAATCACGAGTATTCACGACATCGTTGTCTAATTAAAAAAATTTAGCGACCTCAGAAGCCTTTAGGATTATTTTTTGATTAAAATCGAAAGCCGAACGAAACTTCACGGTTTCAGTTAGTTAAGAAAGCAATTTTAATAGGCTTAACAACCTCAATAAACTCACCAGAACCACCCTGACAATCGGCGAAACTCTCTTCTTCCTTAGCGCATAACTGATGCATACAATATGATGCAGAATGACAAATGGGACCCGGGCAAATGACACCCAATCGAATACGGTAAAACTGTTGACGGTCATCGCGAAAAAGTGGCATACGCGATCGGCCGTTCGATGTTACCCATTCCACCGGTTCTCTGTAATTGCTGATTTCCGTCGACGCCAAGAATTTGAAATTGAGAAGCGGCCGGGAGATTTTTAGTAAAGGGCTTCCCCAATTTCCGCCACGTAATAAGCGACTGGGAATGGAATATCGTCATGGATCTGTGCAAGAGCTGATGTATAAATAGCGATTTTAAGGGGGTTAGGGACGCGGCAAGCTGTACTTTTTGAACGTAGGTACGGCGGATCGCAAATCGCAGATAGAGAGAGAGCTAGAAGAGAGCGAGAGAGAGAGAGAGAGAAAGAGAGAGAGAGCTAGAAGAGGGAGAGAGAGAGAGAGAGAGAGAGAGAGAGAGAGAGAGAAAGAGAGCTTAGAGCGTCTTTTTTTATTTTGCAAGAAAACTTGTTCAAGCAGCCGTAAGGTAAAGGTCCATGAACGAAACTACACAAAACAGAAGTTCCGGGGAACCCCCCTGAAATGTGGTTGCGCCCATTGCGGTTCAGTACAGCCAGGCAGCGGCAGTAAATGTGTTTCGGCCCTAATTATGTTTATCGAAAAGCTGGCTTTTGGCCTGAATTTCCAATTGGAACTGGAACGTTTCAATGAAACATTTTCAAGTGGACCTAGTAGGCGGCTTGGAGCTGCGCAGGCCTTTTAAGTTATTCTGAAGTATCCTGGGAACCTCGAGACAGCAAGCAGCTTTTGAAGGAGCTTGAAAACTCGCGCTTCAAACAAGGGGACCCCTTAGAAGCAGTCCGTCGGCCCTCGAGACAAAAATAAAATACAGCAAAAAATACCCAGGAAAAGTTACCCTAGAGTGTAAGAACCCCTAAGTACCTCGAGGGAGCTCCACACCTCGTGCTCCTTGAAAAGCGACACGCCAGAAAAAGACCCACAACAAAAAAACTGGCCGGCATCCTCATCCGGAAAACGTTTGCTGACCGTCGTCCGGCCGGGAAGTGTCTGGTTCGGCGGGGGCGGGCAGGTGTCAACTAGCATGTTTGGGTCCTGCGCAATTAACTTTAGGGCTCGCGAAGGGGACTGATTGGGCTTCCAGTTTCTTAGAAAACCATAAGCAGGATTCGCAGAATCCTCTTGGCTTCCGGATCGAAATTATGCTATCAGAAATGCCCAATTTTAGCATTGAAGGATGCACCAAAAGTGTCTCTTTAAATGAAGTGCGAGTTGACTATTTAAGGTGTTTTAGTAAGAGGCCATTACGGTATGGCAAATTTGCAAGTTTTTGCAAGATCGCGTCTTTTTGCTTCGCTACGTTATTTAATGAACCAGTTAGCTATTAAAAACTTGTCAAAATGGCATTTCTCTGGGTACCCTCTGGATATCTGAATAAAAAGGTGTGAATCACTACATGTTTTTGTATGTATAAGTGAGTACTTTCCACTGCTTTTTCGTAGTTTCGTAAGCACGAATTGCGTTAACGTGCATTTCTATATGTATAATTTATCTATAGCTCAACCCCTGAGCACCAAAATGTACGGCGTGAATTTCAGGTATTCCAGCCATTTGGCGACGGTTTGGATGATTTTGACGAGATGGGAGTTGAGTCTAAAATTGAATATTTCGTAGAAAGAGAGAGACCGAGCCAGAGAGAAAGAGATAGACCGAAAGAGAGAGGGAGAGAGAGCGAGAGAGAAAGAGAGAGAGAGAGAGAGAGAGAGAGAGAGAGAGAGAGAGGGAGCGAGAGGGTGATAGAAAGATAGAGAGACAGAGAAAGCGAGAGCGAGATAGAGAGTGGACGGAGCGAGAGAGAGGAGGGTGCGAGAGAGAGAGCGTCAGTGCAGGGAAAGATTCTTATGACCTACCCGCCAAGAAAATTAAACGAGACGGTAGCCAGGATAAAACAGAAGCTGAAGAACATGAAGCAGAACGCTAGGCTCCTCTCGCCGTTTCGAGGTTTCTACAAAAATGCTCGCTTGACTATTTTTGGTTTTATTCAGTGAGGAAAGTGTGTTTTTCAGTTCAAAATTAAAAAATACCTTTTTCTGCGGTTTCACCACCGGCGTAAAATCTCCAGCGCCAGTAACGGTTCGAAGGGAAGGCCGCGAGGTTTCTAAAACCACTTTTAACCCCTTTGAAGGTTTGTTCATTTTAGCACGTCAGTATCTAGACCCCTTGACAATTTGTCGAATACGCAAGGTACAGAAATTTGTTCAGCAACTCCTACACAAAACCGCGTGAGCCATTTGGTGAATGGGAGCGAATTAGTCTGAGAATTTCGGGTCAGATGACCTGGGAAACTACAAGATGCAGAGTAGCAATATGTTTTGTGCTCGAAGCTGCAGAAATATTCTCGAACACTGCAAAAAAAATCAAAAATTAAAAAAAGGGATGAAGCCTGTTTCAAATGAAAAAAATATGTCAAAAGCTGTTTGAAAATTACCAATAGTTGCTGTATTCGAGGAGACCGATTTGGAGATATTTCGGCGTTGTCGGTGTTTTTGTAGGAAGTAAATGACGTACAAATCGGCCGAGATGATCGAAAATAAACAGATACCCTAAAGACGGCAAATATTTTTCACTTTTTCTTTGTGTTTTAAGTTAAGATTATCTAAATTTAACAACAAAAAATAAAAAGACGGTTTTCGACCCAAGTTTCAATAACTTTAAGGTGTTTAGACTGTTTTCCCTTAAAAGATAGGAATATGAATCTTACCTGTGATATCCAGTTCCACCACGAGTACAAGTCAAAGCCTGGTTTTAGCGGGTCGAAGGACCAATAATGATATGCCGCGTTATAGATAAAACCCGCAAATGGGGTGACTAACGGGACACAAACAGCTAAAAAGCTTGATTTTTTTGGCGTCCGGTCAAGACCCCGAAAAGTCACTACCCCGAAAGTCACTACCTCGAAAAGTCACCACGCCGAAAAGTCGCTACCCCGAAAAGTCACTACCCCGAAATCGTTTACCCCGAAAAATGATAGCATTGTTTTTCCCGGAAAATTCCGGTTTTTATTTGGATTTTCTATGACTACTATTCTTGCCAATTATTTCGGGGTAGTGACTTTACCCCATTTTTTTGTTTAAAAAGTTGCTACCTGCACTAAAGATCAGTATCCCAAAAATACTAATCGTAAACGTTTTCTCGGGTAGCTTTCGGAAGCGCGAGATATCGTAAATCGACCAGAGGTGTAGGAAGGCCATATAGCAGACGAGGGACAGGATACCGTACCACCGGAAGCATTGCGTGAATCCGATGTAGTAGAGCAGGAATTCGGCTGGAATTAATTTGTGACGCCATGACAAGTTCAGAGAGTTTCACGTATGTGGGCCACGTTATTTTTTTGAAGAAGTATGGCAACGAAGGGGCGTTTTCGAACCTCTTCTAGGGCAACGCATCTTTGTCGATTTTCAGAATCAATTCTTACGTGTCCCAGTCCCTTGAACTCCAAAAAAACAGGTAGAAATTGACTTACGATAAATTTCCTTATCCAATAGTATTGCTAAGAAGTCGTGCAAAGAGTCGGGGATCAAATCGAATAGATCCAGGCCAAAAATTACCTGAAAAATCCATCACCCTCTTGACTTTTTTCCGATAAAATACCAAAAAGAAAACATGGTCGATTTAAAAAACCTACCAATACCACCTTCACAATTGGTGAAACTTCCTTCTTCCTTAGAGCATACCGGATGCAATAAATATGGTGAACTATGACAAATGGGACCCTAGCAAATGAGATCCAATCGAAGATCGTGAAGCTGCTGGCTGTCATGTTGTAGAATTTCGTCGGAAAATATAAAATAGACTAACAGCACAATTAGAACTAGGTAAAGTACGTTAGAATACACCAGATACGTTCGATTCCGATAAAATACGCTGACAGCCGAATACGATAAATCCTGCGTAATTTTATGGAAGATATGGTAAGATAGACTAGCTTAGAATCCGATCGAATACGGTAGTCTACGGTAGCATACGCTAAAATACGGCGGAGTACGCGTGCGACGATGATATGACGTAGAATATTCTAAAATACTGTCAAAAAAACTGTATTACACTCTAGAGTACGCTAGGTTAGGGCTGAATACTGTAGAAACAGTAGGGCTCAATTTTTGAAAGACTACTTACTTGATGTTGCTCCTAGCCGCTGGTATTCCCATGTATTTTTTGCTGGCCGTGAGAGAACAGAAAACGTGAGCTTTTCTGCGTGATTTTGCAATGGTGAACTTGGAGAGTTCGCAGCCAAATTTACGGGTCAGCGAAGGGTTTGAAAAGAATTTCAAGTCTGTCTTGATGGTCAAACACTTCCAGCTAGTTGTACTTTCTGTTTCATGGGTCGTTTGGAGACTACATACTTGAGGTTTTGATGAGAACTTTCAGGTTCAACTATTCCGAGCATTCCATCCTTGACTAGACCATAATAGGTGTGAGAAGTATACTTTTTTTTGGCTCGTGGAACGAGGTTTCCTGGGTTGAATGAGATAAAAATGAACGAGACGAGAGAAAAAGAGCGAGAGAGAGAGAAGGAGAGAGACACTGAGAGAGAGAGATAGAGAGCTATATAGATAGAGGGAGAGGGAGAGAAAGAGAGAGTGTGGGAGAGAGGGAGTGAGCAAGAGAGAGAGAGAGAGAGAGAGAGAGAGAGTGAGTGAGTGAGAAGGAGAGAGACAGTGAGAGCGAGATAGAGAGCTAGATAGATAGAGGGAGAGGGAGAGGAAGAGAGAGATCGAGAGAGAGGGAGGGAGGCGGCTATGTGGAAGTTCCATGTTGAAGCATTACTTCCCCGACGATTAATTGCATGCTTAGTTACAACTTGCAAGAAACTACGTTTATTAATGCAGTCGCACAAATATACAAGAATATCCAAATCAGTGTGCTGGTTTTTGTCTTTACTTGCGGCCCGTGTAGCCGTACAGTCCGTTGAGTCCCGTGAGTCCGCCTAGCGTTTGGGCTGAAAAAAACAAAATAGAAGCTAATTGAAACCATTAGACATCTTAGTTTAAAAAAGTCTTAAGCTACTAGATCAAAAAACTTACCCTGGCAGCTGATGTCAGCGACGCACTGTCCATTCGTATTACGAGCAAATCCAGGCAGGCATTCGCAGACTCCACTGGCGGTGGCCGACAGGCTGTTGCTGCACAAGTTCACGAGAGGGCAGGACTGAAACGAGTGATTTTCCAGTTGACAACATCCCTTTAAAATTACCTAATAATCCCCTAAACGGCCCAAATGTTGCCATCCCTTTAAAATTACTCAACTATCCCCTAGACGACCTGATGCCACGATCCCTTTAAAATCATCTTCAATGCCCCATACCTACCGTCTGAGGTCCATAGCACTGCTTCTCACACCTGACTCCACAGGTGTTGCATCGTTCTCCAATTCCGCAGCCCGAGAGAAGAGAGCAGCTACGCGACACTCCTCCTTGCAGTCCTGTTATTCCGTAGCCACCCGTCAGTCCATTGCTACCATAGTACTGGCTACCGTATTGGCCACCGTATCCCTGGAGCCCTCCGAGGCCGTATTGGCTACCGTAACCGGATAGCTGTCCGTATTGGCTTGGGTATCCTCGGATACCTCCGAGAGCGTAAGGGCTACCGTATCCCTGGAGTCCGTAGGCGGGGCTCATCTGTCCGTAGGGGTAGATGCCGTATTGGCTACCGTATCCGCTCAACGGGCTCATCCCATACTGGGATCCGATACCGTAGCCCGGGTATCCGCCTCCGATACTGTACTGTCCCTGCAGTCCGTTGAGGCCGAACTGGCTCGAGACGTACGGTGAGGTGTATTCTGAAAAATTAAAAATACTGTAGAACCTTTAAATTAGGTAATTTGAATTTTTTAAAGGGATGGTGACAGGTGGTGGGGACCGTTACGAAGTGAGGCGTCATGCCCCCTTTAAAATGGCACAAGGTCCCAAAATTTTCGACTTTCCAACGGATGCTAAATCAATAACTAGAATTTACGAGCCAAGCTAATCCCGAAAAGTGCCAAACACACAGCAAGCTTGGCCATTTTTGAAGCCGGTGAAGTCGATGTGGAAGAAGTGAAGGGGAGCCGATACTTTCGAGGTTATCCACCACATTTTATACCCATCCCCAGGTCAATATTTTTGTTATCCGAGTAATGGAAACTATTTGGAGAACACCAGTTTGGACAGTTTACCTATGGTTAAAACCGAACATTTGCGTGTAAGGGGCAGCTGTGCATACAACATGCCTGTTTTCTAGCCGGGGTCCAGGACGTCTGTATTTTGTCGGGAGAGAGAGAGGGAGAGAGGGAGAGAGAGAGGGAGCGGAGAGAGAGGAATATATTTGGAGATCGTTCTTTCTATTCTCCTTATTCTTGTAAAATTAACTGTTTTGTTTGATTTTTGCGTTTTCCAAAACCATCATGAGTGAAATTCCAGAGAGGTATAACGTTTGAAAATATAATCGAAAACTGTGCCGTCGATAGTAGCGATCAGGCGATTTCGCATCGCCGTGCGGTGATTACATTATGATTTTGTGGAACTCTCTATTTTTTGTGAAACTAGCAATAAAGTCTATGAATTTCCTTGTCTAAAATTTTCAGTTTTTTTTGAAAGCTCTCGGAAATTGGATTTAACACTTTTGGACATTTCCTGAGTTGCTGGAAAAAATTGCCGCCTCCCGATAATGCAAAAGAACCAGCGATCAACCGGCCAAATGGCATTCCTTTTGACGTAATAATCCCTTTTAATGCAATTTTGAAGTAATTTGACGTAATAGTCATATAAAGATCCCGAAAAATTTGCACTTGATCCTTTTATTTGTACTCTCCATTTACCAATAAGTCGGATTCGAAAGTAAGAACTGAAATTCGGGAATGAACACCAAAAACCCATGTGGTACCCGGGCGGCGAAGGCTTTGTAGGTACGAAGCAAAAGGTATTGGGCGCCAACGGCCCAGGCTACTGTAACAATTAAAAGGAGCCACCATGGCAAGTAGTCCCTTAATAGCCACAACCCGCCCATGGTCACGAGAATAAAGACAACAAACAATAAAATGAAGCAGAGGAAGACGCAGTGTTTTTCGGTAGGAGTTCGTGCTCGTTTACCATCGTCGACAAGCCCCCGTTTTGTCCAGAACGCGTCGATCTGGTCGGCCAACTTGTCGCGACGCACTTCTTGGTGGCCTGCAAATTTGTAAACTTGCATTTTTAACGTGCTCCAGCTCGGTAGGTCCCTTCAATGTCATGGTTTTAATTGTCTCGCTCTTGCTCTCGCTCTCTCATTTGCCTCTCTCTCTCTCTCGCACTCTCTTTCTCCCCGCTCTCTATGTTTGTCTCTTCGTCTCTCTCTCTCTCCCTCTCTCTCTCCTCTCTCCCTTTCCCTGCGCTCTCTCTATCTCTTTTCTATTTTCCTTACAACCCACTTGTTTCCTTGATCTTGTAGTACCAGTCCCGGACCCTGGACGGGAAGCTCTGCCCTGCTTCGAGGCGATGGAACACTTTCGCAGTTTTCCGTAGAATAGGCGCCAGTTCGCAGAAGTCTACTCGAATCGCGCCGATCGATTCGGTTCCTGGAATTCGACTTTTAATGGGGGGATTTTGAGTATTTTCGGCAACCAAAAAAAGCACGGAACAGAGGACGAAACACACCTGCTTCCATGCTTCCCACTTTCTTCCAGTTCCCTCCCACATGATCGCGAAGTGCCGGAATCGCTCTATCACCCAGAAAATTCTTCTTGCTATTCCTGTCCAGGACATGGGTCTTCAATCTCCCTTCCCCATCAACAGCAATATAATAAGTGGCCAGGTTTTCCCACATCTCGTCGCTCTGCTCGATCAGCTCGTCAAGTAATATCCGGTATATCGGGTTTGACGGAACTTCCGGCCAATATTCCAGGTATCGAAAGGCCCTCTCATAGAAGGAGAAGCTCTTCATAAAGTGCATTTGCTCCTCTGTGGTACAGGCAAAGATTTTATGCTGGACTTGGCCCGGGTATCCGACGGGAAACGATTCACACTCGGTTTCACACTTACAGGGAAATCGTGGTGGATTGTCGAATAAAAAGCAGTAGCTGGGGTCCGGCAGGATGTCTTCGGAAAGTCTCGGACTCCCGCCGGAGCTTCTTCGGGCCAGCTGCTCCGCCTCTTCTTTTTGAAATTTTTCCACGTCCCGAATTTTGTCCACTAGGCCACGACGTAGCGCTTCGGTGTCGAGGGGGGATTTTTGCTGCTTTGTAAAAACTGATTTCTTATTGTAGACCCGAAATTCGCGCAGATCTTTGCGGAAGATCATCTTCCGAAACTGCAGCCACTCCGAGCGCGAATCCGAGATTGTGAACGTCGCCAGAAAGGTGCGACACGTGAAGATGTTCGCCGTTTCCTCGAGGTTCCGCCTGGCCATGGTGTAGTAGTGGACGGCCTCGGAGTTGGAGAGCCTGTAATTTTTGGGTTTTCAGCCATAAGGTCCCAAAATTTTCGAAGGAGAATCCTGCTCGAAAAAGTTTACTTTCAGGAGTTGGAACCTAGGTTTAATAGAATTAAATTCGGGTTTGGCAGGTTACACATATCGTCATTCGCACACTAACACTTATGAACGATTTTATTCTACACTATTTTGGCCTAAACTAAGAATTCTTAGTAGGTTTTTGAACGATCCAAACAAATGTTGCGATAGTGAATTTTCTATAATGTAAATAAAAATGTGATAATAATAAATAAATTTAAAGTGTAAAGAAATGATAAAACCCCGAAAATGCTCTATCGAATGTAAAAAAAAGTATCAATATAAAAAAATAGCGAAAATATCGAAAGTAAGCAACTTCAGTGGTTGTTTTTGCTGCCGTTCAAATTTTTTAATATATTTTTAATGGTCTATCGACCGACCCGGCAAAAACGGCGAAAAAAGTTTTAACTTTATCATCCTTTGATGGGGGGAAAGTTTATGTAATTCTTCTTGTAAAACTGTAAATTAATTTTAAGTAATTAAAGTTAAATTCAAGTTATTGCAAAGTAAACCCTTGCCATCGCCCCATAATTGCAAACCACCCACCTCGACGTCTCCCCATCGGCCATCATCTGCAGCGCAAAGTTGAAGCAGCTCAGGTGGATCTGGGTGTCCAGCTCGAAAAGCTTGAAGAAGGCGCCCTTCAGGTCAGGGAAGTTTTCGGCGATCCAGGCAACCGCCTTAGCTTTGGGGGAATCTTTAAAAGGAGAATCGGGCAGGTCAGTTCTCGGCGAGTACGCGTCTTGGAGGATGGTTTCCAGCTTTTTGGCTATTTCCTCCCGATCTTCAGTGCCCAGTACGTCAAACTGGGCCCTGAATATTGCGCTTAAACCTCTTCGTTCATTTGACAATTCGCGCGCATTTTCGTATCGATTTTCGGGGTTAAAATTGTAGTCGCGGATGATGATGTCGTCAAAATGAATTTCACGACTGATGAGTTCAAGCCATAGGCAAAATAGCGGGCATCCGTCGATCGCAAGCTGGTCCTTTTTGGCCTCCATTTTAAAGTCATGGTTCGGTTGGAATTGTTGGCTGGTCCAGTCCGTGATACGGGCTGTCAGGCCGTTCAGGGATGGAAAAACTTCACGCTCTCTGGTGGTGCCATCAAGGCCGATTGGCAATAGTAAAATCGTGTTGTGGCGTCGGTGTTCTGGGACAGGTTGGAAGTCATAGTTCTGGAAAGAGCCGTTGCGGAGATCACTCGATTTGCTTAACTTGTTTTGGGCCAAGAAGAAGTCGGAAAAGAGCGCGAGAGGGAAAGAGAGATAGAGAAAGAGCGCGCGAGAGCGAAGGAGAGCCAAAGGGAGAGAGAGAGAGAGAGAGAGAGAGAGAGAGAGAGAGAGAGAGAATTAGAGTGACTGATTGAGAGAATGTTAACGAGGCATTTGATGCGTATGAAGGAGGAAATCGGCCGCCCAAGGGAAAGGATGGGTGATACAGGGACATACTGAGATAGACTAGGTGAGTGACAGAGAAGGAATGAGAACCAGGCAAAAAATTAGTCAGAGGGAGAAAAAGAGAGTCAGGGCGAAAGAAAGAGAGTGACAGATCGAGAGAGAGCGACAGAGAGAGAGAGAGAGAGAGAGAGAGAGAGAGAAAGAGCCGGAGAGCTGCAAGCGATTGGGCTGATGAGTCGCTCAGCTGCCAGAAATCTTTGCCTATTTCGTGGAAAATGGGTGAGTCACTCGACGAACCTTTTCCAAATCCGTAAAATCGGTCTGCAGCTAACCGCGGATTCCAAGCAGATTAGTCACTGGTCAAAGAAAGATCAGTCAAACCCACCAAGCGTGCACACTCATCCAACACTTGCGCAGCAGAGGGTCTCATCAGAAAGTCGGCGGTCAGGCACCTAAAGGGGAAGGACTAGGGCTCGGCGCATTCGTTTTAAAGGTGTTGTGGCGGCAAGTCGAAGGAACCTACCATTGTACCAGCTGCCTCAAAGCGGATTCAGGTTGCTCAGAAGCGGCTACGGTACCGAACGGAAGCGCCCATTGCAACCTCAACAGCTGATGGTTAGCATCCTGAAGGAGAGAGAGAGAGAGAGAGAGAGAGAGAGAGAGAGAGAGAGAGAGAGCGCGCGAGAGGTAGCGAGTGAGGGAAAGAAAGCGTGAGAGATTCAGAGCCAAGGAGGGAGAGTCACAAAATATCACCTCCTAGTGATAGTCTCCCATATGGCCACCCCCGCACTGTACACGTCACATTTGCAATTTTCCTAAAATCAACCCTCTAATTAGCACTCGATTCCTAACTTACCTCAGCCGTCACGAGCAACCGTTGTTCGACTTCGGGCGCCATATACCTCTGGGTGCCAACGAATTTGTGCTTACCATCAGCTGCTTTTTGCATTATGCCAAAATCGGCGATTTTGGCGGTGAAGTGGCGGTCGAGAAGTATGCTAAACTGAATATCATCGCTTGACTGGGCTGAGGCGTCTATGCTCGCTCCGTCTCTCTCTCTTTCGTTCTCGCTCTCTTGCTCTCTCACTGTCTCTTTCCCTCGCTCTCTCCTATATAGGTTGAGTGAACAAACTACAAACTTGGCCGGCTTGATGTCGCGGTGAACGATGGCTTGTTCTTGGAGGTAATGAAGGGCTTGAAAGATATCTGAAGCCCAAGAGACGATAGTAGAAACAGTGTAGACAATTTCTTTGTTGGTGATTACTAAAAATTGACAGTTTTTCGCTCATAAAATCTCTTATTTTCCTTCTCTCACTCAAAGGCTCGTTCTCTCCCTCTCGTTCTCTTTCTCTCTCACTCTCTCCCCCTCGCCTCTCTCTCTCTCTCTCTCTCTCTCTCTCGTTTTCTCTCTCTCCCTCCCACCTACCATCAGCCATAGACCCATATTCGCAATATTCCATATAGATCAGCCGGCAATCCGTCCGATCGTGTTGGTAGCCCCACGGCTCATCGACGAACTTTACGATATTGGGATGGGCCAACGCCTTCAACACGTTCAGCTCTTTGTCGTACTCCGCTTGGCTACTTCGCCCGTCCAGTTCTTTGACGACGATTTCTCTATTTTATACTGAATCTCGTGCCTGTACTAGCGTCGCTTACGTATGGTGCGTATGTAGCAAATAGACATTTCCATAGCCGCCATGACCGATCAGGGTTTTGACCTCTGCCGGCTCTTCGATCATTGTTGCTGGAAGTTGATCAAATGAGCGAGACAGACAGGGATAAAGAGAAACAGAGAGGGAGAGAGCGGGAGAGCGAGAGAGTGCGAGAGAAAGGGAGAGGCAAAGAGGGATAGAGCGACAGGATAAAATATACATGTTAATAGAACGATACCTAATAAAATTATGCTTAAAAACGGCACTATCCACACCAAAAATCGTAAAAAAAATCTTGGATTTGCGGGAGTGATTGATTTGTTTCGATGGGAGAACGAAGGAAAGAAAGCGAGAGGGCGAGAGAATCAGAGTGAGAGAGAAAAAGAGAAATTTCGGGGAACCAAAATCCCCCGATTTGCGGAACCCGGGGAGTCATCTTTTTGACTCTCTGTCCCCCTTTACAGCCAATTAAGCAGTGTTGCCGGATTCCGTCCTCTGAAAGAGTGTATTTGTTGTCCGCAGATTGAGAGGACCAGTGAGAACGATGCGAAGGGCAGCTGACAAAGATCAGCGCATTTGCGGATTATGAAAAAGCGATGTCAGCCTACCAGAAGTGCTACGATATATCTCGAATTATATGATGTAATGAAATAGGGCTTGCCTTTGGCGAACGGAAATTTCGAAGAGCCCCTTACCAAAGGGCTAGCTGAGCTTTGAAACCCAAAAATTTACACTCAACTTAAATTCGCTGAGCCGAGAAAATCATTGAAAATGAGCGCTGGTTATAACTGTACTAGAAAATAACTGTTTCGAGTTTTTTAAGTACCAGCCGTTTGGTGCAAAAACGCTGGAAAATGAAAGTGGCAGATCCGCCCTGGTCGGTTCTATAGGAAACGACAAAAACAAATTACTCATCACCTGGTTAGCAGGGTTGTCCTGCGTAGTTTCCTTTTTCTTTCTCTTTCATACAGTCTCTCTCTCTCTTTCTCTGTCTCTCCCTCTCTCTCTCTATCCTTCTCTCTCTTTATGTCTCTTTCTCTCTTTCCATCTCTGCTCCCCATCTCTCTCTGCCTCGCTCTCTCTGTCTAGCTATCCATCTATCTCTTGTGCTCTCAATGTATTATCTGGGCCTTCTTGCTCAATTTTAGGCAAACGTGTGCGTGTGAAAGCCGCCATATCATCAATCAGGATTTCCTTGCAATGTTTAGATGGATGAAACAGTTCCGGTCTGCCAGAGCTTTTCGTGAAATATGACATGATATATGTCATGATATTTCAGCGGGAACTTGCCCCAGGTGTTACGGCGTACTTAGTAGCGAAACGGAATTTATTACATGCAAGATATACAAAAACGTGGATTTTGAACTCGGAGGTCGCGCTCGAGGGCTTATTGCTTATTTCTTCAGCATCGGGAGTCCGGCATAGGGTTGGGCTGAAAAGGTCTCTCACTCTCTCTCTCTCTCTCTCTCTCTCTCTCTGCTCTCTCTCGCTTTCTCCCGATCCCTCTCTTAACACCTTTAAAACCAAACCCACCAAAACGATACGGCCCAGTCATTCCCATGCCTCCCATCATCGGTCCCATCATTCCATTGCCACCGATCGTCATTTGGTTCATTCCGTACATTCCATTCATTCCAATTCCCGACATTCCGTAAGGGTATCCATACATCGGCGTCATCCCTCCGAGACCATACTGGGTACCGTAACCGGGCATCATTCCGTACTGGCTTCCGTATCCCTGAAGTCCGCCGAGGCCGTACATGCTACCGTATCCACCGAGTCCAAGAGCAGAGCTCAAGGGGCCGTAGGGGTACTGGCCGTACTGTCCGGGGTATTGGATACCGTAACCGCTACCGTATCCGTTCAGCGGGCTCATGCCATATTGCGATCCGATACCGTAACCCGGGTCTGTGCTGCCGAGGCTGTATTGACCCTGCAGACCGCCGACGCCCCATTGGCCGGAGAGGTAGGAGGGGGAGGTGAATTCTGAAGAGATTTTGTGGTTTAGATGCTTATTTCTTAGCGGATAAACTACGAATTCATACGCTAAATAATGTAGTTAAAATGGGACCTTGTACTTTTGTAGCTTGGTATCTCAAAGCCTCCTTTAAATTCCCGGAATTTCAGCCCGGCTTGAGCATATCAATTACTACTTACTTTGTATACTTTCAAAACACAGAAAAACCTACGAGCAACTGAAGCTCCGAAGAGCGCGATCAGGAGCACGAGCTTGAACATCGTTAAGGCGTTCGGCTGTTTCTGAGGTGGAGACTGAAGTGAAGCCGATGTCACGACGAAACTCCCATCCATTTTATACTCCATTTCAGGGCAATATTTTTGTTATTCTTGTAGTGAAAACTATTTGGAGAACGTCGGGCTGGCCATTTGCTTATGGTAAAAATTCGGGCCGAACATGTAGCATTTGCAGCTATGCATACAAGGTCGAAGAACATGGCCAAACTATGGGTCTAGGGTTTTGTGGAAAACACGGTTTTGCCAGAATTAGCCCAAGGATCGTGAATTAATGCGTATTCCAAGAAGGCAACGAGGTAGCTGTTGCTACGCGTGGCGCCAGATTACGCAAGTCAGCCTGTTAATTCTAAGAATTTTTAAATTGCTATTTTATCAATTAAACGAACAGCTTTCGTTGATTTCGATACCGCCGCTGGATTCCCGCCCGACTGATCTAGTCTCCAAATTTTTGGGAAATTTGGAGCTATGACATTCTAGATACAGGCGATCCACTAAGCTGATAACTTTTTGACGGGTACTGTAGATGAGACGTCCTCTTAGGTTCATACGTAACGCCTTTGATGCATTTTCCTGCCTATTTACTCAAGGTGCATAACAAGGGCATTTTATTCATTGATTTCCACGGTGAATGCCTGGATGTCGCTGGTCTTTGACCTGAAAAAGGGCTTTCCAAAAAAAGTGGCGTCACAACTTTTTAGCGCGTCGTAGCATTTTTTGGGGCAAGAATTTAGTTGTTTGAAAAAAATTAAACGTTGCGCCGACGCGAAATATGAACATGTGGCTGACCGTACATCATCATCAGGGTCTGCGTGTGCGAGGCCATAGGCCGAGGGGATCCAGCCCGTTCTGCAAAAAAAAATATTACTCTGATTTTGAAATTGTTTAGACGTGTTTTGCTGTGCATGTGATGTGCTGCGTGTTCGGCTGTTGCTTTCTGCCATTTAACCGCATGTGCACAGAAAATACCGTATGCACAGCGATAAACCACACCGTACCTGAGCGAGAATGGTTGCAATGAATAACATGCATAGCAGAAGGAGACGCATTGTTAGTGGTTTGAATATTTTTGGGACCGGATTGCTTTTATGCAAAGAAATCGGTTGTAAAATGGCCCCAATAGCCACGATAAACCTTCCATAAATCCCTGAAAACCGGGGGATAAATTTGGCCGTGAGACTCTGACCATTGGCGTCGGCAAGAAATAGCAAAAATCCGGCAATATTCGCTGCCCTACGAGTTCGAAAAAGGCGTATTACATATTTTCCGATAAGTTGCAGTTTAATGCGCATGATTTTTAGAGAGAAACCAGTGCTGACCCCCCACTACGCTGGTGTTCAGCGTTGGCCGTCCTCCACAATTTGAATTTTCATTTGAAGGCAGGATTAGGCTGAATTCCCGGTCGCACGTCAAGCGTACGGACATTACAAATTTAGATATAGTAGATAGAGAATGAAAGAGAGATATAGAAATCGTGTTTTTAGGCTGGATTGCGTAATCTGCCGCCAAGCGTAGCAACAGCCTCCCCATTGCCTTCCTCGCCGAATAAACGCCGAAAGCTGATAGAAGATTTGATAGAGACCCAAAAAGTAAAAATCGAAAATGTTTGCGAACCGCTAGCTAGGGGGTTTTTGGGACAACCTGTATTTCTGTGTTTAGGAATTCTGTCCGATTTGGTGTGGGTGGTATATAATGGCGCCATTTCGTTGATATACTTTGTTTTCAACCCGTGAGTCTTATGACAAACAATATGATGTTCGGACATATCCAAACATTGAAGACGATTTTGATACGGAGATATAAGCAATTTCAGCGAATTTCAAAACAGAATGAAAGCGTTATGAACGTATGGTGCCATTGGGAAGGCACAAGGCCCGTTATTTGCAATTTTATCTTCAAGATTAGCTTTTTCGGGGGGTACAACGGTATTTATTGTTTGTTTTGAGACAAACAGTAGCGGCGGCACAACCTCGACCTTTTCAAAGAAAAACACATTAAAATAATTTAACTTATAACTAAAAATGAGGCATAAAGGTGTCCGGGTGCTTAAAAACTTGATTTTTATGAACGTCCCGGATCATTTCTTAAAAACAACCATTGTCACCATCTTCGGAAAGAAAATACGGCGAACACGTCATATAAATCCATGAGGGTCTTCGTTAATTGGCAGCAGCCCTTATACCTCCTGCATCCCGTACTCCGTCCCGCATTCCTAAGCCCACCGAAAGATTTTGCAAATTAAAACTTTCTATTGTTAATAAAAGTATTAATCAATTGAGAACAGATCAGATTATTAAATATTGGGATTTAGCGGTTAATAGGCCAACTCTATGCACAATACAGTCCCAAGAAAAAGCCATGCAGTTACACAACTTCTTGCGCCTGTTCGGCCTGCTTGAACCTCTCGATCTTCTTGATTATGCCGACGTAGTCTTCATACACGGCATTCCACGGAGGCACGGATAGGACCCCCCGGGGCCGCGGCGCAATCGGTTAGCGCCGATCCCAAATCTCAAACATAGGGTCCGGGTTCGACCCCCGGGACCAACGTGCAACCGCTATTTCTCCCCAAAACCTTTGCCAAGGTTTTGCGTTTTGCTTAAAAACTGTGCTCCAGCCATTGAAAACTGCTAAAACAATAAGGATCTGGAAAAATTAACCCGATCAAAAAAGAGACGGTTGATCCACTGGCGTCCATTTTCGCAAAACAGTCACTTGGAGCCATTTTAAGCGTCGATTTCAAGCACTGGGGGGTGATCGACCTTGATTTTACCAAATCTAGGCTCAGCTTTCAGCGACAATCCTTGGTTTCTGCGCTATTTAAATCCGCACAAAATCCTGAACTGAACTTCAAAAGACCATCACAAAAAAGTACCAGAATAGATTTTCGATAGTTAGGTCTCAAAATCTGCGCCTTGGCGTCTAGAATATTTAAATCTAATTGAGTTTCTAATTTTTCTATTACATTTCGAGAAAAATCCAGTTTTGTTCAAAAGTTTGTTCATTTTCGAACAAAAACGTAGCGAGCGCGCTGTCCCCTTGTGCAAGGGAGCCTGCCGTAGCCCAAAAGCTATCCGTGCCTGCCTGTTAAAGCCTGGAATGGCGTGCATAGGATATACGTCGATCCCTGAGTCAATCGTCTACAAGGTCAAAATGGATACCTTATAAGGAGGTAATATTTTATCATTGCAAAGGATTCGGCCAACCAAAACAGCGCTAGTCCTAGCAGCCCCATCCATTCCTCTAAATAAACCTAAAGTAAGCTCTCCTAATAGGTCAGTTTATACATGAAAGAATCCGTGTCCTTTCCATTCTATCCCGGCTCGCTACGAAATTATGGCGGGCATGTATAAATATAAATTACGGGATGTGTAAATATAAATTACGGGATTACGGGCATGTTTACCAGGGTAAAAACCGCTACGCGGCTTTTCAACACTGTGATCGTCTAGGAGTCTGATAGTCTAGGACCTGTGATAGTCTTTCTTCCCGAATCTTATCGAGAAACAATCAGTCCCACCACCCCCTTTATATAGGCTACCCCCGCTCCCGGCTGATGCAAATGCTTTCCAAACAAAGAAGAAGGGCGAGATTTTACAAAATTACTATTGATAATGAAAATCGCAACTTTTTCAAAATCTTATGTACGTGCAGTCGATTACGGGTCACTACACACCTAATGACGTTTCACCCCCATCCAGAAAAGGCTTCCCTTCCCTCCCCCGTCGACGCGTTTTTAAAATGGCCGAGAAACGTTCTAAACACTCGGAAAACAGCGCCGCAGGCACAACTTTATCAACGATAGGCTGAAAAACCCCTAGTATTGAAAAAATCGCATCAAAAAAAGCGCTTTTGAAGCAAAAATTTTGATAAAGTGACCGCAGTCAAAAATGCTTTTTATCTATAGTAGTAAACCGCGGCTCGATTTTGCGAGCCGCGGAACCGAGTGGCTCAGTTTTGTTTAAAGCGTGCTTTTGAAACCTCTCTAGCCTAACAATCACAAATGCAAGTTGAGGCTTCGGGTTGCAGAACTTACTCGCGTATTGGCCCATCATATTGCCGGATTCATCGATGTTGACCGAGACCAAGTTGTCAATTATCATGGCGACAATCATCAACATATTGAGAACGATGCGGGCACTCTAAATATGCAATGACAAATGGCATTTTTCGCAAATTAGTGTAGCCGCAAGTCTTTATTTATTGTCGTTATTTAGTTTGTGGCGAATCCCAGGCTATATTGGAATTAATTGTGTGTTAGGTAAGTGGAAGGAGCGTGGGGTTTTTTTTGAGAGAACTAGAATAGAGGTTTGATAATTTTTCATCGAACGGTGTTCCCCTGTAACGAGATATCAAGCCAAAAAGTGCCAACACAAAGGAACACCTACGAATGCCACCATGTAAGTTTGCATGATGCATGGTCGCTCGGTGATGATAACAGCGACGGCCATGCATACTTCGCTCCACCCATAGCAACATACGATCCATTGTACAGTGCTCCACATAATCTTAGGTCCACCCCCCAAAATTGGGAAATTAAAATTTTTAGATACTTTTATAAAAAAGCAACACAATCAGCGCAGAGTAAAAGGTATTGCAAAAATATACTACAAGAGCCAATGCCGATAAATGGTTAGATAAAATCATTAGCCAGAAAAACATGAAAAACCCATTTTTGCCACTCCACATAATCTTAGGTCCACCCAGCTTTACGAAAAAACGCGTGGACCCACAGTGCTTAATCGAAGATCTTTGGCTTAATCAGACCCTCAGCTACTCATTGAAACGAAAAAACTTGGTTGCCAAGCTCTGGGACGATTTTTGAAAAATCGGATTTTAATAAAGGATTTTTCGATTTTTTAGAAATAAAAAACCAAATTTTGTCTTGGTGGCAAGTCCAGACTACGCGGAGAATTGAAGCCTAGCGAGTTCTAATCCTTTGAAAACTGCACGGAAATGGCCTTTCAGAGAACGCGATTTTCAAGGCTTTTCGAAACTAGTCCAGAAGGCCGGAAATGGGTCCATAGTAGTTTCTGAAAGTTGCACATGTTCTTAACGACCGATTTTCGGATATGCAATTGTTAATCTAGCCAAAATTATCAGTGTTGCATCAATATCGCAGCCCATACCTGGCCAAATGGACTGCGTGCCGCGAGGCCTTGACACCCTAACTTCTAGAGCTCCCTTTTCAGAAATTCCGTAAACTAGCGGAAAAATGCTTGCGAATTCTGATTCAGCATCAGGTTTTTTACAAAATCACCAGACCGGCCGACCTACAACCTTCGCGGACCAAACAGGCCGAAAATTCGTGAAAAAACCCAAATAAAGTTTAAGAAACAGGGTGTATCAAGTCGATCATGTTTTTTGCGATGCCATGGAAAAATAATGTCGACAAACTGCGCTGAACCTTGCTCGCACGCTCGCAAACGGACTTTTACAATATTTGCCACCCATGAATATCGGAACTAAACGTACCTTTTATCCACATCGGCCGTAGGTCTTTTACGCATGAGAGCACGAAAATTGTAAATAGGATAATCTTGGCAACAAGGAAAAGGGCGTAGCCGAGCTGAACCGTTTGTCAATAAAACTACGCCTCTCACCCAGGCACTGCAACATAGGCAGCGGTATTTGTTGCTATCAATATTTTGTTTAACCCATCTCCCTCTGGGGCGCCAGCACCACATTCGGGTAAATAGTTTGAGCAGGATTGACGGATTGAACATTACGCCCGGTATGAAACTATCTGGCAAAAATGAATCAGAAATCAATCAAAAACAGACTCGGAATCAGCGTGACAATCAAAGGAAAGGGTGGCGATTAAACTATTCGCCTATCCTATGAAATATCTCGCACATAGACACAATTTGCTTGTGTGTGTAGTTGCATGAAACTACCCTGCCTTGAAATCTGGTACCCGAACTTTGGGACCCCCCTCCTTGAGTAGGCTTTTGGAAATAGTTCCTTAAAACCATCGCCCCGGCCCGGAAAGAACCAAAACATAAGTACAGGGTGTCCCAAAAATACCCTGACACTTTTTAAAGTAATTTTTCTCTAGTTTTTCCTAGTTTCTTGACACGTAGGGAAATTTTCCTACTTTTTGAACCGTAAGAACTCCTCCTTTATACACGTTTTGTCCGGGTATTTTTGGGATGCCCTGTACGGTTTCCGGCCTTACTATCCTCCAAACGGCAGTCGTGGTCAGCTGTTTCCGCATTCCCAGCTCCTTTTTGTACCAGCTACCCGGGTGGACACAAATTTTTGACCGCTACTTTATTTAATGCGCGAATTTTGCTGAAACCAGGCGGCGCTGCAAAAACCAAATTTGTAAGGAGGTTTTTCACGAACCAGAAACCTAATGATGGTCGAACGATGGATAATGGTCGAAAACCCTATTCTTCTAGAAAGCCGGCAGAAGACGTTGCAGTATGGCGCGGGATTCGCAAGTTCCACGACACTCAAATCTCGGAAATTTTTAAAAATGTTTAAATTATGTATGTTATGTCATTAGGTGATTAATTGCCGCGAGATGACTGACGCATATCAGATTTTTAAAAAAAATGTTGTTTTTGACATTAAAATTAAGTTTTTGTTGGAAATCAGGAATACCCTTTGTGAGAAAACAATTAGCATGCACCGGCAGCAGCCGTAGCATATATAAGGGAGAGTCGGGGCCTATTTTCATTTTGTAGCATAAGAGATCCGGGAAAATCACGTAGAGCGAAAAGTCTTATTGGATCATACGGGGGCAGGGCTGAAAATTCCGCTTTTTAACCGTGGTAACCCTATAAAAACCTGGTGAATCACGCTGACCGTTCAAAAGACACCGACCTATGATGCGCAAAAAAGGGCCTTTATTCATTTTCCTCACAGCGGGCCCAGCTGCAAAAAATTTCCTCGAAAAAATTCGTCGAAACTCAGAATAACGAAATTTAGATAAGCTAGTTTTTCCGGAAAACCCCCGAATCCGATGCAAAACATTTTCGCCATTTTGAATTTCGACATGATGATCTTCGACATTACGATTTTCAGTACGCAAATCCATTTTGTGGTTCTCGGCCTCAACGGTCTCGGGTGAAGGATCCGAGCGACCAAAATCAAAGAAGACCGATATACAGGCTCTAGATGTCTTGTAAAACTTACGCAAAGCTGTTTTAGCGCGTTAGCTCTGCACACAGTGATTTGCATGTGATTCCTTTAATGCCAATCGATAGCTCTCAAGGAGTAGATATCGATAGATGTTGAGATCATTAAGATTGGACATAGGGTGGTTTCTTCAGTTTCCCTGCTAGCGTGCCCTTGTGAGAAAAGGTCGCTTTACCGGAGAACAAAAATCACGGTTCTCAAAGCAATCATCAACTCACCCAAAAGGGTTAGTGGGCTACGACCGCTAACCCCGACGGGAGGTTTGGACCCTCCTGAATACGATGGTGATGTTTTTGAAATCGGAGAAAGCTACCGGAAAAGTCAATTTTTGAGAGTTCTGTATGCAAATTGAGCAATTAAGCGAACTGTTTTTCTTGAGAAATTGCCATCTCACATTTTCGGGGGAATTTTGGATCTATGACATTCAAGATACGGGGGACCCTGCCAGCTGATAACGTTTCTGACCGGTACTGTAGAAGCGAAAGTCCCCTTCGTTCATAAGTAATGTTTTTGTGTGTTATGTCTATGTTTCCTGCATACTTACTCACGATGAGTAACATGGGCATTTTATTCAATGATTTTCACGGTGAATGCCTGGATGTCGCTGGTCTTTGATCTGGAAAAAGGGATTTCTAAAGAAACTGGCGCCACAAATTCGCAGCGCGCCGTAGCATTGAAAACTAAAAAAATCAGAATGTGCACCTGAACACATCAAAATATGAATCTTTTGATAACCTACATCATCACCCGGGTTTGCGTGTGCGAGGCCATAGGTTGAGGGGATCCAGCGGGTTCTGCAAAGAAAATCCTACTCTGATTTTGGACTTGTTTAGACGTGTTTTGCTGTGCATATTAGTGCGTTGCGTGTCCGCTTTTGCTTTCTGCCATTTCACTGCATGTGCACAGAAAATACCGTATCCACAGCTCTGATCCAAACCGTACCTGAGCGAGAATGGCTGCAATAAATAGCATGCAGAGCAGAAGGAGACGCATTGTGGGGGTTTGACTATTTTCGGGACCGATTTGCTTTTATACCAAGAAATCGGTTGTAAAATGGCCCCAATAGCGACGATAAACTTTCCATAAAGCCTTAAAAAAGGGATAAATTTGGCCGTGTGACTCTGAACATTGGCGTTGGGAAAAAATGATAAAAATCCGGCAATATTCGCTGCCCAACGAGTTCGAAAAAATACAGAGTGCATATTTTCTGATAAAAAAACACATATTTTCTTTCCAGAGCCCGCTGGACCCCCCCTCGGCATAGGGCTCTCTCACTCTCTCGATCTCCCTCGATCTCTCTCGCGCTCTTTCTCTCTGGCTTTCTCTCTTGATCTCTTTCGCTCTCTCGCTCTATCTCATTATCACTCTTGCTCGCTTTATCTATTCCGCCATCGTACGATATACAAAAAAATAGTGTCTGTGCGTGTATATGTGTGTGCCACTTTGCATCCACTTCCGTCTGTCTGTCCGGAGTATATCTCGATAGGGGATGCATCTTACGGTATATATGATACGTCATTAGGTGCGTAATGGTCTTGAGATGACTGCATGCATATCAGATTCAACAAAATCACCTATTTTCGGCCTTAAATTTAAGCTTTTGTCAAAACTTCTTTGTTAAAAACAATTATCATAGACCGGAAGTGGGGCTAGGACTATATAAAGAGGCAGAAGAGAATCTTTTTTGATTTTTGTTATCTGAATTCAGGACAATTATGCAAAGTGCAGGATAAAATGGGCATCAGGGCCAGGGTTGAAAAGTCGCGAAGCGGCTTTTCAACCCTGGTCTTTTTCTACTGTTCTCCTTCTTTCCTGTAATCGAATCGTTTGACCGCCCGATTCCCTGCTGTCGACATTTTGCAATTTGACCCTTTGAAGACCTCCGCTTCGTTGAATAACGCATGGGACCTGGCGCTCCCAGAAAAGGATGAAGCGGGGGCCGTATGGGCTCGATCGCCTTAAAATCCGTCAACCCACGCGGTGTTGCCATTCAACATGCGCTCCATTTTCTACGTCCTGCTGCTGTTCGCAGTTACCGCTAGGGTCGTTGAGGTGTGTAAACGAGAGAACTTACTCATAACCGGCAAATGAGAACGCCGCCGAGCAGGATTTTTTAGCGAGAACGAGGGGTGTAACTTTAGGGCATGATTGATATGTCATTAGGTGCGCAACGGTCCCAAGATGAGGGCTCATATATCAGCTCCAAGAAATCTAGCGATTTTCGTGATTATATTTAAGTTTTTGTAAAAACCTCAAGCAATCCCGTTGTCAGGCGGCAATTTGCAGGTGCAGAAAGTGGGGGGAGCCAATATATCTACTATAATAATTTTCTTGAGGTGTCTGTCCGTCTGTCCGTCGGGTCCCGAATTGAACTTGAAGGGGGAAAGGAGCTAGAGCTTAGGACTCTTCGGATTCGGACAAAGCCTGCTCAGAAACCCCAAACTAATAAAAAATTATGAAAAAGTTTTTGTTCAGTTTATTAAATTTCACTTTGAAAGTGGCGCTTTATTAAAACAAGTGGGGGAACGGATGTTTGCACGATTTTGGGCTTAGTGAGCCAGGTCGCAAGCGTTTCGGCGAGGGGAGGGAGCGCTGGGGGTATCCGGAAGCCCGAGGTAAGCGGCTGCTATATGTATGGGCGCAGGAGATTCCCTTCATGCCTTTTTTATAAGAGTTTGGGTAAACCTATGCAAAGTGAAAACTAGCGTGGGGCTTGGACGGTGCCAGGGTTGCAAAGCCGCGTAGCGGTTTTTCAACGCTTCTTTTTCTACGATAAATACTAGATCTCAATGGGCAAACACTTTCAGTGCGGCGGCGCATGCGGCACGAAGGAATGTAGTTGGTACGAGGGCTGCTGCCACCCCACGAAGACCTGCATGGCTATTTATAACGTTCCCGCGGTGATTGTGTGCACTGGTCAAACGATGTCAAGCCCAGACGGCGCTCCTTAACAGTTAGGGGGATAAATCTGTGTGCAAGCTTTGAAAAACGAAAACAGCCTTTTTAGAAGGGGCTTTTTCGTGCATTCGTGGGTTTTTTCCTGTTTTTCTGACAATAAATGTGTTGGGTAAGGATGAAAATTCAAATGAGGACCAAGCCTATATTGTGCAAAATTTTCCGCTGATTGCAGAGCGGTTCATTAAAACCGCAGAACAGCTCTCTGGTTGAAAAGTTTGATGCTTTGAAGCTTATTTTGGCACCCGTTAAATAAATTTCTTTGATGCCGCTATTTCACATGTTACAAGTTATTTTAGGTAGCCTAAATGAGAGAAAATTTTCGGCTTAAGATGGTATCGCTAATCAAAATCTGGATGCTTCCCAGCTGCGGCCACAAAATGTTTAAAGTGATTTGTATTTTACCGTTTCCCGCCGAGAAATCTGGGGTCGTCGGGGTTTTTTTCATTTTTGGTCTTTATTATGGTTTCGTCAGATTATTTTGATGTGCTTTTCTTCGATAAAGTCGAGGTTGTGACGCTGCTGCTGTTTGTCTAAAAACAAACGCTATATCGTTGTAAATCTCGAAAAAAAAAATACTGAAAATAAACTTGCGAATAGCGGGCCTTGTGGCTTCCCGGCGGCACCGCACGTTAATAAATCTTTCATTCTGTTTCGAACTTCTCTAAAAGAGTAAGCAAGTAAGTAGATCGATTTGAATGATCGGCTTTTTTGTTTTGGCAATACTTACGGGTTGAAAATGAAGTATATCACCGAATTGGCGCCATTATACACCACCCACACCAAGTCGGACAGGCAGTTGACCAACAAGCTATCGTCCGCCTGTGTTAGCGTCTACATATTTTTCATGCTAAGGATTACCCAGAGCAGAAAGTAATACCATATAACATATGCGAGTGTATCAACAGCGAGAATCGTAAATACCTAAACGCAGAAATACAGGCTGTGCGAAAGCACGCCCGCTCCTTCCGACACGACCTTTGACCGCTTTCTGCCCTATCGGGACCAAATTTTTGCCAGCGATGGGAACCCATAAAAACTGTGCGCAGCCAAAACTTCTAGGAAAATATTGTAAAAAAAAGTTGTCGTTGAAAAACAGATTTTGAAAATGCCACCACTCGCTTTTGGGTTGATTTTTTGCAATTAGCATGCGGATTTTGAGTAATTTTCCGAAAAATTGTCATTTTCGGCGATTTTTCTGTCGGCTTTTTCAAAAAAAAAAAATGCCTAAGAATCCCAATTTAAACGGTTTTAATTTCAATTTATAAACCGTTGTCTAGGTACAGAAGTGCGCCCTTTTCATTATTGGCAAACATTTTGAGATCGAAAGTCGTCATAATCCCAGGCATATCGGAAAAATAAACCTTGTTTTCTCTATAGCTTTTTTTGTTTTAAATATTTTGCTTAGAAAATTCGTTTCCACATAGTCATTATGCGTCTCAATCACTAGTAAAAATTTGGTGCGGACCCAATATAAGACGGCCAAACCCGGAGAGGCGACGGTTTTTTTGGACAGCCTGTATTCTTAAAAAAACGATGAATTTCTTACCTGCACGGTCAGTCGAATTTCCGAGGCTATGCTCCGGTTTGCCTATAGAATTTATATAAAAGTATTCTAAGCATTTTCATACCCTCGTCATAAACTTGAGAATAATGCCCGAGTACAGGACAGCCCCCACGATAATGGGGCTCATCAGGCTCCACTTTTCGACCAGGAAAACAATGCCCACCCAGTCCCAATTATCCGTCTTGTACGTCCAATACCAGTAGATCTGGAACAGGTTATTAAAGGGGCTCCGAACTGCCAAATCAAAGCCCTTTTGGGAGGCCTCTTTGTTTTCTGGCAAATTGCCAGCGGGCGCTGCGGGACAAGAGCCCTCACTCTTTCGATTTTTGCGCGAAACTGTTTTCGCCCGGTTTCTTTGTGAAAACACTATATTTTGCGCATTCTGAGCCCATTTTTAAATCCTCACTCAATTTTAAATAGTTTTGGTGTTTTGACCATCAAATTTGAAACAGAAACAGCCAAGAACGTGATTTCGAGGTGACAACAGGCAATTTTTCAAATTTGCGAGCTTCCCGCGCCCCTAGGTGTACAGAGGCCTCCGACGTACAGGGCCCGGATTTTCGGGCCGTCACTCAATCTTTGGCATTTCGTAGCCCCTTTAAGGAGGCTCGAACGGTTACCCACAGTTTCGGGCACGAAAATGATTTCCATATCACCGGAAAGGAAATAACCAAGCCAGCTGAGCCCGAAGATTAGATAGAGGAGCATGATAATCTGAAAACTAACTGATGGTTTTTGGACATGATGGGCACCGAAAATTACCATACCTTCAGGTAGAGTGGTCGCAAGATTTTCTGCGCTTGCGCGTGGAACACGATGAGGATAAAGCGATGAATCGGTAAGGCGGTAGTGAGGTAACCCGTTAATAGATAGCACGTCTCGTGGAACGCGCCGAATATCTAAAACGCGCTAAATTTTTGGAAAGGCTTTATTGCCTGCGTATTTTAGCTATTTTTACGATAATTAAGTATTGAAGAAAAAAACAGTGAAAAGAAGGCTTAATAGTAACTTTAAATGATTTTTCGTGTTGTTTATTATGGCAACTTTTTTATGAGCTTGCAAAAAGCGGTAAAGAAATGTTCAAAAATATCGAAAAAGTAGAAAGTTAGCTTCTTACTTTGAAAAACGGACCGACGGTGTTTTATAAAATTTTGTAAAAAGTTGGTGTTTAAAATGTTTTTTCCGATTTTTTCCGAATTCGGAAAAATTCGGAAAAGGGAAAGAATGTTTTCTAAACTGATGTTTCTTTCTCGCAGGCTCCCCACGGCAAAAAACAAGTCCATTTAACGGATACAAATATACAGCCAAACACACATAATGCCACTCCTCCGCGTGCATCAGCGCCAGCATCCAGATGCCGGACATCGTGTGGCAGATCAATTGGATCAGATCCACGACACCGATCCAGAATAGCAGCATGAACGAGAACTCCTTGCCGAAACCGATCCGCCTCCTCACCGCCAGCAGGTAGACGGTTTGAAAGATCAGGAAAATCAGGGAGACCGGGAACTTGATGGCGCCAGTTGACTGAAATAAATAAATTACCGAAAAATCGTATTTTTGCCTTGCTTATCCCTCTTAATTCAAACCTGAATCAATTCCGTATCTGCCACATCAGTCGCATTTTGAAAAGCGATTTTCGTGTACGGGTTCACGTAGAAGATGTAGGTCCTATTGATGAGTTCCGGGGAGAAGTAGTTCATTCTATGGCGCTGAAAACTGCGTAGATTATTTGGGTTATTTTTGAAAACCTTGTCCCGAACGGCTAGCATTTTTGGGGTTGAAATGGAATTTTTGAATATGAATGGGGCGGACAACGATTTTTGGTGGGGGCGGCGGCATCTCGAATTTTTGATGAGCGCTCGAGCGGAAAGCTGGGGATTTACAGGCCGGAAGATTTAGCGTAATCTCTACTGCTAATAAATTATATTGATAAATTTTATTTCTTATCAGAGCAGTTTATAGCAAGTTTAAAGGGAATGCGTGGGTACCTAAATCCATATTCAAGCCTTGTCAGTCCCGTTAAGGGATTGTGAATAGGATTTACGACTCAAGGAATTTCAGCCAAAAATTCCGAGACGCGAAATACCGACATCCAAATTCCGAGAGGTTCCGTCCGATTCCTGAGAGCGAGAATACCGACAGAAGGATCCCCGACAGGCTAAATTCCCAACGGCCAAAATTCAAGGTTTTTCTCGCTAACATTGTATAACAGTATGTCACTTAACTTTAGACAGCAATTTTACATGGTCACATTTTGCCTGTCGACATTATGGTTGTCGGGATCTCGACTGTCGGGATTTTAGCTCTCCAGTTTTTGACGTTTTCTGGCTTTTTAAGTTTCTAAAATGCTTTATGAAGGTTTCGATGCGGTAAAATTTCCAAAATCGCTAAGAGGTATTGAGATCCCCGCTGTATTGAGATTCTGAATTAAAAAAATCTGTGACCTCAGGATCGTTAAGCTGCATTCCAGGTATGTGAATTAATATCAGTAGCGAAAGTCGGAAATGATAGAAGTAGCTGCCTAATTTTTGGTATCTAGAGCCCTAAAGCCCGTATTTCTAAAAACTATTCCTCGCTGTGGACTTTTTTCGAATGCAGGTGCTTTTATCAATGTCAAAGATCGTCAAAAACAGCTAAAAATAACCGCATTAGAAAATAAAGCAGCTCTCCGCTTGCGCACCAAAGTTCCGCGTGAGGCGCTGCAAAAATGGCTGGCCAGGTGACTCGCCTCCCTGATTCCGACAATAGCAATTTGAGGTACAATCGGGCCACCCTGAATTTGAAGCGGCAAAAGAAGTGCGAAAAATGTCGGTCTTCTGGTGCCAATTTGGCACAAAGTGCTTTGTGATATTCGTGCTAAACGGAATAAGAAGTAAGAAATAATGTAAAATGGGGGAAAAATGGGTTCTTACATGAAGTAATGACATTTTAAAGGGGTTGAATTTTTTCGGTCCAGGCCTAAATTTTTTATAAATAGTGGATGCGTTTCTAAACTATTTCAACCATTCCTAAACATAAAAACTTTACAAATTTTAATCAGAAATTTAATTTTTAGAGTGAAAAATTGATTTTTCGACCAAAAAACACCGGATTTTCGACTTTTTCAAACATTTAACTTTATTTGTGAAAGTTCTTTTACTAGATATCGTTAAAACGTACTAAAACAATGCAAAAATTATTTTTGTTTACTAGGTTAACCAGGAAACGAAATTTTCGAAATTCGAGATCCATTGGAGGTTAATGAGATCAATCTATATGCCTTGCCAATCCCTTTAAAACCAGAAGCCTTTGACAACTTTTAGAAGCGAACAACAACTTTTGAGGGCGGTCAGCACGACAATTTCCGCCCACCGCCTAGCCAATCCGGGGTAACGACCCAATTTCGGGCGGCCCCCGATACGGTTCAAAAACCGGAAATTGCTCGAAATGGGCTTCCAGGTGCAAAAACGTGCACAAATGTGTTTTTCTGAGGAGGTCAGGTACGGTAGTACGGTTTTGGACAAGGGAAATGAAGGATCGCGACCAGAAATCTCGGAAGGGAAATTGGCTTGAAGTTTTTTTGGAAGTAAGAAATTGATGAATTTCGTAGGAATGTGTACCGAAAATACTTGGACTTAGGATTAGGCTTCGGCTCAGGTTTGGCTTGGGCTTATGCTTAAGCTCGGAGTTAGGCTTAGATTAGGCTTTGGCTTTGGCTTAGGCTAAGGCTTAGGCGTAGTCTTGGGCCTAGGCTTTAGCTTAGGCTTGGGCTTAGGCTTAAGTACAAAAAGTCTCTTTTGAAGCACAATAAGTCAGTAGGTAGATTGTAGCTTTAACCGACTTTGTGACCGCTTGACGGAGCCACAACACTTTGCGAACATTCAATCTTCAAAAGCAAAATACTATGTGTTTTCCTTTGTTTTTTACAAACTATCTTGAGATACAAAAACTTTATTACACAACCCATCTTCTGTACAGTAAAGGCAAAAATTATTATGAAAGGCTTGCGGTACGTCGAAGACCAGCATCTTACTTGCGGCCAAGGTTGTTGGCGCCGTCTAAAAAACTTAGGTTTAATCTGTGAACTTTGATGGCTTGCTTTAAAAAGCCGCTAGATTAGGTAAGTTAAACCCGTTAAAACATACTTCCGCATGTCGTAGCTAGGACGCACTGTCCCCGAGTGTTACGGGCGAATCCGGGGAGACACTCGCAGTATCCGGCCGAGTTGGCAGAGAGACAGAAGTTTCCGAGAGGGCAGCCCTGGAATTATGGTGGAGTTATAGGTCTCAATTAACTTAAGTGAGCTTGTAATTACTCTTTCAGGAGTTTTTCGTTTTGTTTCTGCGTTATATATCGCTAAAATGTTAGTTTCTGGCATGGTGCGTCGGAATTTTCAGCGTTTCAAAGTTTGCGCTAGGCAAATTTTTTTAAGCTCTGTTTCATACCATTTTCAAGAGGTTTCCAATGATTTACCTACATAATGCCGATTCACAGAATGCCGATTTACAGAATGCCGATTTACAGAATGCCGATTTTACAAAATGCCGATTTACAGAATGCCGATTTACAAAATGCCGATTTACAGAATGCCGATCCACAGAATACCGATTTACAGAATGCCGATTTACAGAATGCCGATTCCACATAATTTGGGTTTTACATCAAAAATACAGACCGGATCCCCCAAAAAAACATTATCCGACTTGGACATGCGAATTTTTACGAATTCTTTTTTCCGCGTAGGGGTCGGGGATTACGAGGAAATCGCAAGCCTCGCGACAAGTTTTAACGCATGCCTTTTTCGCTGGTCGCCGACACTTCCAACGTGCTCAGCCGCAGCGACAAAACTCGACGATTCATTATTATTTCTTGGTTGAGAATGCCCGGCCTCACGTCGAGAGGAAGGGAAAACTGTTTTATAGAAGAATTTATTTTAGTAACCCATGGGCGGCCGCTTGGTAACGTGGAACTAGGGTTTCGCTGAAAAAAAAGAAAATAGTAAAGCTAGGCCTCAGGTCTGGCGGTTTCGCCATGTCCAAGTGGGATAATGTTTTTTTTCTGGGGATCCGGTTTGAATTTTTGGATGTAGAACCCTAATTATGTAAAATCGGCATTCTGTAAATCGGCATTCTGTAAATCGGCATTCTGTAAATCGGCATTTTGTAAATCGGCATTCTGTAAATCGGCATTCTGTAAATCGGCATTTTGTAAAATCGGCATTCTGTAAATCGGCATTTTGTAAAATCGGCATTCTGTAAATCGGCATTCTGTAAATCGGCATTCTGTGAATCGGCATTATCAGCCTATACCGTTTCCAATATCTCATTGTAATTAAGTCATCATCACTTATACTCACCGGGTTAGCCTGGCCACAGATCTGCTCGCATCGGTTGCCGCACGTGTTGCACCGCTCACCGGCTTGGCATAGTCCAGCACCAATTCCGCAGCCACGCGGTGTTCCCTGGCCGTTGTTAACGCTGCCATTGTTGTCGCCGCTGCCTGTAATAGGCTGTGGCTTTTGGGCTTTAGCGGCGCGCCGTTGCCTATTCTGAGTCGTCTGGTCAGAGGTGGCTGAAAAAGCAGGGGTTAGAGTGCAAGAAGCAGCATTGCAAGGCGTTTCGGTATTTTAGATTAAAAAATGTGCGCCAGTATGCAAAAGCGAAATACGGCAGGGAAAAGAGGGCTAACTTACTTTGGCAAGTCACGGCTAAGACGCACTGTCCGGCGGTGTTGCGGGCGAATCCGGGCAGGCACTGGCACGAGCCCTGGTTGTTCAAGGTGGTGCACATGCTGAGGGGGCATTGCTGAAAAGAGACTTCATCACGAAAAACGAAAAGACGAAACGAAAATGTCCATCAAAGCGCTAAACACGAAAGTTTCGACGCCCACAGGGTAGTGCGTGCAAGGGAGTGCCTTGTAGGGTTGTGATGGCTACGGCAGGCTCCCCTGCGCGACGGTACCCTGTGCACAGGTGCCTTACGCATCTTAATAGTCGTTCAAACGGATATCCACTTACCGCAGTCTGCTGACCACACGACTGCTCGCAGCGATCACCACACAGGTTGCACATCTCTCCGGTTCCGCACCACGGCGCGGTCAGCGTGCAGTTGTTAACCTGGCCCGTGGTCTGGCCGGTCTGGCCCGAAACTCCGATTTGGCCATTCACTCCGGTCTGTCCGTTCTGTCCGGTCTGTCCGTCGACGCCAACCTGACCGTTGACACCGGTTTGTCCGTTTTGGCCGGTCTGGACATTGACGCCGCTCTGGCCGCTAAGGTCTCCTGGCACGGGTCGCTGGCCGCCGATGAGTTGGCCCTGGTCACCGTTCTGGTTGCCGGACTCTAAAAAATTTTTGAGAATATTTACTAGAGGGCCTTGCGTGTGGGAAAAGTCCAAAATGCAGACACCCAAAACGCAGAATGCTAAAACGCAGACAGCCAAAACGCAGACAGGACAAAACGCAGACAGCCAAAACGCAGACACTGAATATGCTGACACCGAATATGCAGATAGCTGATTCACCTAATTCGACAGCGATGACAACTTTCGCATAGCTTCGCATCATCCCAAAATCTCAAATTCTCAAACATCCCAAAAATGATCCGCGCCTGTGATTGTATCAGCAGTTGTATTCCGGATGGGACGAATAAAGTGTTGAGTTATGAGATGGTTTTGGCTGTTTGCATATTCAGTGGTGTCAGCATATTCAGTGTCTGCGTTTTGGCTGTCTGCGTTTTGGCTGTCTGCGTTTTGGCTATCTGCATTATGGCTGTCTGCGTTTTGAATTTCGGTGTTCCGGCTGGAATTCGTTGCGTGTCGCAGCGCGTAGCGCGTTGACGTTAGCGCGCCGAAATTATGGAGCGCATACGCTGAGCATACTTAATAAGACACTGTCTAGAAACTTGCATTGCTGATCTTGTTCTACAGAGATAGCGCAACGCGTCGGCGAAGTTTTTATTCTCTAAGTTCATAGCGTGCGTAGCGGTCGCGTCGCGCTACTGAGATTGAGGAGGTAAATGGCACATTTCTACGCGTTTTCCTATGTTTTTTCACTAAAGTAAGTAATTTTTCTTTGTAAGTTTTTCGAGGTACGCGTCGCGCCAATCGACTTAAATTACATGCCGTGTACGCGCGTTTCTACGTTTCATCGCTACACGCTTGCTCAAAATATGCGTCGTGATCGCGGCGCGTTCATTGGGAAGCGAATTACACAACGCGTCCTAGCCTAGGGACTTCAAAGCACCAGCTAACCAGCCGGCTTCAAAACCTCAAGTAAAACCTACCAGCAGCAGCAAGCCCGAAGAGCGCGATGCATAGCACGAATTTCGTAGTCATTTTTGTAGAAGTGGTTATTCGTCGAAATCAAGCTGGATGAGCTGATGCCCATGCTTCAACCTGGCCCCCATTTATAGCCCAATAACGGCCCCAAAATATTATTGTTATTTCGGGCCCGGGGCCCCCGGTTTGGGTGGATGTACTCTTCATATTTGACTTCGGCCCCCAAAAAATTAGTGGAATTCCCCCCGCTGAGAATGACGTGCAGCTGGGCATACAGCCGGTTGGCCAGGCGTGCCGGCCCGAGATTTGCATGTCCGATGAGCATGTGAGTCGCCTGTTTTTCGGTTGCCTAATTTCGAAATTGAATCGAGTGCTGGCGTCGAGATCTGTGATCGGATGATGCTGGAACAACTAGAGTGACTCACAACTAGATCATTCAAGGTATGGCTCTAAAGAGAGCTCGTAAAGGTGTTTTGCACCAATCCCTAACTTTTGTGAGTCATAAATATTGATCTTCTTACATCGGTAGGGTCTCAAGGGATAGCGCAACCAGAAATCCGCGTGTTCCGTGGATTACTTTGCTGACAAACTTTGCCAGATTAGGCTATATTTTTCCGCCAAACAGGCCGTATCAGAAAAGACTCGGGGCATTAATGAGAAGATGCAGGGGCACAGATGTGATAACGCGCACCCCCCGGGGCACGTTTTCGCAGGAAGGGTCTTTTTGGAGTCGACAGTGCACAAATACGGCGCAATTTAGACAATTTCCGCTAATCCACGGAGAACTGAGATTTCTGCTTGCGCGATCCCTTTAAAGACCGTCAGAACGATGAAATCCCGTTTAGAGCAAGAAAGTTGCGCACCGGGCGGGGGTCGAACCCGCCATGGTTCGCTCCACAGTCCGACGCGCCAGCCACTATGCCACAGGGCCAAGTGGGGAGGGGAGTCAGAGGCGCCCCAAACCCCAGAGGGTCTTTGCCCAATGCGGGACACCACTAATGACGACCCTCTCTGCGCGTTCTTGGGGACCCCACCCTCGGGGTGACAGTGCGCGTTCCATCGTTCTGGTAGTCTTTAAGGGACGCTCGGGGCTTCAATATGCCTTTCCTGACGACCGGGCTTTCGAGTTACGCATCTCTTCCAGCCAAACGAAGAACATCGCCTTATCCCCGCAGAAGAAGTTACTTTCGGAATAATCATGGGTGCCGCTTGGGATCTTTTTATCGACTTTGCTGTGCCCGTGAGCCTTTATGCAACTTTTGCATGAGTTTTTACAATTATTTTTAAAGGAACGTAGCATCCAAATTAACAAACACTAAATACTGTCTTCAACAAATACCCATCGACCTTTCCCGCAGCCATACGCTGTGCCGCTGGCTACAAGGAATACTCGGCGCTCGACCGGACATTCCGGTGTTCATCCTCCAACCTTAGATAAATCGGAACGAATAACGATCGAGTTTTTTAATCTTTTTTTTTCGCTTGTAGGAGAGCCAAATGTTCGTTTACGAGTTTGAAATCAAATATGGAGCAGTATAAGTTGATGCTTTAAGGCTGTTCTCACACATAAATCCTTGTAAATCTTGCTGCACACAAGCTAATGCTCAAAATATTTGCAGAAATGGTTTATCATTGCACATATACAAAAAGGGGATTTATTATGGTTTTTTGAAGCTGGGTGAAGGCGTGTTGAAGCCGAGCGCTTACTTCTTGAGGGCGCTGAGGAGGCGAGCTGAAAAAATGGAAATTAGGAGAAATGGTGAATGCATTTCCAAAATTGGGTATCCAGGAAAACCGTTTTTAAAAGAATTTAAGATGATTGTATTTTCATGGCGTGATTACAAAAACACTCACACTGACGTCCGGCAAATGCGTTAGCGCCGAACTGGCCCTGGCCCTGAAGTCCCTGCTGGCCGAACTGCTGGCCCATTCCGCCGTTGATGTTGTTCAGGCGTCCGTTGTTGCCGTCGAAGCCGAAAGGCAGTCCCTGGTTGCCGAATTGGCCTTGCTGACCGAACTGTCCGAATTGCTGACCGTATTGCGGCTGTCCGAGCTGTCCGTTGAGCCCGAACTGGCCCTGAAGTCCCTGCTGTCCGTAATGCTGGTTGAGTCCACCGTTAAAGTTCTGATGTCCGAAGGGGAGTCCTTGGTTTCCAAACTGTCCGTTCTGCTGGCCGTACTGTCCGTACTGTTGTCCGTACTGCTGGTTGCCAAAGGGCTGGTTACCATAGCCGCCGAGGCCGTTGAGTCCGAACTGTCCGTTGTGTCCGTACTGCTGTCCGTACTGACCCTGTTGGCCGTACTGTTGGCCGTTGAGACCGAACGGTCCGTTCTGCTGTCCGTTAATGCCGTTAAGTCCGAACTGTCCGTTCTGTTGGAAGGGTCCGTACTGCTGGCCGAGCCGCCCATTCAAGCCTTGCTGTCCGTTAATGCCGTTGAGTCCGAACTGTCCATACTGCTGGCCGTTGATGCCGTTCAGACCGAACTGTCCGGACTGCTGACCGTACTGTCCCTGCTGGCCATACGGCTGGTTCTGAGCAATCTGGCCGAACGACGACTGCTGCGAGGTCGGGGCCGAGCCATGGAGTTCTGGAAGAGCACAGGTTAAACCATGGCTTCTAAGGAACGAGAGACAAAACAAGACCGCGAAGGCTGCGCTCGCCAGGCGGCCTTAACGTGTCGTAATTGGCTATGCTATTTAAATTTTTGCAGAGCAGGTAATTATGAAACCCATAGCCAAAAAATCAAAAACCGGGTCGTTTCAAGCCGCTGAACGCCTTGGAGTCGCTCCTAAAAACTTACGGGCGGCTGTGAGGCCGAAGAGGGCGAGGCAGACGGCAAGCTTAGCCATTATTTTTGCAGGGGTAGCTGTTGGTGCTCGACTTCGGGTGGATAAAGCTGAGCGGATACTTCTCCCACCCTCAGAAGTCCTTTTATACCATGTCTTACACCTGTTTTTATTTTCCAGACGTGTCCTTACTGTTTGGACACGGGTAATTTTGTTATGTTACATGCACGGCGCGACAAGACCTACACAACGGCTGCGCAAATATTTTAATGAGCCATGGCAGGGAATCTGGCTGGCGAGACCAATTTAGCAACATCAAGGTCATTTTGAAGTTGTCAGAGCAGTCGTTATTATTTGGGATAGTCTATAGTTAAAAAGTAATTTGGTTTCCAACTTTTACGATTAAGGTAACCATCAAACTACGACGTCCTGAATTTCGCCATCATGTCACTTCGAAATGATGATTTCAAGCATGTATTTACCCATATTTACACAATGCACAAATACAGCACAAACGCGATTAACGAGGAGAATTTGTCGATCGAGGCCGAGTCGGGCTCTGCTTGCGGTTGGTACTGCGGCTTTTGCAGGACCAGGGAGCCCTCTGAAAAGGTGTTGAGCGCCAGTTGTTAAATATCACTCCAGTATTTTTACTCGGTTACAAAATAACACTTACCGCATGCCATTGGCAGTACGCAATTCCCATTTGCGTCACGCGCAAACCCGGGCACGCACTCGCAGACGCCCCACGCATCCGGGGACAGGTCGTCGACGCACACGTTTATCAGTGGGCAGCTCTGAATAAGATATGAACTAAAATAGATAGATGATTAGATGGCCATGGTGCTCCATTCAACAATCAGCTCGGAATCTACGAATTTTAGTGTTTTCGCAAACAAATCGAACAAAATCGATCGATTTGTCGCAAAAATCAAACAAGTGAGGGCTCTGGTCCCTCCCCCCGGCCGCTGCATCTTGAAAATCAAAGAGCTCTCTCAAATGGGCTTTGATTTGGTATTTCCGTGCCTCTTTAAGCCACCGTAAACGCTTCTAAACATCAAAGCATCAAAAGAAACATCAAGCATTCCCAAGTTCGTATCCATTACGTTTACACTCAACGCATTTTCCTTACCGAATGATGACGACCACAAGTCTCTTCACAACGAGGTCCACACACGTTACACCGCTCTCCGTTGATGCAGTCCGCATTCCGACTGCAATTCTGGTCCGGGCTGATATCGCTGGGCGAGAAATTCTCATCGTCCTTGAGCAGGAAATGGTGCTGCCCACCGCCGAGGTGTTGTGCTGCAAAATGTCGGAGTTTCTATCGAGTTTAGGGTTTACTGCGGTATCCCTGATATGGATGATAGCTCGACCGAAAGATCCTGTTTTTTTTACTTAACGGCAAGCTAAGTATGCTGGCGTGGCGCTTCTGGTACCTCGCTTTGATTTTAGAGCGAAGTACAAACAACGAGATACAGTGGTGCCGCTTAATGAAGCATTGCCGCTTACAAACTATAACTTAGGTCTCGCAATAACTCACGGTATTTTCTAACCGTCTGATGACTTCCGTGCCTGCAGTTTACCGCCAGCACGCATTCTTGATCGGAATTCCGGGCAAATCCGGGCAGGCACTCGCACACGCCTTCTGCCGACTTCTCTGGGCAGAAGTTGATGAGAGGGCATTTCTGGAATCCGATTTTTAAGGAGACCGGTGAAATACAGGCGACATTGCGAAAGAAGAGCATTTACTTACGGTCTTTTTACGGAGTTTTAAGTATCAAAGGATATTCTTGATCCCCGAAAAAACTAAAAAATTCGACCCACCACGTGATGCCCATCGCAGGTCTCTTCGCACTTTTCTCCGCAACTGTTGCAACGCTCGGTGAGGCCGCAGGGCCTCCCGAGATATGTACAATTTGCTGATTCTTCGCCGCTATCATAATTGTCGTCGTAGCTCTCTGTTGTCAGGTCGTATTCTGTAGATTGCTCGGACTGCGGGGCTGGGACTAAAAATTATGTTGTACATATTTTGCACCCTCGATTTTCGTTAGGCTGGTAGTGGGTTAAATCAACTTTTGATTGATGTTGTGACCGGGCTTATCGCTCAGAAAATTTTTTTGCGACTTTAGGCAATTTTAGGGCCCTTGTCACCTGCAAAAATTAAGAAAATCCGATTGCGACTTAGGAGCTAGGCGCGGGAACCTCGGTGCAAAAAGAAATAAAATCAGATGGTAACCAGCTGAGAAACGGCGTTAAAATATACGGGGTTTCCTAAAAATCGACCCCCTATAGCGGCGCGCAGTCGTGTCGGATTTTGGCGATTTAGGTATCTATCGAAAACTCTCGGAAAGGTGACGAGACAAGCGCTTTTCGTTTTTTTTAATAAGGTCATTTTAATCCATTAAATTTAGGACCAAAATCCATGAAAACGGCAGTTTTTTTTAAAAATCCGCATGTTGATTGCTTGCTAAAGCAAACAGGCCAAAGTTGCTTTTATCCTTTTTTAAGACATCGTTGAACATCGAGCGCAGGCTAAAAATTTTAGAAAACGAAAAGCGCTTGTTTTCTCGCCTTTCCGAGAGCTTTCGAAGGGTGTAAAATTCATGCCGATCCGGCCTTTCTCCGGACCGCTAGAGGGGTCAATTTTTTTGGCTGCTATAGCAGTTTCCGATTAATATTTCTTATGTTAGAAAAACCCACGCGCCAAGGCGAGGCCGAAAATGCAGCAGCATAGAATGAGACGTCGAGCCATCAATGGTACTTTTAGAAAAAACTGTTTCTAATAACAACCGTGATAGCGGGCTGACCTGTTCCCTGAACTTCCCGGCCTTTTATACCCGCAAATGCCACAAATATTTTCCTCGCCCGGCGCGTAAACCATGCACCACACGCGAATTTGCATACCGATTAGCCGCGGTGATAGACGGTATTGTTTTGCCGGCGCCGTGCAGGGGTCAATGTTCGTTGATGTTCATTTCAAGCCATAGAAGCTAAGAGGGCGTATCCGGATTTTATAACAATTAAAGGGACAACGACCGCAGATAAGGTCTATCTGTCTCTCGCCTTCGCCTCTCTGACTCTCTCCCCTCTCTCTCTCTCTCTCTCTCTCTCTCTCTCTCTCTCTCTGCCCCTGTCTCTCTGTCTCAATCTCTCATCTCCCTATCCCGACATAAACATTTTTTAGCGCTGGCCATTAATCCCTACACCAATCTCTCGCCAAATCGGATCCCGATCGTGTTCGCCTATCCAAAAGAAACTACGGTAGCCTAACACCTGACACGAAGATTCCTGTGACGACAGCAATAGCGGAAGTGACACCCCTATTCCGCTTGTACAACACCACATCGAGAAGCGGAAGAACTGTATTCGATTTTTGGGCAATTTGCATTGTGGTATTCTCATGCTTGGGTATGCCTTTGCAACGCTCGGTCGGTGTGTTTCCCATCCCGGCCGACACTCCTCATGCCTTTGCGATGCTCGGCCGATGCGTCTGGCATCTCGGCCGAGGCGTTTCGCATGTCGGCCGACACTCCTCATGCCTTTGCAACGCTCGGCCGATGCGTCTGGCATCTCGGCCGAGGCGTTTCGCATGTCGGCCGACACTCCTCATGCCTTTGCAACGCTCGGCCGATGTGCTTCCCATCTCGGCCGAGGCGTTTCGCATCTCGGCCGACAGTTCTCATGCCTTTGCAACGCTCGGCTGATGTGTTTCCCATCTCGGCCGAGGCGTTTCGCATCTCGGCCGACACTCCTCATGCCTTTGCAACGCTTGGCTGATCTGTTTCCCATCTCGGCCGATGCGTTTCGCATCTCGGCCGAACCCTCATGCCTTTGCAACGCTCGGCGATCTGTTTCCCATCTCGGCCGAGGCGTTTCGCATCTCGGCCGACACTCCTCATGCCTTTGCAATGCTCGGCTGATCTGTTTCCCATCTCGGCCGAAGCGTTTCGCATCTCGGCCGACACTCCTCATGCCTTTGCAACGCTCGGCTGATCTGTTTCCCATCTCGGCCGAGGCGTTTCGCATCTCGGCCGACACTCCTCATGCCTTGCAATGCTCGGCTGATCTGTTTCCATCTCGGCCGAAGCGTTTCGCATCTCGGCCGACACTCCTCATGCCTTTGCAACGCTCGGCTGATCTGTTTCCCATCTCGGCCGAGGCGTTTCGCATCTCGGCCGACACTCCTCATGCCTTTGCAATGCTCGGCTGATCTGTTTCCCATCTCGGCCGAAGCGTTTCGCATCTCGGCCGACACTCCTCATGCCTTTGCAACGCTCGGCTGATCTGTTTCCCATCTCGGCCGATGCGTTTCGCATCTCGGCCGACACTCCTCATGCCTTTGCAACGCTCGGCTGATCTGTTTCCCATCTCGGCCGAGGCGTTTCGCATCTCGGCCGACACTCCTTATGCCTTTGCAACGCTCGGCCGGTGCGTCTGGCATCTCGGCCGAGGCGTTTCGCATCTCGGCCGACACTCCTCATGCCTTTGCAACGCTCGGCTGATGTGTTTCCCATCTCGGCCGAGGCGTTTCGCATCTCGGCCGACACTCCTCATGCCCTTGCAACGCTCGACCGATGCGTCATCTCGGCCAAGGCGTTTCGCATCTCGGCTGACATGCCTCATGCCTTTGCAACGTTCGGCTGATGCGTTTCCCATCTCGGCCGACACTCCACATGCCTTTGCAACGCTCGGCCGATGCTTTTCTCATCTTGGCCGACCTGCCTCATGACTTTGCGGTAACTATATCCGGAACCTCATGAGTCGAGCACTATGAAACGCTATAAATACGCGCTTCGCTTATCGGGTTATTTTCCACGTTTTCAAACAATTTTCCAGTTTTTTTGTAAGTTTTTCTACTCTAAATGTGGAGGAAGTTGATTCACCCTCGTGAATCCTAAGGAACCGAATTTTTCGAGCAGAAAAAAAGAGCTTTGTGGTTTTTTGTGCTTTACAATTGCTTGTTACAAGCAGAAAAATTAAGCTTTTACTTTTACTTAATTCACTTACTTTTACTTTTCAAAGAGGCCTACCATTAATGCAGATGTTAGTAGCGCAAGAGGGAATTACTGCGCAGACGGGCAACATCTGCGGCCCGGGTTGATAACGCCTGCAAAAAGCAATGCGTCGGACTGGATTGCTGTAATTTTTTATTTTGGCCCTCTTCCGATCAAGATTGATCTCGATTGTCGATGCAAAAGAAATACTTTTTCTAGAAGCGCTGCTCCTCAAGACGTATGCCCCGAAAAATTGAGCCATGGTTGCAGCAATAGACGCGCTCCAATATGAGGTTTCAAGGGTACTTTTTATTTTATATTTGCTTTAGAAAAAGCCGGCCCATTACCCGAATCCCTATGAAGCCCCACCGCTTCCAAAGCGTGCTGCTGGCATTGTTCCAGGTATCCGTTCTTATAATAAGGGCGAAACAAAGTTGTTGTTTAGCTGCCGAATCGAAAAAAATGCCGCCAATGCTGGCTGGAGAGTCCGAAGAACAGGTTTTCTAAAGTAATAAATGATATTTATAGGTATTTTTTTAGAAAATTCGCCGAATTCTGGCCCATCACGACATGATGGAGCAAGCTGGACAACGAGTTCCCGTGGCAAATACACAGGTGTGTCTTTTCCAGGGTTACGAGCGTTTTTGAACGTATTTTTAGGCACCGCGAGCGCAACCTACTCAGGGCCGCGTAATGTACCGGATTGTCAAGAACGTCGCTGCTGCGCCGCCATGCCCTTCTGTTCGTTCGACGATGAATATAGTAAATTTTATCTCTTATCTTATGCTTTGAAACTTTAGCACGCGCCCCCGGCTCGTCCAGTGCTCCCAATGCCGCGAGAGGAGATGGTTGTGCCCGTGATTCGAAAGTGTCGCGCACCGTTAGGTGAGAAAAATTTATGTTTTCACGTTAACTTATCAAATATGGATCTTTTAAATTTATTTACTTACTTTATTCAGGCCGTCAACCTTCGAACAAAGGGCTGAAGACATTTTCGGCGAAAGTCCGTGACAAGGTGCGCGTCAAGGGAACGACCACGTATACTCAGGTATTTGATTATTTGCTTTCCTTTACAGAGCTTTAGGTAGCCGACGAGCTAGTCGATGAGTACTTCAACTCCTTGGCCGCTATTAGGAACGACAAAATCGCGCAGGACACGAAGAACATCCGGCGGCGCGTCTACGATGCGCTGAATGTCTTCATCGCTCTGAAGATGATACGGCGAGACAAGAAGGTATTTTGTAACTTTTTACTGGTTTTGAAAGCCAAGCTATTTGTTTGGAATGTAGATCTAATGACGTTTTAGCAAATACACTGGTCCGACTCGCCGTTCAAACGAGAATCGCCCCCGCCTCCGTCGGATATTACAGGTAGAAATAATTCATTATACATAACGTTTATCGTTTTCTAGATCTAGAGGCGAAGATTCGATTCAAGACAAATCGCATACGTCACCTGGTGGGCGAGATTGTCGGCCGGCGGAATTTGTGCATCGAAAATCAGTGGGTTTCGGCTTTTTTCGACTTGAATAAATGCAATTTAGGGTATTTGGCGACTCGGAAGACCGGCGGAACCCGGAACACATAAACGATGGAGCGTTTGTAATCTTCTCGACGCCACGAGGGTAATATTTGTTAAAAAAATAATGAAAGCTATTGGTTTAGTACAAAAACTTCCTACACGATGTCTTCACCAGCGCAAGTGGTCGTGGAATTCGGGAAGACCCCAACGGTATGTTATTAAAAATCATCCTCAATTTAATTTTTTACAGGTACTCAGCGATATCCACATGCTGCAGACGATGGGCCACGACATGGGCATTATGCAGCACGGGGTAAGAATAGTTATTTTTTTTGCTATAATAGCTACTTTTTAGATACGACCCGCAGACTTGGACCTGGTGAAGAAAATGGTACCCCGAGATACGCACGCCGCGCTGCCGCACATCATCCGTCCTGCGCCGCCAGATGAAAATAAACCTCAGAAAATCGAAGAATGAATTAATAATCCCCGCATTTTTATATAGCCACGCTAGTTTTATACACTTATTGTTTTTACTCCCCCGGTTTAATAATGCAATCAAAATATCTCGTAGAAGCTGTTCCGTCGAAATAGGTTGTAACTTTATTACTACCCCCATAACTTCCTTCGGCTTATTGTTATTCGGTGTACATATTATTCTCATATCTCGCGGCTCTGGAGGAGACTTGTTTGTTCCTATAAAGTTTAGAATTTCGGAATTTGTAATAGCACTCGAGAGCGTAGTCTATAAGTTGGTAGTATTATAGCAAGCAAATAAGCAAGTAAAGTTTTTAGTTTTTTTTGGTATTTAGTTTTCATGCATTACGAAATTCTGGCTAGGCGATAAATGAGACAGATGCGACTGCGATAAAGGAGACAGATTCACCTGCAAAATGTGGAAAAAATGTAATTGCTATTTTTTTGGTCTCCTGGACCTTCGAAGGGGACTTTCCTTGTCTTCGTCTCATTTTGACTCTATGGGACTCGATAAACCGTACGAGCATCCCGTTATTTATATAACGCTGCAGCAAGTGAAAATCTGCTTCAGCGTGCCCGTAAATTGCTTCACCTTCTATGTTATCATGTTCCATACACCGCGCATGATGAAAGACTACAAGATTTATATTGCGGTATATCAGGTAAGGTAGGAGCAAGAATCTCATTATATTACGCTCTAAACACAGTACAATTTGCAGTTTTCAGCTACAAGCCTCTTTCCTGGAGCTCTGCCTTGAACTCGCCGGCCCTGAGCTGTATTTCCCGATGACTGGAGGATATTTTTATGGAATGGCTAAAGAGTTTTGTGATAACTATCCGGGACTCACTTTCGTATGTGTGTTCTCAGTGTACTGTAAAAGATTTAGCTCACAATCCTTTTCACGGCCGGTGGCTTTTGTGCGACAACGATGTTATGTTTTCACTATCGCTTCTCGCAGATACGCATTGATCTCGCGGACTCCCAGTAAGCAAAATTTGCTTTAAAGGGACTGGGAAAGATCAGAATCGATCTTCTCAAAATCAAGTAAGTCGCTCGTTGACTTGGCAAAACGCTGTCGGCACGTACTTCACCTGTTTCTCTAGCCAGGGTTCGATTCTGGCGCTTGTAGTCCACGAACAGAATATTCGGACCAAATTTGCGTATTAAGTTAATTTTTTAGAAGCGTCTGGCGGACGAACCTCTGCACTACGCTGATTTTCATCTCCGGTGCTCTAGTTATGATGTGGATTTGGCAAGATATCGATCTTAAAAACGACGATTCCGAATACTTGATGGTCTTGCAACAAGTAATTCTGCAGAATTCTTATGGTAGCCAATTCGACATCTTTAGCGCTACCCAGACTTTCACGCGTTCTTGGTGACGATGCCTAGAGCATTTTTCATGATCTCCAGGAAGTCTTATGATTTTTGGGTTGTTGAATGGACATCGTTCCCTACGTTCACCCGATTCATAACGCTGATGGTGCAGACAACCATTTTCTCTGTTGGTTTTGCGGATTTGGTGAATACCACCCTGTTCGATCTAGGTCCTCATCCTCAGCTACAGAACGCAAAAGCGTTTGAATTCTCACATGTCGGGAATGAGCGCTGGTCTCAGGAACCGACAACAAAAGTTTTTTCGGGCCTTGGTGATTCAGGTAATGCTCGATCTTATTTCACCTACTATAATAATAATACTACTTAATAACGTTATTTGTTTAGGTTGTAGTACCATTCTTGGGGCTAATCTTCCCAGTTCTTGTAATTGGCTATGTTGGCTTGTACAACACGGATTGGTTCGGCTGGATGGTGATCGTCCCGGATCAAGGTATCCACTCGCCTTAAATATCTGCTTTGATCATAATGAAGCTTTTTTAGGGATAATTAATGGCTGCACGGTAATTATGTGCTGTCACGGCATCATGTCCTCTATATCAATTTTGGTCATGTACGATCCATACCGACGTTTCACCGCCTCGTTGCTTTCTCTTTTCATTTTCAGGTTTCTTTCGATTCTCGCACCAAATGCCGGTTTAGAACCAAATCGAGACGGTTTCGCGCATCCGCCCTGGCAGCTGGACGGTTGAACCGTGCGACGGTCATTTCGGCGACCCTTTTCTAACCGTTTTCAAGAAATCTAGCTTCGAATAAACAATCATTGCCCAGCAGTACGCGCAATTCTTTTCTGAATGATTTTTCGTGCCGCCCGAAATTCCGGCTACGGCCCTACATGAGCCAGGTGCCGGCCGCCTTCACCTGCAATTTTTCGCAAAAACTTTAATGCCGATCTCCTGATTTGGTTGATCTCCGCGACATCCTGTTGCCACAGTCTCAACGACGTAGATAACAACACCTGAGAAACGGGATTAGACACGCCCTACGAACAAATAATTTCCTTGCTGTCGAGAAAATTTGATCTGGCTGAAAAATCAGAGCTTGCCTGGTCAGCTGGCTCCATAGTCTAATAGTAACAAGGACAACTTCGTTTGATACTTTATTTAAAGAAACCCGTACAGTCTATATTAAAGTATTGAGCAATTTCCCAGAATAAAAAGTTCCTATTCGGCATTATTTCGAAGCTTGGCTAGGCGATTGAAGACGGTGGAGGAATGCTGAAAAATATAAATAATGTAGCGATAACAAAATAAGGAAACATCCTATTTTCCTTGAGGAAAGATCATAAAAAAATTAAGAACCTAGTAGGATTCGTGAAAAATAACCTTTTAGCTGGTCGATCGTGGAGTCCTCACCTTTCTTCGACTTGCTTTCTTGATCCTTGGTATTCTAAGAGTATACCTGGTGAACTAAATATAACAACATACCTTTTTATCCGACTTGAAAAATGAGTAGAGGCCCACTAAGACGGCGATCAGGCTCGTTATTTTGCCGTAAGAGGGCACAAAACGTTGGCTAAAAGGAGTTGATAATATTTAAGTCAAAGAAAGAAAAAAAAACCTCAAGCTTTTCGAAGCGCTCGCTTGGCTGTGGCCGCCCGTCAATTTGTGCTGAATAAATTGGCCGGCTTTGCTCGTCGCGACTTTCTGGAAAATAAGAATAAAGTTTTTGTAAATATAAATAAAGTTTTTGTAAATAAAAAATAAAGGGTTGCTTTAATTTTGAAGTTTAGGCAAATTAATTCCTTAAAAAAGACTATTTCTAAGAAACAGCTGAAAATGCTTACCACAGTTTTCTTGGCGAGCAAAAATTCGGCGACGCTGATGAGAATCTTCATTGGCAATCCCATAATTGCTAAGAATAAAGGTTCTTTTCGAATATCGATAAATAGAAAGCGGTCAGGTGAAAAAGAGCGAAAAATTTCGAGGAATGAGGTCGATGGCCCGGTTGTTATTGGGGGCTGGGGGAACGGGAGAGAGGCGCCCAAAGTGCAAGGGCACTTGTTTACGACAAACAACCTACTCACGCCAACTGGCAAAAAAGGCTGTCTGGGAGCTTTTACTAACAAAGATCAAAGAAAAAGAAGAGTCAAGTTAAGTATCTAAAATAACAATTGAAACTATAACGTTAACAAAATAATTTGGGCACTGTGAGCGATGTTACCTCATAAGATCAGTTTCTGGAAGTTGTTGGGATTCCTAGAAACCCTTGCGCAAATTTTTTCAAATAAACACCCTGATTTCGTAAATCCTATCCTATAAGCGAGAAAAGTATGTCTGTTTTCTGTACAGCCGATTTTTCGGCCGCCAGGCCGAATTTTGAGCTGATTTTTGGCATGGAGGTGGAGAAACACATTTGTCAGTGACGCATTTTTTTGTTTTTCGAAATTCCTTCATTTAACGGTTTTACAAACAAAATAGTACAAAATCCTTAACATCTTGGCCGAAAAAAGGTTTGTTCAGAGGATATCTCTCGAGCCAAATGGAATTAGGCGCTAATTTTTGGAGGGCAGATTGAAAATTACATTCTCCTGTGATATAATTCTGGGTTTTGGCAGATTTTGTAATCTAAAATTTTTATGAGCATTTTTCCAAAAGGTCCCTAACAAAATGGGCCAAGCGCCGTGGTGTTCGGGGCATAACTCGAAGCCCTGATGGAATTCCGGGCTGAAATTTGGACCATTTAGGCAATCAAAAGTGGGGATCATGCGCAAGTAGTTGGTTTTTGAGAATATTGTAATTTGGTTGCATAAAATGCACCTTTGTAAAATTGCTTTTTGCCAGCTCCCGATGATCAATCGGGGATCATTGGCAAACCGGAAAGATAGAGGAGAATTTCCTGAATCTTTACCTTTTTAAATTTTTAAAATTGGTTGAATTTCCGGGGCGATAGAGCCGTTTTTGTTTCGGAGAGGGCCGCCCTTTTGGAGCGCCTGGGGAGTACCCCTCTGTGTCCCCCAGCCCGTCCCGACTCGCCCCCACCTAACCCATACCCAGGTGATAACCCCCAAGGTTTTCGATCGCTGCCGGGTGGCTGGCCGAAAGGTTAACACTGAACAGCCACCTTCCTAGAGCGCCCCAGCAATGGGTGACGAATTTTTGGCCGCTACGCTCAAGGGGGAGTCGTCCTCCGATGGTCATACAACTTCAAACGCTCGCTCCCTTGGGACGCCAAGGGGTTCAGCTAGCCTGTTGCTGGACAAGCCAGACCCGGAAGGGATGGTTCGGCCTGACGGTCGTAATGTCGGTCCTGTTGGCACCAGTACCGATCTGCCGGACCCGGTAAGGGTGTCGGAAACAGCTGAGCCTCAGCAGGGTACGAAGAAGAGAGGGCCTGCCGATTGGACCCGAAGAGGTAGCAATACCGAGGTTCAATTGGCTGGGCGAGTAGCGGCACCCTCCAGCTGTTTTCCGGGACAACACCCCGCGGCCTATCCTCAAACACCGCGGCATCCCATGCAGATCGTGAAAATGCCTTCGGTGCCGAATACCAGCAGTAACTCGACCGGCACACTCCATACGGGAAAGAAGCTGTCTGACTCGGGATTTTTCGTTCCGAACCCGTGGCAAACGCTGGGCCCTGATTCTTCGAAGCTTTGGGTGCCTCGACAGCAGATAGAACCCGCGCCTGTTTTAAAACCTGAGCCTGTACAAATACAGAGAAGGAAGGAAAAGATTAGTCGCGCGGAACGTGTACAACTGAGGTTGGAGTACGACCAAAGTTTACAGCGGGCCCCGGCCGATCCTGTACTTGCTCAAGGTCCTGTCGAAGTGCCTGAGGTTTTGTTGAACCAGACTCCGAGTTCATGCGAGCGACGGAAGCGAAAGTCTGACGCGGAAGGCGAGAGGGAACCGCGAGTCGGAGGAACCCCTGAGGAGCATGAATCCCAACTCGCGACAAGGCGTGCGAAACGCTTGCATAGCTCCCAGGGAACTCCTGATCAATCGCACCTCCCATCGCAGTCCATCGAAGGCCTAGCCAACGTCACGCCTCTGTCTCGCCTCAATTCCCAGAGAAAGGCTAATGCGGTGCGCATGAGAGAATTACGTGGCAAAGAAACTCCTGAGGAGCGCGAAAATCGCCTCGCAAAAGTTCGTGAAGCCAAAAGGCTCAGCGACCCTCAATGGAGTGACTGCGACACGCAAGACTCAGCGTCCACTCCAAACCGCCATGCCACAATTTCTGAGGAAGCAAGGGAACGGACAAAGCGAGACTCAGCCACTGCCCGGGTGAGGATGCTGCGTGCAAATGAAAGTCCAGCTGAGCAAGCCGCACGGCAAGCCAAAGACCTCTACTCTAAAAGGTTGCAGGAGTCTCGGTTGAGCACAAGTGAACGTGAAAATCAGAATCTCGCACGGGCCGCGCGTGTAGCGGCAAGGCGCTCCAGAGAATCGCCGTTACGGCGTTCGGAGCGTCTAAGTCGTGATGCGATATCCACGGGCAGTGCACGACACCGAGAATCCTCATCCCAAAGAGGATTGCGTCTGGCGGCAAATGCGACTCGGACCGCGGCACACCGGCAGCAACAACGCCAGACGGCCGCTGCGCGCGCAGGTGCTGCCCGGAATCCGGATGCGTTTCCCCCCATCCACTACCTTGGCAAGCCGGACATACCTTGCAGTTGCTGTGGCGCATTGCATTACGCAGTCGAAACGAAATCCCCGAGCGGCAGTTTCCATTCGTGTTGTGGCCATGGCAAAATCGCTATTTCGTTGTTCGACAATTTCCCCCAGGAATTGGAAGATCTTTACAAAGGGGATACTCGAGAATCGAAAGATTTTCGGGCGAACATTCGAAATTACAATAGCGGTCTAGCTATGGCTTCAATGACGGCCCAAATGGATGCTCCGCCCGGAAGAGGTCCACGGCCTTATCGGATCCATGGAGCAGTGTACCATTTGGTCGGCCCTATGAGACCACAGCCTGGAGAGCAAGCCCAATATGCCCAGATCTATATAATGGACACCGAGCAAGCGGCCAACGAGCTAGCCGGTCGTGCCATCAATCGGCACTGCGATCAGGGCCTCTTTGCCAACCTCCATCTCCTCTTGCAAAACGTCAATATCTATGTACAATCATTGATGATGATGGCAGAGGTGTCAAAGGAGGAATCTGATCAAGCAGCTGCCGATGGGCGGGAAGCTCTCTCAGCGCAGTTGGTCTTTCGAACAGATAAAAGGGACGACCAAAGACGGTTCAATGCGCCTACATCCAATGAGATTGCCGTTGTTTACGTTGGTGACGATGAGTCGATACCCGGCGAGCGCGTGTTCTATATTCACGAGCGAGACGGCGGCCTCAGGCAGATCCACTACTTGCAGAAAGAGTGCGAACCACTCTGTTATCCTCTCTTCTTCCCTCGGGGTGGAGAGGGGTGGCACCCTAACATTCCGAAGCAAGTGGGAAATGCTGGCCGTCGTGGTAACTCTGACGATGACGGGCCGGCTATTGCCGATGACGGTCCGCCGAACCGGGTATCACAAAGAGAATATTTCGCCTATAATATGTTCGTCAGGCAAGGCTTCAATCCCATCCACCACGGCGGCAAGCTTTGCCAACAATATTACGTGGATGCCTTCGCCAAGACTGAGCAGAATAGGCTTAATTATTATCTGACTCACCAGCGGGAACTTCGGCTGGATACGGTCCGTGGCCTCACCGATCACATGAATTCTCATGGTCAAGGTCCTGCAGGCAGAAAGATTATTTTGGGCGCCGGTCATCAAGGCAGTGGTCGAAATTCAGTCGGACACTATCAGGATTCAGTGGCCATTATGACCAAGTACGGAAAGCCAGATCTCTTTTTGACCATCACTTGCAATCCGAACTGGCGAGAAATTCAGGAAGGTCTTTACCCAGGCCAGACTGCAATTGATCGTCCAGATTTGGTTGCAAGAGTGTTCGAATTGAAAATGAGAGCACTCGATGAGGAACTTTTCAAAAAGCACATCCTCGGAGAAATGGCTGCCTACGTTTCGGTGATTGAATTCCAGAAACGAGGGCTTCCGCACCGTCATATGGTCCTATTTTTGAAGGAGGATTCAAAGCTCAGAACATCTGACGAGGTTGATAGTATCATCTCAGCTGAGCTCCCTGATTCCGACACTAATCCTGAATTGTTTCAATTGGTTTCGACCAATATGATCCATCGACCTTGCGGTGCCCATAATCCTTCGTCGCCCTGCATGCAAGACAATACCTGTACTAAAGGATTCCCAAAAGAATTCAAAGACATGACTTTGATTTCGGACGGTTATCCAAAATACAGACGCCGAGACCAGGGAAGGACTGTTCGGTATACGGTTAACCGGGCGGATGTCGTACTTGACAACCGTCACGTCGTGCCTTACAACCCTTACCTCCTGCTTCGGTTTGGTGCTCACATCAATCTCGAATGCTGCTTCTCCTTCGACTCGGTCAAATACCTCTTCAAATACGTCTATAAGGGTACGGACAGAGCTCGCTTCCAACTTCGGGATGCAAACAATGATGACCTTGGACCGGTCAATGAGATCGAACGGTACATACAAGGTCGTTATTTGTGCGCTCCCGAAGCTTGCCATCGTCTTTTCGCATTTCCCATGCAAAAGAAGAGCGACAAAGTCATCCGACTCCAAGTACATCTTGACGGATTTGAAAATGTGGTGTTTGACCCAGAAGATGCACAGGCGGCACTGAATAGAGCTCGCACTCATAAGACCACGCTGAGCGCATTCTTTGCCATCAACACGCACATGCAGCATTTGGAGGACACCGGAGCAAGGACGGTTACGGTTAACGGTCAAAAGTGTCTGCAGATCGGGAGAAGGAGGGACGCAGAGAAGGTTCTGGATTCCAGAGAATTTTTCTATGGCCAAATGCCGGAAAAATATCGTATCGTTCAAGGCAAATGGGTGCAAAGAAAGAATGCGTCGCGGGTGATTGGCCGAATGTACCATGTCTCTCCACGAGACACGGAACGTTTTGCCATGAGACTGCTTCTCCTCTATACGAAAGGCCCCAGGAGCTTCGAACAACTGCGCACCATCAACGGCACTCAATACATCACCTATTTTGAGGCCGCCAAAGCAGCAGGATACATGAACGATGACTCTGTGAACCTAGCTACGATGCAGGAAGCCGCCGATGTACGGATGCCTGGAGAACTTCGAAGCTTCTTCTCTTCCCTGATCTGCTTCGCTGACGTGCAGGACCCTGTGGCGTTCTGGGAACGCTTCAAGAACGACCTAATGCAGGACTTCCTTGCTCGCGGACTTTCCATCCAAGTCTCTGAGTCAAAGGCCTACTGGGAAATTGTCGAAGATCTGACAGTTCTCGGGGTCAGAGACAGCCCGTTGTTCCAACTCAATTTGCCAAAGTACGACATCGACATCGTCGTTGTTGATCCCGCCGAGCATGCTCGACTCGGGAGCGACAAATACTTGCAATTGAATCCAGAACAACTCAGAGCGACGGATGAAGTCTTGGCCGAGGTCGCAGACCCAAGTGGGCAGTGCTTCTTCATTGACGGTCCAGGGGGAAGCGGCAAAACCTTTGTCTACCAAACCATCTACCACATTCTATCCGGTATGGGGAAAAAGATTCTCTCGGTAGCGTGGACAGGTATTGCCGCCAACCTTTTGGAAGAAGGACGAACAGTCAGCACTGCCTTCCGGCTGTTGATCAAGACCAACAACAAGGAATCCAGCATGAAAAGGCAAAGCATTGAAGCACGCGCACTCGCTGAGATCGACCTGATCATCTGGGACGAAGCACCAATGGCACCGAAAGAAGCACTCGAAGCAGCTGATGCTCTTCTTAAAGACATTATGCAAAACGATGTGCCATTCGGTGGAAAGGTCATGGTACTTGGAGGAGATTTCCGACAGGTACTTCCGGTAGTCGATGGCGGTGGTCGTGCTGAAATGGTGTCAGCCTGCTTGAAGTCATCCCGACTCTGGCCTCTCTTCCGAAAGTTTGAGCTCACGACCAACATGAGAGTTCGGGATGCAGGCAACGATTGGAAGGACTATCTTCTCGCTCTGGGTAATGATCTACTCGACAAAGACGAAGAGGGATACCTCGAAGTACCCGAAGATCTCAGATGCGAGCAAGATTTGGCCGAAGCAGTCTTCCGACCAGCCTTCGATGAAGGGGTGGAACTTTCCGAAGTAGCAATCCTTACACCCAAGAACGAACAAGCTCTCGAGCTCAACAATCGAATCTTGGATATGCTACCCGGAGAAGTCAAAACCTTCAGAAGTGCCGACTCGGCCGAGACTACTGATCCAACCGATGCTGCCAATTTCAACGCAGAGCTTCTGAATAAGATGACACCATCTGGAATGCCTCCCCACCTGCTCCATCTAAAGGTGGGTTGCATCGTGATGCTTCTGCGAAACCTGAGCGTCAAAAAGGGTCTCTGCAACGGTACAAGGCTGATAGTCGAGCAAATCGGAGCCAGAATTCTCCTATGCTCAATTGCCACGGGTAGCAGGAAAGGCAAAAAAGTGTTAATCCCCCGAATCGATTGCCTTTACGATAAAGCCACACTACCATTCGTGCTGAAGCGACGCCAATTTCCAGTTCGGCTGAGCTTCGCAATGACCATCAACAAAAGTCAAGGGCAATCATTCGAAAAGGTCGGCATTGCAATGCTACACGAAGAAATCTTTGCACACGGCCAGCTTTATGTTGCTCTCTCGAGAGCACGGAGCCGCAAAGGTGTCTCGATAATGGCCAAGGACAACAAGATGAAGAACGTCGTTTACGAAGAAGTCCTCGAATAAATTTCTGAATCTTTTGTCATTGTTGATTTTTTGTTATTATTGTTGTTATTTTTACCGTTGTTGTTATTGTTGTTGTTTGTTGCCATTTTATTATATTTTGCCAGATAAATATTTTAAGCACCCCAATACGTGTCTGATTTCCTCAACATTGGTTCTTTGCCATAATTATCTCTAAATGTTTTCGAATTGTTTCTTTGAATCTATTTTTCAGCTTTATGTGGCCGGCCTCCGGCCGGCACATAAATTTACGATCGGCTTTTGGGAAGGTTAGAGTCATGTGGACCTAGAAGTGGCCAGTGGAAAACTGCCGCGAAGCGGCTTTTTTTCCACTGGTTAAGCAATATCCCGTTTTCCGAAGTGGCGGTTCAGTGTTTCTCGGTAGAATAAAAGAAAGACGAGGTTTAGAATATTCTCTGTGCTAAAAAAGCGTTGTATTTTTTAAATTCTTAGCGTTCCGCACTCGCGTGAAACCGATTCGAGTATTGAGATCGCGGAAAATTATAGAAAAGAGCCTTGGTTACTATGCTCACTGACCTCGCTAAAAAATTTTACAAATCAGCACCTGCAACCTGTGGTTCACTTTCAAAATTTCCAATTTTCTTCCATTCAAACACGTTTTTTAAGTACGTGCCAGTTTCCGAATTGATTAAGCAACCTAGACAAAACAACGGGAAGTCTGAAGTCGCAAATACTTTCCAGATTGGATTATTGAAAAAAATCACCTGCGCAGGAAGTCGCGGGCTTCGCTTGGGTCTGGGAGATCATGGCGTTGTCGCGCAAAATGGACCCGACGCCCTACGAAAACCCGAGGTTCTATTTTTTGGCGTTGCGAATACTCGGCATCTTCGGCACGCTATTCAACGCGTTGACCACCTACATAATTCTAAAGCATTCGCCGCCGGTGATGCGCACCTATCGATATTACCTAGTTTTCTATCAAATATTGTCTTCTTCCACATCGCTAATTCTGCCGCTAGCTAAAGTGGAGATGTTCCCCCCAAAGACTGTGCTGAGACTGGTGATTCTTTGGCCAGAAGGAGGAGCCGGGATAAAAGCAGCGATGGTGGGTAGTATTATATTTGGCAAATTTGACTGGTTTTCGTTATCAAAACTTATAAAATCAAGACACAAAGGTTTTAGAGCCTAGGCATGTTTGTTGGGATCGGATTTTGCACCGCAAACACTCAGTGTGTGGTTTTTAAACATAATCAACTGCTTCCGCCACATCACCGGCTTCGGTTTGTTCTTACCGATTTTCTGCTTTTTTATTAATTGTTTTGGTTTCTTTCTTCCGAAAATTTTTTTGGAGTATCATTCGAATTGATTTGGAATTTGGAATTTAGTTTTCATCGGACGACCTATATTTTACTAGCGCTTTTCCATTATATCGGTCTCCCCGCCGTTTATCTATACGGCTTCCAAATGGGCAGCGCCGATCTGGTCGCTAATTCGCCCCTGCGCGGCAGCATTTTGGAGGTTGAATTAGCTGCTAAGGTAGCTATAGGCCTCTTTAGCAGTATCCAGAGTATGCCAGTATATTTCTCTCGCCAAATATCTGGATTTACAATCTTTCGGCTAAGGTGCCATTATTCGGCGTCTCAATCTTCGAATTTATGTGTATTCTCGGGATCTGTATGTCGCATCAAATGGTGTTTGTTAGTTTTTAAATCAATGCTATTATATTTGTCAAGTTTTTAAGGTATCGGCACTTCTTCTTCATTCATACCACTTGTTGAAGAGGAACACAATGATGAGCGAGTCCACGAAGCGCTTGCAGAAGAAGCTCGTACAAAATTTATCGATGCAGGTGAGGATCATCGTTAAAGGTACACCAAAGTCTCGTTGGATTGGTTATCGGCCGGTAACCGTCCGCGGGATAGCAAACAGGGTTACGGTAGGGGCTCGCCGCGGAGCAAAACCGAACCCGCGCCACTCGACTGGGACGAGCGCTTTAGACCACTAGGCCATGGGACCGACGGGAAAGGGGAAAGGCAAGGGGGATAAGAAGGGTCCGGGCATTGGGCGGCAAAGGCCCCGGATTCTCGACCGCGAACTGGTTTATTGCACGAGATTTTAGTGTACCTTTAAGTATTCTGGAATTCAGGTAGTACTTTCAGGTTTCGATCCCTGGATACACGATTGTAATCCCGGCCTTGACCCTAACTATAGCTACCGTTGCCGAGGTTTTTGTGGCGCCAGGTCTTTTTCAAAAGCCGGCGGCTAATTGGTTATGTTTAGCCCTGGCGAACGCGATGTTTCTGCTCTTCACCTGTTACGGTCCAGTGTCATCGATATCGATCATCGCACCGTCTCCAACCTACCGGCGAAAGCTTTTCAGCCTTCTGGCGTAAGTTAGCTTTTCCAAGGCCCCGATGAATTTCTGTTGTTTTAGAAGGCTGCCTTCAGGTCGCGACACGAGCCTCATCAGTGTGGAGGGTCGTACGCGGCGCGAACCTCAGAAAAACTCAAAAAGATCATTCAAATGATGCCCTGGGTGTGGGGCCTTCGACCTGGGTGTGTTATTATAATGAATGCTTTGTAACTCCAGTGAAAACGTCCCTCTGTCGGTCCTCTAGTATTGCGAAATGTTCTCCGGACCAACCCTTAAGATCTGCAGCCGATCCGATAAAAATTCTAGGAAAAATATGCGCCAAACGTTCCATAAAGGCAACCAAAAACGGGATGCCATGTCGTCAGCGAAGGAATTGCACTTTACACAAATACGCATCTAAAAACACTCACCGAGCGGTTTTTTAATCGATTTTTTCGCAAATTTCACAATTGGCGACAGCGCTTGTGACGCGCTTCTTTAAAATTAGCCATTACGTAGGGAACCAAAGCGCCCTAATTACCCAGGGTGCAATGAAATTGAAACTCAATGCCAGATGTAGGGGCGGTGATCCCTGAAAACTTTCAGCTGCCCTAGAATATAAAAACGGCTGTTGGGCGGCTGCAAGGGAATTCCGAGTTCATCTGGTGGCAAACACCCAAGAATTTTTTTGAAATGGATTATCCGGTCTACGAGGAGCCGGTGTTGTATCTCCGGATCATGAAAGCTACTGGCTTCGTCACAACTATAATTAATGCTGGGACTTTATTATTAATTTTCTTCGCATCGTCGAAAAAGATTGGGAAGTACCGATATTTTCTGTTGGCATATCAGGTGTGCTCCAAGTTTCTCGTGTTTGAAAATATGTTTAAATTTTGGACAAATATTTTAAGATAACTTCGGCGTCATTTGAATTCATGCTCAAGATAGCAATGGTGGAATTGTTTGTCCCAGCCCCTGTGTTACGTATGCACCAGACGATTATGCCAATCGATGTAAAGATCTGCGTGGTAGGTGTGTTGCAAAATTCTGGAGATCGGGTTCCGCAAAAGGTTATGCAGGTCTCTTCAGAATACTTGGCGGAAACCTTTCTGCTCTAGCTTACTGCTATTTAGTTAGTCGCTCTCTATGTGATCTGCGCAATGACGGTAGCGACATCTCTTTGTATATGGTATCGCCATCGCCAAGTGCTTCCTCTAGGACACTGGGCACGGTAGGTTCTAACTGCTTACAAGCTTGCGAAGCCTTGCAGTATCCCGAACATAATTTTAGTTGGCGGCATAGGTGCACAGCAGCATTTTTTGCTTCGATGTATTTGCTTTATTCAAGCATCGGGACTTTCGTGATTGTATGCACCAAAACCGAGCATGGACAAGGATTCATACTGTCAAACTGGTTGGAGGTCGAGTGGAGCCATTTGTTTTTACCTTTATCGTCCAGCCGGCCATTGAACCCGGAATTCCAGGCCCATCCAGGTCACGAGGAGCTGCGGCTAATCCCGGATATTTGGGTGGCTGATGTGGCGTCGGTTCTCCCGTTGTTGGAGACGGACGCCTTATCTGTGCTCTCCATTACAAGTCTTGTCGTATTTATGAAAGTATCTATATTGGTACTACACTGAGAACTCGCTAAGCCTGGGTTTTAGGGTACTATTGTATACGTGCACGCGTTCTTTATGCTCCGTCAGGCGGCGTGCACAATGAGCGAAAAAACTCGAAGACTTCACCGGAGACTGCTGATTCTGTTGATAATTCAGGTACGACAGCCTTGGGCTTTCGTACGAATAGCTTAGGCTTAATGGGCATCTAGAAGTGCCGGGTTAGAACCAAGCTCCGTCATTCATGTAATTCATTCACGCCTAAGACAAGAAATCGGACAAGTCGGGGGGAAAGAGGAAGAGTAAAATTCGAAAGAGCTCTCTCGGGGCAGGGAAGGGCGCACAAGGAACCGAGGGAATGTGCGGTGCGTCGTAGCGCAACAGGGCGTGCGCGATTAGGAATGGCTTTGCTTCTTCTCTAAAAACACGCCTACGATCACAAATTTCAGATGGGCATCCCGATGCTCACTCTAGCGTCTCCATTCGTAGGCTTGGCTCTCGTCCTCCATCAAAATTGGCCTTTGCCGCAAGGTAACCGTTATCCATCTCATTTCGATGACCATTTAGTGGCCAACCATGCGGTTGCACTCGTCATCGGAAGCCACGGTTGGACTTCAAGCATGGCAATTGTCTTATTAACTGACTCCTATCGTCAATATTTGTTTGGAATATTCAAAACGAGTCTGCCCAGGTTGAATGCTCTACGGATCATAAAATTATCCAATTATGTTTCAGGGCTTCAGTAGTGGCCCGCCCGGAGAAGCCGACAGCCAGTAAAAGTGTCCAGGCACGCCATTAGGGCTGCCAATGTGGACAGTCCAATAATAAATGAAGAAATTTTTATAGTTTAGTATTATATTAGTTTATTATTTCAGTCGAAAGCAATTCTGCAAAAAAAAATACAGAGACGCTCGAAGTCCAAGGCGAAAAATTAAACGATTGGGGGCCCCTTGACGCTGTCCTAGAAAAGTCTTGTGAGCTTCGATCGCGCACATAAAACCCAAAAAACGCCTAGCTGGCGCAGGTAATGATCAAATTTACACCTGCCTTAGAATGTCAAGAACCCCTGCAGCTAATCGAATTTCTAGTGGCAACAGTCCCTGCTAATTGTACGTTAAATTCATTCGAAATGAACTTGCCAGTATACGAGGAGCCGGTGTTATATGTTAAAATAACGGCGATCACCGGAGTCTTGTCGACGCTCATCAACATCGGAACCTTCTACTTGATCATTTCCGCGATGCCGAAGAGAATGGGGCAATATCGCTACTTTGTGCTGAACCATCAGGTCAGCAGTGTACGCGCAACGAAAGACGAGAAAGAACAAAAGAAAAGTAAAAAATCTAGGCTGTTGCTTCCGGAGCCGAGCTGTACCTAAAGGTCTGCATGGTCGAGATTTTTCAACCCGCGCCGGCAATGCGCTTTCACGGCGCGCTGCAGTGGTCACGGTGTCGTCTCGAGTTTATCGCTCGTTTTGTTGACGGATTCATATCGACAATATCTATCCGGATTCATGGGTGCCAGAATACCCAGATCGGATAGTTTTCGAAAACTGTAAAGGTTTTTCAGCAGCACCGTTGTCTTTGGCAGAAAAAAAGCCTCTGTGTCGATGAACCAGTTTGTGGTCACTCGAGGGCGGTTGGCAGTCGTCGGATCGAAAAACACCTGATCGAAAATCGCCTGATCGACAATCGCCTGATCGAAAAATTGCCTGATCAAAAATCTCCTGATCGAAAATTGCCTGATCGAAAAATCGCCTGATCGAAAAATCGCCTGATCGAAAATCGTCTGATCGAAAATCGCCTGATCGAAAAGTACGTAGCACCTGGAAGTAATTTGTCATACCATGCTTCGTGGTTAGGCTTAGACTTAGACTTAGACTTAGGCTTAGGCACCAACAACGCACTCAACCAACACTTTGGCTGCAAGCACCATGTGGAAATTCCTCAACTACCTTCAGAAGTTCGAGCTCGAAACCCGGGTCAACTCCGAGAATACGCGCATGCCTCGAAGAAACGCGACCGGACGACGCTCGACGAGCAGCAGAAAATATGCTACAACTTTGATAAGGACAGCAATTTTCGATTAGGCGATTTTTCGATCAGGCGATTTTCGATCAGGCGACTTTTCGATCAGACGATTTTCGATCAGGCGATTTTTCCATCAGGCGATTTTTCGATCAGGCGATTTTCGATCAGGAGATTTTCGATCAGGCGATTTTTCGATCAGGCGATTTTCGATCAGGAGATTTTCGATCAGGCGATTTTTTCGATCAGGTGACTGGGAATCCTCGAGGGCTCAACTGCCCAGCGCCTATCAATTTTTCTAATAATTCTTTGAGATTGAGGAGTCTGCTTCATCCTCGGACTCAACTTCCAGTCAGATCTCAGAAAAACATAAGCCTTCAGACAAAGATATGTTAGGAAATCGTGCGCCTAGAAGCGAAAAACTTTCTTTGGTATCCGACGGGATTTGATGTTTCGGTTCTGTTTCGGATTCGGGGGGGGGGGGGAACCAACTTTTTTCGGTGCAAGCCTAAATTTGGTTAAAAATAGCGTTATTATATATTGTTTATAATTATTTCTAAGCGTAAAAACTCTGCAATTTTTACAAACCAATTTACCTTGAAGTCGAAAAGTTAATTTTTTTTTGGGCCAAAATGGCCAAGCTTTCGACTTTAAAACACTCTTCGAGCCGTTTTGAAAGTTTTCCTATTGAAGATCTAGTTGAAGCTTACTGAAAACATAGTAAAAACTCTGTGTATTTAATTACCAGGCCAACCGGCACCGCCAAAAAATCTTAGTTCCCCCCGCGAATCCTAAAGAACCGATGTGTGTTATCCTTAAAATTGTGAAACCTATTGCATCGTAAGGGTCATGTTTTCCGAGCAAATTCTGCTATCTATCTCTTCCGACATCTTCTTTCTGGTGATTTTATTTGAAATTGAGGTTAAGCTGCATGAAATCCCGGAAAATAGTGGTAACATAGTGGATAACAGTGTGCGTGCAAAATTTCAACCATTTGACTTTTTAGCAGCTGCGCCCAGGTACTAACAATCATTTTTTGGCTACGAGATCTAGACTGGCTATAAGCGGGCAAACACCTGCAAAAATGACATGTCATACCCGGCCACTTGTGATTGCCACCTGCCGGAAACAATGGAAAAATCGTGTTACTAGTTTTGGCCGGGCACCAATGTTTTTCATTTAATCTTTGGCGCGACCTCGCGTTCAATTCCTAAATTGTGTTAATCGCTCACCAAATTCCTAAAATGGACCTGCTATTCTATGAGAAGCCCGTGCTCTACCTCCAAATGACCGAAATCACGGGGGTCCTGTCGACAATCATCAACGTCGGCACCTTATTCTTGATTTATTTCGCAGCGCCGCAGAAAATGGGGAAATACCGCTACTTTTTGCTGGCTTATCAGGTTTGTCGTGTTTCGAAGAGTTATTTCGTGCAATAACAACGAATTCAACATTTTTAGTCGGTCGCCTCCGGGATGGAGCTTTTCCTAAAAGTTTCTATGATCGAAATGTCCCAACCCGCTCCGGTAGCGCGCTTCCACGGAGTACTGCAGCTGGATGCCAAGACCTGGAACGTAGGTGCGCCAGGCGATCGCCCAATTTTCGCTTTAGATCGGCGCCGCTTGCTTTTGCACGGCACTCTCGACCACGACGGGGCTTTGCCTCGTCTACCGGCACCGGCAAGTGCTACCCCTCGGACACTGGGCTAGGTTAGGCACGGTTGTGCAAAAAGCAAGTTCCGGTTTTCCTCCGAGCCGTTTAGATGGAAGCCTATGCACCTAGCGCTTTTTTTCATTGTCAGCTACTTATTTTTTACGGGTCTGATCACTTACTCGATCGGATGTATGGCCATGGAACAAGGCCAAGGCCGGATACTGCATAATTGGATCAGGGTACGCCACATTCTCCAAAAAAATTCAACGCAGAAATGGAGTGCGACCTAAAGTCCAAAGACTTCAGGACCACCCTGAATTTTACATATTGCGAACGGTGCCTGACATCTGGGCATCCGACTTTACGCCAAATACGATAATCGGCGTTATGGCCAAGGACCTCTTAGCAACCGGGATTGGAATGCTGCTAATAACATCAATATGCGTGGTAGTGTAATTTATACTTAAAGGGGCTCCGAAGTCTGGTCCGCGCCCCTCAGCGTTGCTTCCTTGGCAAATGGCCAAATCCGAACGCAACGCGACCGCGCCGCATGATCTTTTGCCCCTGTTTGGACGTGAAAACGCTTGAATTTCACGCCTGACGCTATTTCTGGAATTCTCAACGAATTTTGATCATCTTAGACTTTTTAATTATGCAAGTGGCCAGAAAACACCGGGACCGAGAACCAAAAAACACCGAGAGACACCTAGGCACCTTACAAGGCATTACGACATGTAATCGCCGCGCGGTCAAAAAGTCTTTTTCGCCCCGAGAACATTTCGGTTTTACTAAAATATTTTACGTTTTTCGGAACGAAGTGATTTTTCTGGTTCTTCTCGGCAGCAACCCCTTAGTTTTTTGACCATCGTTTCAATCCCCGCACGCGCGAATTTTGACTTCCTGATCCCTTTAAGAATACTAAAATAGCATCTCGGTCAAGAAACATATTTGCGGTCTTTCTGACGTTAGTTCCTTACTTTAGTGTTCCCTACTCTACGGTCACGCCTTCTTCCTGTTGCGACGGACAGCTGGCACAATGAGCGAGAAAACGCGCCAGTTGCACCGTCGATTACTGTTACTGCTGGCCGTTCAGGTTTCCATAGCGAAGATACCGGAAACCACTTCTAGATGGGCATCCCGATGCTAACTCTTGTCGGGCCGAGTGGCGCAATGGGCATCGCCGCCATGAATCTATGGGCCACCCGTCAAGGTAAGCATCCCTGATCCCTAACCCAACTCCGCAGTGGCCAACCAGCTCTTCGTGTTCTGCATCGGGAGCCACGGCGTGGTCTCGAGTCTATCCATCGTGTTGCTGACGGATTCGTATAGGCAGTGCCTATCCGGGCTGTTTAGAATCGGAATATCGAGGTTCAACCGGTTTTGGCATCATTTTATTGCTGGTGTTCAGCACTGTTGGCGCCGCTGGCCCGGAGAGGAGGTCGATCTTGATGAACAAGATCGTGGTCCTTCAACGGCTCAGCCATCGCGCGTCCATCAATTTTGCGAATAGAGGTTGACGGCCATACTGTTGCTTGAATTCCACCTGTCAACTTCCTAAGGGCCTGAAGTGCTAATTCTGAACGGACGGTCCTTGTTGTTTTCATTTGATGTTTGGCTGCGAGTTCCATATCGATCTCTACGTCGGCTTTGGCAATTGTCAGAAGTCGCTCTGATGTGCTATGAACGCGCTTGATTACAAAGTGCCGGTCCTTTACGTTGAAACTACGGTAGCCAACGGGGTCGTATCGACGCTAATCAACATTATTGCCCTGTTCCTGATCTGCATCACCAAGAAAGACGGGGCAATATCGTTATTGTTTGCCGGCCTATCAGGTGGGTCGATTTTTTTATTTTTATCACACCTTCTAAATATAACAAAGCATTCTAAATATTCAGCTGGTGGCTTCAACTGGTGAGTTCTTCCTGAAGCTCAGCCTGGTCGAAATCTTCCTGCAGACCAGGGCCACACGTTTCCATCTGGACGTTTTGCCCTTGGATGCCAAGTCCGGGAACGTAGGTGTTTTGCTATTACGTTTCGAGAATTACGATAATGGAAATCTGGACAACAGTCTAGCTTTTTTTTGTTCAGATAGGTGCCGTTTTTCTCACGATGGCTTTGGCTGCAACTACGGCGCGCACACCATGAGCGAGAGAACCCGGCAACTACAGCGGCGCTTGTTGATTTTGCTAGCAATTCAGGTACCAGAATCGTTTTCGTAAGGCCAAATCTTCGTAGGTTTTAGATGGGCTTTCCGATGCTGACCCTCGTCGGGCCTGTTGCTGCTATGTTGATCGCCGTCAACCGGAAGCTACCAATATCTCAACGTATGTTTTATTTCGCGACATATTTTTTTAGCCATGCAACTCGATACTATTTATAAATCCTTTCCCCCGTTTTGTTTCAGTATCTAATCAATTTGTTGTGCTCACTGTCGGCAGCCATGGCTGAACGTCAAGTCTATCCTTCGTTTTCCTCACCGACTCGTATCGAAATTACTTAGCCGGACCCTTCTCCATGAAACTAACGATGTCAGTTGTTTATTCATTTATTTATTTCATCCTTGATGTTTTAGATCGTGGGCGTAGCCACCAATTTAAAGTCGGGTATCGCTGTGACGCGTAAAGTCACTCCACTACACTCCCTGAATGAGTGCCTGGGTTCCCTTGTTGGTATAATAGTTCAAGTTACCATTAACTCCTCTTACGGCAACTTTATCTCTAGCTGTTTTGTTGCTTTCACTCAACTTTATTTTGTCTAGCCAGTATTTTCAGCGGGCGCCCAAAACCGCTATTTTTATTATGATTTGACCGGGAAGAGTGCATAAATAATATGGTCGACTGGTGACGACAATGGCCCAACCCGGTGGGGTCAGACCCGAAAAAGCGAAGTTGGGCGCCGAACTTGGGCAAATATTGGGCGGTAATGAAAACAAAATGGGCGTTCGTTGGCTATAAAAGCAGTGCAGGTCGGGTCGAAAAGTATCGAGCTCATCCGGCCTTGCTTATTCGGCTTCACTTCATCGGCTTATTAAAAAAAAAAACACAAAAAATGGTAGGGAAGTTGAAGAATACAACTTATGCGTTTTATAGAAATTCCTGTTCATCTCCTCTGTGCTTCTGACTGCGGCTTATGCCAGTAAGTTCCTCTAAAGATTGTCTCGCTCGCGCTCGCTCTCTCTCTGTCTCTCTCTCTCTCTGTCTCTCTCTCTCTCTCGCTATCGAATTATTCCATACGTTTTCAGCGGTGCCCACGCGCATCACCCGCCCAACGGTCCACATCACTACTCCTCGCGTTACCGTACCCGGCAACATGACTCGTCCTTCGGTCACCATGCCCTCAATCTCTACCCCAAAAGTCACCCGTCCTACCGTAACCCGTCCCTCGGTCACTGTCCCCCACGTTACCCGCCCCTCCATCCGTCCAGTCACAAAAATCACTCGTCCTACCGTACCCCATATCACTCGCCCTACCGTCAAACATATCACCCGCCCTACCGTACCCCATGTCACTCGTCCGAGGGTGACGAAGCCGCATGTTGGTGGAGTGACCCGTCCTCGTGTCTCTACCCCAAAACACATCCGCCCTACCGTAACCGTGCCCCATGTTACCCGCCCGAAAGTGACGACCCCTCGTGTCCCTATTACGCGCCCGACGGTTCGTGTCTAATTCTTCAGCTGACTACTCTTCTCTTTTTAATTCTGAATCCCTAATTCAGCCTATTCTTGCCATGTCTGTACAATACGTGTGTTGAGGCAATGAATAAAGTGCGTATTGCAAAATTGGAGGTATTGGGTTTTTTGGGTATGAATTTTATTGCAGTAAGAAGAAGAAGTGCATTACTAATCGTAGTTTGTTGTCCTGTGTACATTCCGGAGCGTCTAGTAGCGATCCATTTTGCGGTCAGCCTCGCGGGCCTTGTCGTGCGCCCAATCCTTCAGGTGCTCCTTCTGAAAATCAGATGCGATAAATCCAGAAACAGTTTTTTTAGATATCTGCCTGTCTCTGTATCTGATATATCTAGCTTAGCTAGCTAGCTAGCTCTAGCTCTCTCTCTCTCTCTCTCTCTCTCTCTTTCTCTCTCTCTCTCTCTCTCTCTATCTCTATCTCTTTACCTTGTCGTAAGCCTTATCCTTTGTCTCCTCCCATGCGCTGCGGGCCGAATCCTTGGCCCGATCCTCGTGCGACATTCCGGTTAGATCGGCCATTTTGTCCTTCACCTGCAAAATGGAGCTTGAATTGCGCATTAATGGGTGCATTATGCAAACTACAAGCTCTAGGTGAAGCCAGACGATTTTGAAACTGCCCACCGCCTCAGCAGCGTTGCTGACGGCGTCCTTGGTCTTCTCGATGATTCCGGGCATATTGATTGCGTTGGGGTAGTTGTGGTAAACTGGAAAGTCTTGATTGGTGGTCCCAAAACGAAAATCGGAAAGGTTTTGGAGCTAAGGAATGTGAGGAAGAGGAAGAATGTGGAACTCCGGTTAAAGAAAACCAGCGGCTTAGAGGCTGAGAGACTAGAAGCTAGCTGAGATCAGAAAGAGTTTGGGAAACTAAACATGTAGAAGTCAAGAACCTTTCAAGCTGGGATGCCGCTTGTGACCACCCTCGACATCCAGCTTCTTTTATAGGTACCCTGTTTTGATGTTTTCGCCTCTAGAGGGCCGTCAGTACATGATATTCCTGTCAACAGTCCTTCTATCGGCTCTCCTTAATGTATTCCACCTCACGGATTCCTCGAAGAAACATGTTGAATCTTCAAAAAAACACTTCGGATCAACAAAAATGTCTCGGGATACGTTGCTTTGCATAAAAATATTTTTGTCAAGGGCACCGCCAAAACGTCGGTGCTGAATTGATGAAGGAGCCGGGACAGCGAGGCGGAAAAACCACGGTCCTGTCTTTTGAAAACATAAACGAGTTTCAAGGCCTGAAGACGCCAAAAACCTTGTCGTCGCTACGCACAAATATAGAAGCGTTTAAAAAAAACGCTCGTAAGGGTTTTTACCGGTAGCTGTCGGAAGCTGCTTGATAGAAAGCGTAGATACGCCCCTTGCGGCTGCATTGAAGAGAAATTCCAGATGAAACGTATGTTCTTAAGCCTGAAACCAGAAAGTCCTGTAATTAATGAGCTCTCAACGACCTGAAAACCGATTGAGCTTCCGGGTACTGACGTAAACGGAAAAGTTTGGTCCGGGAAAACAAACTCTGACGTTTTTCCGTTACACCTCCAATGTTTAGAAAAATTTGGCGGTGTGTTTACGCGTCACTTGGGCTGTTAAAAAGACAAGAGACTGCTTGACTCATCCCTGGAGAGCAGAAATGAAAGCATCCTCCTACTTCCTATTTCTACTTGCGTTGGTTATCCTCACTACCCATGCTCGTCCCTACGACCTGAAATTAGGCAATGCGACACGAAGCTTGTTCTTGGCTTTAAACAGTTCTATTCATGCGCAAAGAACAGAAATAATCGCGAACTTGTCACGGCAAGTCGCCCATTCGATAACCTTCGTCATGGAGGAGCTACGCCTGAACCTAATGACTTCCAATGAAGGAGAGGAGATCTATATCGAGCCGGCGGTATGCATTTTTTGATGTTTATTGTAGTGGTTATTAGCAGAAAAACATTTTTTAATAGTGCAGGCGTCCGGGAAAAATGCTATTTGTTTCTTTACTTTTCAACATCTATTAAGCGCTACCATCTTCTTGGCTCTTTGTTCTTATGTAATTCATTTAGTACGTCTTTTTTCTAACCGCGAGGCCTATAGAATCAATGATTCGTTTGGTAATTGGAAGTTTTTTAAAATTTAAAATTCACGAGAATTCATCTCTATTTGCGAGAACCAAACTTTTTTAGAAAACTCTTGTTTAGTCTTAAAGAGATTTAATTATTGGTTTAATTTTATTTGAATTCATTTTAATTTCAGGATCCAGTGGAGACTTTCCTCGACTCCCCTAACACTTATATGCAACAGTTCAATGAATTGGTAATTTAAAACTTTTTAGGATTTGTAAATCCGTTTTTCAGGATCACCTGCAAGGCTCGGTCGAGTCGAAAGAATCGAGTTTTCAGTGGGCCAAGGACCTGGTGAGTACGCCTGTATAATTGACGGCAATGCAAAACGGGGCGGCATCCCTTTAGCATCTTACTATATAAAAATTTGATTTTAATTGAATTATTATAAAATCAAATAATTGATACTTTCTAATTCGTATACATTTAGATGAAACGCGGCAAGGCTTGGTACAAGAGCTTGAGCCCCGAGGAGAAGCGGAAACTTAAAGAGAAGCTGAAAGTGGCCGGGAAGTATCTTAAAGGTAAGAAAAACGCCTGCATCTCCAAATTTCGTTATTTGTAGATAAGTTCCGTGCTACAAAGCAGCCAACAATGCTACCGGGTCACCGTATTCCTATCGTATCCGGTGCTCCGGTTATGGTTCCGCACAATGTTTATCCGAATACGCCACCTGGCTTGCCATACCCGACCTACCCTCATTACCCTTATCCAAAAGCCACCCAAGCTACCGTAATTTTTGGTCGAAATACCGTACCTAATAATCATTATAATTCTCATAATAATTATCATCCTCGAAAAGAGGCTCATGATTGGAAATTACATTCCAATACCGTAACTCGATCCCCAGTTACTGTACCCCCGCCCACCCGGTCCTGGTTCTCTTTCTGGAAAGGCACCCAGGCTACCGTACCTCGATCTCAACCTACTGTACCAAGCCATGCTCAAAATCCTTATCATACAACCCGTTCTTGGTTCTCCTTTTCAAAACCCACCCAACCTACCGTTGCCCTGAAACTAAACGATTTACCCCATATAACGCTACCAACTTTCCGTACTTATCCTGTGAAGGTTACTCAGCCTACTGTTCCCAGAATACCATCTAGTCCACGCCACACTACCCCTCGTTTCCGTGACACTCCGCCAAGGCAAACGACGAGTCGTAGTCGCCATACGACAGTAAGGCATCGGGAGACGCAACGTCATCATCATACGACGCAGCGTCATCGCGAGACGCAACGCGAACGCACGACTCAGCGTCATCGGGTGACTCATCGTCACCGAGACTCCCATCATCACCAGACAACCCATCGTCACAACCATCATCACCACTGATTTTTGCTCCTCAAAACATCCTGGACTCCACAATAAATTTTCTACTTTATTACTTTTGGTTTTACGATTTTTTCTGAATTGTCTTTCTTTCGTTCGATTTCCTTACCTTTACCGTACAATACGAGTGTCCGGGTGCTGAATAAATGTTTATTACACAAATTAACTGCAGCTCCAAAAGTTTTATTTCCATAAAAATCAAGGTTTGTCTTGTGGATTGTGACGTCATTTGTACAGGCGTGGAATCTAGTAGCGGTCCATTTTGCGGTCAGCGTCGCGGGTCTTGTCCTGGGCCCATTCTTTCATGCTTTCTTTCTAAAAAAGACATTTTTTAGCTATTTATTTTTATCTCCCTCTCTCTCTCCCTCTCTCTCGCTCTCTCTCCCTCTCTTTCACTCTCTCTCCCTCGCTCTCTCTCACACTCTCCCTCTCCCGGCACCTACCGTATCAGCCATGCGAGACTTGGTGCCCTCCCAGGTGTCGTTGGTGTAGCCTTTTACGTCTTCCGACGAAGTGCTGGCTGAGTTCTGCGCCCCCTCCTTCCAGTCGCCCACCTTGTCCTTCACCTGAAGACAAGTGAATTTTTAAGCATGCGGTAGCCAAGAGTTCACAGCAAAAATGACCTACCGCCTCAGCGGCGTTGCTGACAGCGTCCTTGGTTTTCTCAATGATTCCAGGCATTTTTTATTGCGTTAGCAGGTTTTTGTTTTCTGAAAAAAGGCGTTCGGCGTGCTAGAATTCAGAAATACTCGTCGATCAGAAAGGGCTAAAATTGGAGCATGAGCTCGTGACGCTGAACCAGTCCTGAAGTAAGAAAACTAAGAAAATCAGAAGCTATCAAGCTATCAAGCTAAATTGCCTGTGTCCTCCCTCCCCATCCGGTTTCTTATATAAAGAGCTTGTTTTGGTGTTTATCTCCTTCGTAAGGTCGTCAGTACGCGATATTTCTATCAACAGTCCTCCTCTCGGCTGTCCTTAATGTATTCCACCCCACTGCTACCTTGAAGAAACATGTTGAATCCGCAAAAACACTTCGCCGGATCAACAACGATCTACCGGAGATCATCTACCGAAAATATTTTTGGCGGCTCTTTTCTAAAAACAATGGTGCCGAATTGATGAAGTTGACCGCAGGCCGAAGGAGCTGCGAAAAACATGGCGCTTTTCCTTCCGGTATGCACCAAATTCCGCTCAACACTTTATTCCACCCCACATCGCAATCACATCACAAATACAGTTGCAAATTTCTACTACACAGCATCGTATTTAGTGTAGAAACCTAATTTTGATGGATGGATTGTGGAAATTGCGCGGATACGGTGGTCGAGCATCTAGACTTGGGGCTTGATGTTGTTTGCCTTCTCGTTCTTGGAGGGCATGAAGGGCTGCTTCTCATCTTCGGCTCCTGGAAAATGAATTCAGATTCTGACGTCAAAGAAGCGCAAAATTTACCTGGCTCGAGCTTGGCCGAAGCGATGGAGCCAGTTTTGTCGCCTGTCTTCGTCTTCTGGTTTCGGGTCAGGTAGGCGCGGACGACTAAAGGGATTAGGAAGCTGTGGATTCCCCAATGATCTCTGTTAGATTGCGAAAGCTTCATCCAAATACCCACTGAGGGCCACCAAACCGATCACCGTGATGGTTCCGATAATCGAGCAGGAGACGATCATGATGATGGTACCGCGGCGCATGGAGCGGTCTGAAAAATTCTCTTTCTTACTCTTTCTCTTTGTCTTTCTCTCTCTCTCTCTCTCTCTCTCTCTCTCTCTCGCTCTTTCTCAAATGACCTACATTCACACTCCCCATCCGGCTTCACTCCCTGGACGTCTTCAATCTTGTGGCACTCGGCCGCGCATGGAATCTCACCATCGTTCGGGCATTCTGAATTTCAGACCATACGCGCTGAGAGTGACGCCTACGTGCAAATTGGCAGATGGTCTTGTTGTCGTTGTCGAGGCTGATCGAAGCCAAGCGTTCGAAGGGGAGGCACGCGTAGTCATCGCCGGCCCAGCAGGCTACTGTATCCTTTCGGCCCGCGCAGTCTTCGGTCGGTTTCAGGTCTAAAATGGAGGTTGGAGGGTGGAGGGTAAAGCGAGAGAGAAAGAGCGAGGGAGAGAGAGGGAGAGAGAGAGAAAAATAAAATATTTCCTTACGTGGAATCTTGTTCGGATCGACCAGGCGGCATTGATTGTCCTCGCCAACGGACTGTATGTGCCAATACGGGATGCAAATCTGCTTCAGGCCCTTGGCGGAATGTTTGCAGGGATGGTGACCAGGAGGGCAGCCTAAAAAGATCTATTAGCCTTTAAAGGGATAAAGACAGCATCTTCTCTCTGCAGCGAGGGCCATCAACAATTTTCTGACCTTCGACGGTGCACTCCGCGGTCCGGTCGTTGTAGGTGTGCAGCGGGGCGGTGCGCGAGAGTGGGCTGAACGCCTCGACGCAGATCGGCTCGTGTACGCCACAGTTCATGTGGCCTTTCGGGCATACTGGAAACGGTTACGTAGGAGGTGCTTTTGCAGTACCGGGAAAGTGGACAGAAATTGGTAAGATTGAACTAGCTCGCAAGCGGAAAAACTGCCTAAAAACAACACCACCACCCATACCGGTAGCCTGCGGCGTCAATTCACAGCTCCCATCACCCTTGATGGCTTTGACGAAGGAGAAATAGGTGCAGCGATAGATGCCATCTTTGCCTCTGCATGGCGTGGTGGAGGGTTGCTCCTCGCAGCCTGAAAGTAGGGCGCTGTACTCTTGGCACAATTTTACCTTTCGTAGTGCAAAGCCGTGTGGTGCTGTTGTAGTCCTCGAGGTTAGCTGCGTGGATACATATCGACGTATGGATCCCGCAGTCCAAGTACCCCCGGCTTCCGCAGTCTAAAATACGTGATTTTTTTAGTAGAAGCCAAGAACGCGCTTTGTTAGGAAAAAAATTGCATCTGCCGGAAGTTGGCGGCCCTCTCCCCATCATGCGAAAAAACTCGAGCTACAGTAGGACTTGATGGGGTGAGGGTTATCTGCGTTTCAACCAACAAATCAATTCACCAGTAAATTTCCAGTCTCCCGGCAGCATCCCGCCTTGATCGAGCCGTTCCATGGGGATGCAGGTCGTCTTCTCGTGGATCATGATTGGCGCGGTGTCGTCTTGGCAATCTCAAGGAAAGTGATACTGGACTACTGCTGGCAAGAGGGGAGTAGAGTGAAAGAGAGAGAGAGAGAGCGCGCGAGAGAGAGATAGAGAGAGATATACATCAATACCTTTGAAGGCGCACTTCTGGTACGAATAGTCAGCAAGGGATTCTGGATTGACGCAGAAAGTTTTGTTGCCTTTCCCGAGGCAAGAGGCGAATCCCTCCCAGCAATGGACCTCTTCGCTGTCGGCGCGGAACACGCCAAAGATGAGCAGCCCGAGCAGTTGGACGAGAGAAGGCATGGGCCAGAACTTGAGTGGATCTAGAAAAGTCGAATTAGCATAAGAAACATTTACATGAGACGGAAGGGCGGTAAGAGCTTTGAGTAACCAACCTTAAGGCCAGACCCCAGGACGAATAATATTTTTTCCTTAGAGCACTTGCCATAGCTCCGGTATGCAAATCAAAAAAAAATGTTAATTTTAAGACATCATCTCACTGAAAGTTGCGGCTGGACGAATCTCTCCCTCCATCTCTCTCTCTCTCTCTCTCTCTCTCTCTCTCCCTCTCTCTCTCTCTCTCTCTGTCGCTCTCTCTCTCTCTTTCTATAGCTTTTTCTCTCGCAAACACACACTTTTTCTCACACTATCTCTCTCTCTCTCGCTCTCTCTCTCTCTCGATGTCTCTTCTCGCACGCAATGCATCGTGAATTGTAAATCTTTGTACAGTTTTGAGCAATCAAAGTTTATTATGCATCTTATGTACAGCGTTAATGTCATGGGTGAATTAATGGAAGCTCATTTAGAAATCATCAATCGGAACGTTCTGGTCCCTCAGCTTGTCGAGGGTATCATCCTGGCGGACCGGGGGACGGTGTGGCTTCAAGGCGTTGCCCGCTTCATAAAGCTTATGCCCGGCCGTGTGCTTCATGCTCTCGCCCTAGAAAAAGAGATTCGTGAATTACATATTATTTTCCAGTTTATTTTGAACCGACGGGAAGGCATTTTTTCTATAATCATTTGGCGAAAGTGAGGAAGTTAAGAGATAAGCAAGAGGTTATTAAGTGGATTTTTTTTGAATTGAATGTTTGAAGTGAGTTTTTGAGTTTGAATTTTTTTAATTTTTAGAAAATCATTTTTGCTTGATCAAGTAGTTTAGTTCAGTAAATACGACAAATTATTTGAAAACACCCACCATTTCCCGTGCACTTTCCTTGGCGTGCTCCCAGGCCTGGCCGGCCTCATTCCGGGCCCGATCCTCGTGGGTGGTGCCCGTCCATTCGTGGAGCTTGTCGGAAACCTGGAAATTTAGGTTAATTATTCTAGCCTATAACCTTGTGGTTGAAAAAATATATTTTGCGCTTCAGCTGGTTTTGCTAAGCTAAGAACTTGCCAGAAAAATGACTTACAACGTGGGCGATGCCGCTGAGGGTCGGTCTGTCGTCGCTCATTTTGCAGTTTTTGTGGTTTTCTGAAAAGCAATAATAATTTGGGGGTCAATATCCATCAATATAAACGAAGAAATTTAGCAAATCAAAATGCTAAAGTTAGCTCGATGGTGCTTCGGATTAAGGCCGAAAATCTTAGTGAAACTTATTATAACTTTTGATTTTGAAATGGGAAATTGAAAAATAGAAAAATCTTGATGAATAATGCCCAGAATCAGGTGCAAAATCTTTACAATTTCGAAAGGAACATTTAATAACCAAATTCCCAAACTTTCATGCGCTGCGAATTGAGACCAAAGCCAGAAAGTAAAGCAAAAAGCTAGATTTTTCTTTGATTTAAAGACCAGTTCCGAAACCTCCAAAAACCTTGTAAAAATCAATAGTTTAAAAAATTAAAAGCCCAAATGAGGGGAGTGAGATCAAGTGAGGGATCCTTGCTTATATAGCCATGCTGGGGGACAGCCCCCAGTCGATTTCTTCACCCAGAAAGTGCATCTGCACTCCCTCGACTGGGGGACCAAAAAGAAGCCAGCCGACAACAACAACGGCAAGCACTCATTGGCCCCAACAACCCCAGCCACGCAAATACCCCCGGGAGAAAACAACGTTTTTTGAGGCTAGACCGTAGATGAAAATGGAGCAAAAAAAGGCTGTGGAAAGCTAAAGTTGGAATTTATGAAATTGAGGATAGCTAACCACACTAAATAGCCTTTCTAAAAGAAAAAGCAAAGCCACGCTGTTTTGACATTTTCCGGGGATGGGGGACGGATTTGCATAGGTTGAGAAATGCCAAGCAAAAGAAGATATTTTAATAGCCTTTTATAAAATAACCTGTTGCCAGGGTTAAAAAGTTACTTCGCCGAGTTTCCGTGAGTTTTATTACAGTTTTTGTTATTATCTTAAGTTAGTTGTAGTGAATTTAACAAGATATCACGGAAAAATAACTTAAAATTTTTTTTGGAAATTTTGAAATATTCTTTGAAAATCGGGCATTTTGCTGGTACAATCGATATTTTCCGCATCTTTTAAATAGACATACAATTAGTCAGGCTTTTATTTTTAGTGAAGGAATAGGTATACGTAGGATTTTTCGGTTACCGGCAGATTTTGAAATTTTGAGCTCAAGGAGAAACAAAGCTTTCGATATTCTGGAGACAAGGCCGGGGCAGCTTCATCAATTCAACGCCCTTGTTTCCCATCGTGCCACCGTTGAAAATATGTTTTTATGAGAAGCGATGATCGCCGATGGATCTTTGTTGATCGATGTTTTTTGGGGATTTGAAATGTTCCCACCACGGGATGGAGGCGGAATATCTTAAGGAAGTGCTGCTGACCTTGAGGAAGAAACAACAAAAACAGGCTCTCTACATAAGAAGTTCTCCAACGAGGGAAGCTACAGTCAGCGCTTCAGCTTACAAGTTTTTGAATATCTCGACTTCAAAGCTTCTTAGTTTCTCAGTTCCAGCTTCATAGCCCTTTTTTGTCAGCATCATCTTACCTTGCCAACTTTTGCTTTCTTGGACTTCAATTACTTCTTTTTGAAAGTAATTCATTCGCTTTATAATCTGAATTTTTCTAGCTTACTACAACCACAACTAACGCATTCAAAATGCCCGGAATTATCGAGAAGACCAAGGATGCCGTCAGCAACGCGGCTGAAGCGGTGAGTTTTGAAGCGTTCAGACATTGCCGTGATTTTCTCAAATTGAACGTAACGAATGACATGTACGTCTTTCAGGTGAAGGACAAGATGGCTGACTTGACCGGAATGGGGCATGAAGAGCGAGCCAAGGATTCGGCCCGCAGCGCCTGGGAGGAGGCCAAGGATAAGGCTTACGATAAGGTAAAGAGAGAGAGAGAGAGAGAGAGAGAGAGAGAGAGAGAGAGAGAAGAGAGAGAGAGAGCAAGCGAGAGAGAGAGATAAAGAGAGCGAGATATTTACAGAAATTGCCGAATACCCAATTTTCAGAAGGAGGACCTGAAGGACTGGGCGCACGACAAGGCCCGCGAGGCTGACCGCAAAATGGACCGCTACTAGACGTTCCGGAATGTACACAGCATAAAAACCACACCTGCTTGATTTTTTCTTGTAATAAATCTTTGGCGCTGCAAACATCGTGCACATTGTCAAAAAAACCGCCAATTCATAATCCAGAATTGAGAAAGCTTGGCTTTCGAACTTCGACAAGCTTCTTCTGCAAAAATGGATTTAGAATTTCGCAAAAAAATACGGTAAATCTGTTTTGTAAATATAATACTTACAATATACTTCGGAAAACAACTTTTTTTGAAGGTAATTGCGCGAAAAGCAAAACAATAACTTCAGCAATATGCATACCTTTAATTTTGAATTTGGTGAACACGATTCGAAAATCATTCTTCACGCTCCACAGCTTACAGGTCGGTTCCTCTTTTCTTTCATCATTTTTATTTCGCTCTTAGATGCCGTGGTACCAGCTCATGCTCGTGCTCATCGTCGCCACATCCACGGTCGGTCAAGCCCAGTTATCGCCCTGTGACGACGGACTCGTACCCTGCACGTCGAAGGGCGGAAAGCACTTCTGCGTCGACTGGGACAACCCGTGGCAAAAGGAGTGCCGTCATCAGGGTAGAACCAGTAGATCGCTCTTGCTATCTCTCTCTCGCTCTCTGTCTATCTCTCTATCACTCCCTCTCGTTCTCTCGCTCTTTCTCCTCTCTCTCTCTCTCTCTCTCTCTCTCTCTCTCTCTCTCTCTTTCTACTGCCTCTTTCAGACTGCCCGGAGAACAGTGTGCCCCTCAAAATCGGCAGTAAGGTGGCCTGCGTCCCGATCGACCTGCTCGCTGACGGCACCAATCTGCCCGCCACCTGGAGATTTAACGGTGCGCACTTCAGTAGTCTTATGCAACCCCAATTTAAGTCTGCCAATCGGACTATCAAGTTAACTGCGGCATCAACACGACGATCTGCCTAGACAGCACCGAGCTCCTCGACTACGACCTCGACTCGCAGCTCTGCATCCTTCCTGGTATGGTTTCATTGATTTTAACAAACCTTTTTTAGATTGCCCCGACAAGCCCTCCAGCTTCCTCTGCACTCTGCCAGATGGGCTAAAGGCTTGCACCTACTTCTCCTACATCACGGCAATCAAGGCGGACGACGTTTGCGAGATGTCATCGTTAGCTACAAGTGAGCATAAGCCTAATCTAAAGCTAAAAATAAGTTGGGCCCAAAACGGGCATTGTGTTCAAGATACGGCTAAGCCGAAGCCTAAGCTTAAGCCCTATCTAAGGCTAGTCTGAGTTTAAGCCTAAACCTAAGCTTAACCCTAAGCCTAAGCCCAAGCCGAAGCTACTCTTATGCAGAAGCCAAGCTTGGTCAAAGTTGAAGCCTAACTTACGACCAAACCCTAGCCTGCGACCTAAAGACTACACTAACGTCTTCAGTATGCCCGCTCGGGCAGATGAACTGCGGCGTGTACGAGCCGATCTGCGTCGAGGTCGTCAGCCCGACGTCGCAAAACGCCCCGCTGCTGGAGTACAACGATCGTACGAGGGAGTGCAGCATTGACGGTGGGCGATCAAGTGCTATCTGACATTAATGAGGCACGGAAAGTCGTTTTTGTGGCTTCTCCGTCACGCTGGTTTGCGATTTCCAGGATGCCCACATGGCCACCATCCCTGCAACATCCCCGAGAGAGGCGACAAGAAGATTTGCATGCCGTATTCGCATATTCAGTCCGTTGGCGAGGGTGGACGATGCAACCTGATGGATCCAAATAAGATTCCAGGTTGGGGAGGCTTTCGCACGCGCCTCTCTCTCTCTCTCTCATTCTCTCTCTCTCTCTCTCGCTTTATCTGATAATTCAGATCTAAAACCAGCGAAAGACTGCGCCGGGCTGAACAACACGGTAGCCTGCTGGGCGGGCGATGACTACGCATGCTTCCCCTTCGAACGTTTGACATCGATTAGACTCGACGACGACAACAAGACAATCTGCAGATTTGGACGTAAGGAATAGACGTATACATTGAGAACTTGGTTCCAGAATGCCCGGAAAAGGGCAAGATTCCGTGCAGCGAGGAGTGTCACCACATTGACGACATCCAAGCGGTGAAGCCGGATGGGAGTTGTGAATGTAAGGGAGATCAGGAGAGAGAGCGAGAGAGAGTGAGAGAGAGAGAGGGAGATAGAATTTTCTAGACCGGAAGATGCGTCGCGGGACCATCATCATAATCGTCGCCTGCTCGATTATCGGGGCCGTGGTGCTGATCGGTTTGGTGGCTTTGGGTGGGTGCCTTGCGGTTTTTGGGGCGACTAGCAGCGATTCTCATGGAAATTGTTGTTTGTTAACCGATTTTTAGCGAATTTTTTGGGTAGACTGGAAGCGATTCTTTGCAAAAAAAACACTTTTCTTCACTTTCCATTCCCTTTAGTCGCCCGCGCCGTCCTGAAGCGCAACGATAAGACGAAAACGGCCGACAGGCGCGACTCCAGCACGACGTCCAAGCTTCAGAAAGGTATTGGTTTTGAAAAATTTACGAGAATTCCAGGTTTAGACAGCGACGACGAGAAGCGGCCCTTCATGCCGTCGAAGAAGCAGGAAGCCAGCAAAACCAAGCACAAAGCCTAGAAACTCGACTATTGTATACCATAAATTGCCCCCCCGCCATCCATCCCGCAAATTCCGTGTCTATGCTAAATAGGATGCTAAGAAGTAGAAATGTGCAGCTGTGTTTGTGATGTGATTGCGATGTGGGGATGAATAAATTGTCGAGCGGAATTTGGTGCATAACGGAAGCAAAAGTGCACTGTTTTTCGCGGCTCCTTCTGCCTGCGGTCAGGCGACTTCATCAATTCAGCACAGAAGCTTTTTAGAACAGTGCCGGCGAAAATATTTTTGTATTGACGCGATGATCTCCGGTAGATCGTTGTTGATCCGGCGAAGTGTTTTTGCGGATCCAACATGTTCTTTCAAAGTAGTCGTGGGTGGAATACATTAAGGTGAAGCAAAGGACAACTGTTGATAGGCATATCGAGCGCTGACGACCTTCTGGTGAAGAAAAACATCAAAACAAGCTGCCTATAAAAGAATCTGGATGTCGAGGGAAGTCACAGTCGGCTTTGAAACACCTTACCTCTCAGTTTATCAGCTAGGCAACTTTTCAGCTAGATACCTTAGTTTTTTTGAATGTCTGAATCTCCGACCCTTCGGGGTTCTTAAAACCGAATATTTCTATGACTTTAGCCATCTCAACTGCTCGCTTTCGTACAGAATCCCGACTTTAGTTTGACTACAATATTTTTCTAGCTTACTACAACCACAACCAACGCAATCAAAATGCCCGGAATCATCGAGAAGACCAAGGACGCCGTCAGCAACGCTGCTGAGGCGGTGGGTGTTTTCGAAATCTTCTAGGCTGATACTGAGCTTCTAGTTAGCCCAATGCTCTCTATTAATGTGCTATCATGCTCATTTTCCAGGTGAAGGACAAAATGGCCGACCTGACCGGAATGTCGCACGAGGATCGGGCCAAGGATTCGGCCCGCAGCGCATGGGAGGAGACCAAGGATAAGGCTTACGATAAGGTAACCGCGAGAAAGCGAGAGAGAGAGACAGAGAGAGAGAGAGAGAGAGATAGCGAGAGGACTCGCTTAATGCCTTCAATTTATCCTATTTTCAGAAGGAGGACCTGAAGGATTGGGCGCACGACAAGGCCCGCGAGGCTGACCGCAAAATGGACCGCTACTAGACGCTCCGGAATGTACACAGGATAACAAGTTGCCATTAATAATGCACTTCTTCTTCTTACTGCAATAAAATTCACACCCAAAAACCTCAACCAATTTTGTAATGCGCACTTTATTCATTGCCCTCAACACACGTATTGTACAGACACGGCAAGAATAGGCTGAATTAAGGATACAGAATTAAGAAAACAAGAGTAGTCAGCTGAAAAATTACACACGAACCGTGGGGCGAGTGATCGGGACACGGGGGGTCGTCACTTTCGGACGGGTAACATGGGGCACGGTTACGGTAGGACGGATGTGCTTTGGGGTAGAGACACGAGGACGGGTCACTCCACCAACATGCGGCTTTGTCACCCTCGGACGAGTGACATGGGGTACGGTAGGGCGAGTGGTATGTTTGACGGTTGGGCGAGTGATATGGGGTACGGTAGGACGAGTGATTTTGGTGACCGGACGGATGGAGGGACGAGTGATGTGGGGGACAGTAACCGAGGGACGGGTCACGGTAGGACGGGTGACTTTTGGGGTAGAGATTGAGGGCATGGTGACCGAAGGGCGAGTCATGTTGCCGGGTACCGTAACGCGGGGAGTGGTGATATGGACCGTTGGGCGGGTGATGCGCGTGGGCACCGCTGAAAACGTATGTTATAATCCGATGGCGAGAGCGGAAGAGAGCGGGCTAGAGATGGAGATAGAGAGAAAGCGAGGGAAAGAGAGAGAGAGAGAGAGAGAGAGAGAGAGAGAGAGAGAGAGAGAAAGAGAGAGAGAGGTGAAGATTTATGAAAGATACTTCTAAGCATGGTATAATTCGTTAGCGAGATATAGAGAGAGAGAGAGAGAGAGAGAGAGAGAGAGAGAGAGGGGGAGAGAGATGTGGAGATATCTTTAAAAAAACTTACTAGCATAAGCCGCAGCCAGCAGCACCGAGGAGACGAGCAGGAATTTCTAAAAAAGCTAAATTCAAGCTGAAGACTGATTACCATTTTTTGGGTTTTTAGCAGAAGCGAACGAAGCGAAGCCGAATAAGCGAAGTCGGATGAGCTCGATGCTTTTCGACCCGACGTGCACTGCTTTTATAGCCAACGAACGCCCATTTTGTTTTCATTACCGCCCAATATTTGCCCAAGTTCGGCGCCCAACTTCGCTTTTTCGGGTCTGACCCGACCGGGTTGGGCCATTGTCGTCGCCCGTCGACCATATTATTTATGCACTCTTCCCGGTCAAATCATAATAAAAATAGTAGGCTTGGGCGTTCGAGCAAAATAACTGGCTAGACTTGGGAAAGGTTGGGTTGAATCATCAAAACAGCAGCGTTACGGTTGGAATTATCGATTTAGCAAATTCTTCAGGGACCAGGATGGCCCGGGAAAAATTGGCAAAAAGCGAACTCACTGGATTTAAAATCGCCGAAAAATTTGGAAGCTAATATTTTTTGTGGAAAATTTAATCTATAAAATCAAGGGACTCTTCGATGGAATAAAATCGAGGCGAAACAAAATCTATTTCATTCTTCATATGCCGTTTTTTTCATCTTTGTAATTTGCCATTGGAGTATCGATCCTGGACATTTTACGTATCTGGCGTCCCAAAAAATCGACCAATTCCAGCGTGCCGCATAACTGTCCCATTTTGGCGATTTAGGTTTAGGTAGTCGAAAGCACTCGAAACGGCGAGAAAACAGACGCTTTTCGTTTTTCATTATGAAGATTTTAATTCATGAATTTTAGGACAAAATTTCATAAAAACTGCAGATTTTTTTGAAAGATCTGCATGTGAAATGCTAGCTGAAGCTAAAAGGACGACGCTGTTTTTACCTTTTTTTGAACAATTCGTTTGACAACGGGCGCGGGCTATAAAAATTTGGTAAAACGAAAAGTGCTTGTTTTCTCGCTTTTCCGGGGGCTTTAGAATCGTGTAAAAATAATGCCGGTGGACCTTTCTTCGGGCCGCTAGAGGGAGGTAAATCTTCTTGTGACTGCATGTGGCATATTTCGTGTGGCATACACTAAATAAGTGGCATATTTCGTGACTTTTGCACGCTAATAGCCTTCGGCGCAAGGAGAAGTAACGGGTAACAACAAGGTGGACAAAATTAGCCATTAGTAGTAGATGAGTCAACGGAAATGACGCATGCCGAGTATCTAACTATTTCTTGTAATTCCGGGGATCAATTTGTTTCGAGATCGCTGCGATCGTTTAAAAGGCAAGGTCATGCCATAGTTGGTCCTATAAGATAAAATCCAATTTCTCTCGAATCGTCGAAAAGGGGGCAGCAGCAGTAGCCGATCACTTCCTTGTGCGACTCCTGTGGGCAAACCAGAGCCGCGTTCGCCAGCTCGATTTTCCGATCTTTCGGATCACTACTGCACTAGAGCTTATTTTACTGATTGGATAAATTGCTGATGCGCCGGATAACTTTATTACTGTTTATTTTAGCTGTGATATGCCCAGGTTTGAATATTTTGCCATGCAAATCATGCACATGCACCATCGAATTTTTCAGAAGCCTCTGCCGGATTCATTACTAATGCCATCTGGAACTTCTTTAGCGGCACAAAGTCGAGCGTCCCGGAGAGTGTAGCTATCCTGGCTTATAAAAATCTGGTACGTGACTTAAGCAACTTTTAAGAAGATTGAATTACGATTAAAATAATTTATTTTAGAACTACAAACCTGGAGATGCCTTCCCGAAAATTAGCGTCGATAAGCCTCTAATTAATGGCCAATTCGTGCATCTACGAGGTGTTTTGAACTATAATCATGTCGAGTGAGTTTTCGATTCAATTTATCATAGATCATTTATCATTTATCTACATTTAGAAACGCATGAACACAATCGTAAAAAAAAATAAAAAAATGCGACTTTTACAGTTTTTGCGTCAATTTTCAAGGCCGAAACGCTTCGCTGAATTCAGTATCGATTTGTTCAACGTCTACTTCCGAGACCAATCAGCCCAGTACGGAAATCGGCTAGTAACATTCTTCAAATTTTTAGTTTCCCCAAAATTCACGTTTGAATCCCGATTCTCGAATGGTACTGTGTTGAGGGACAGAGCAACGAATGGGATGGGGGTAAAATGAATGACATTTGATTTCTTAGTTTTACAAAGTTCAGGCGGGAACTCGTTTCGACTTCCGGGTTCGGATCTTGCCGAGTCATATTCAGGTAAAATTCGCATTGCGTTGATTAATGAGACTTTCATTAATAAGTATAACAAAATTGGATATACAAGCTTAAAAACGGAACTCTGTCATTTGGTATTTATTGAACTTAAATTATTAGAAAACGCTAAATGAAATCTATTTTAGGTCTTCGCAAACCGCGGAGAAATCGGCATCTTTGACAAGCCCGATACCATGAGTACAGTAAGTTTTTGGATTTATGCAATAAAGTGCGTTTCTTAGGTAACCGCCATCACGGTGTCCGGAAATTTCTCCGAAATTCAAGTTTTCACGTAAGTGCCTTTGGTGAATTAACCTCAAAAGTTTTGGGCTGACCGGAGCGATGTATCTCATGCCTGCTCGACTACCTGCAGTCTTCAACGTTGGCGATAGGATTGATGTGGTGGCGCAACCGATAGCCATTGGTCAGTTTTAGCTTCCACCATTTGCAGTGATTTTCGCATTAATGATAAGCGAGTGATAAGCGTCTCAATTTAAGGCATTTATCGCGGCCCAAAGAACCTTGCTTACTTGACAAACCATATAATTTCATCTGCATTACAGTCAAAGACCTCTCAAGCTACAAAAAACTTCTTGGCGATGATGTCAAGCAAGTCTCTACAAATATCACCATTTCAACGAATTCCACGACCGCTAGTCCGCTACAAACTACAACAAATGGCACCAACACCAAGCCCACTGACCTTTTCCACATCGATGAGTCGTTCCAGGCCATGGCAAACAGTATGGAAAAATGGCGACCAAAAACCCAAATTGGATCTTAGGTGCTGTTGCTGATCTTGGGACGAACGCGACGGCCGCTGCTGAGAAGATGATCAAATTGGGAGAAGTATTGCTGGAACAGGAAAAGAACAGAACGAAGAGGAAGACTAGCCGAGGGAGTCGGTAGGTCGAGCTCACTCAAGTTCTCTCTCACTCTCTCCCCGCTCTATCTCTCTCTCTATCGATCTCTTTCTCTCTCTCTCGATCTTTGTCTCCATCTCTCGTTTTTCAGAACTCACTCCAGCTTTTCGGGCCACACCTCCGGAGGCTCCCACACGTCCGGGTCTTCCGGATCGCACTCCAGCTGGCACGGGTTTGGTTCCGGCTCTTCCGGGTATCATCCCCAGACTTCCAACCCGACGCATGGACATTTCGGTGGGAATTGGGGCTTATCGATACTTAAAAAGGCGATTCTGGCTACCACCCCAGGCGTCAAATCCTAAAAAAAGACATTTCGGTGATTCCGGAAGCAATTCCGTGTTTTTCCGGAGCGGATTTGGAAACCCATGCTCCCAAAAATGGAAATTCCGCATTATCCTGATACCATCCCCAGGCGTCGAATCCTAAAAACGGACGTTTCGAAGAGACCGGATCCCTTACCGGTTATCATCCCGAACTCATAACCGGAAAAACGGCCATTTTGGAGGTAGCAGCGGTAGCAGCTGGCACTCTTCCGGATCGTCCGGCTCCTCTTGGTCTTCCGGATATCACCCTCAGACCTCAAACCCATCAAGCGGCCACTTTGGAGGCTGGTCTCATCCTTCAAGCCCGAGTTTGCCGTCCGGACCGATATATTTCCATGGCTGTAAGTTACAGAGTTTTTTATACTGATAACCTTAAGACTATGTTATGGTTTCTGGTTCCATATTTAGCTAACGATCGAGGTCACTCAGCTGCACGATGGGCTTCTGGGCATGGCGGTGAGTTTTTAGACATTTCCTGCACCTGTTTTGGTTAAAGCTTGCCAAAGTTGAAAATACGAAAATTACTCAATTTTAGCTACCATCGGTGGTGCTGGCGCAGGCTTTGCTGGAGGCTATACAGCGGGCTATCTGGCGGATTCGTATGTGCCTAGCTACAGGTAAGTCTTGAAATGTCGAACCGACGTCTCTTCTCTCTCTGTTTCTCTCTCACTCTCTCTCTCTCTCTCTCTCTCTCTCTCTCTCTCTGTCTCTTTCTTTTTTGATGCTCATAAAGCCATGAGTTTGTTGTTAGGAAAAACTACTGTGAATTACTATAAAATAATTGACCATAACTTGTCTTCTAATTTTAGCTATCGCTACAACGGAAATACCTACTACTCGTCGAGCTGCTACGACTGTGGTTACCACAGCTGCTACTCGTGCCATTCCTATGGATATCGTTCGCGATATAGGTCGTCTCCTACCCGAGTTCAGCAGCAGGCTAATGTCCCGCAGAGTAAGAACACTTTTTTCTACCCATTTTCCAATATTGTCCATCTCCTCTTCCAACTGTTCTAACTATCGTTTAGGTAACCGAATCGATATCTCGCTCCTTAAGCCCGATGGAACTTTTGGGTTTACGGTAGGTTATGCGATCTTTTTTTCTCTTTCCAAATTATTATAGCAAGATTCCGGTTTCAGATCTCGATTCGCTACTCTGAAAATCGATTCGTAATGAATAGCTTCCAAGACGGTATCTGGGAAAAGGAGATCAGCCGCGATATACCTTTCCCCAACTGGAAAATGTAAATTTAGGTGTTTTTTTCTGAATGACACCGGTTTTTAGATGCGATTTGACGATCCAGAACTACCAAGAGGGTCTCGGTATTTACATTAATGGAAAGAAGATCGCGTTTTTTGATCATCGAGACGCTACCAGGGATTTGGACAAGATTTTGATCGATCGGGACGTTGAGGTAAGTAGTAGTGTAGTTTGCGCTCATTGTATCTCTCTCTGCCTCACTCTCGCTCTCTCTTACTCGCTCTCTCTCTCCCGCTCTCTCTTTTGCTTGCTCTCGCGCTCTCGCTCTCGTTCATGCTAATTTTTTAGGTCTTCGGCATCTACCGTAACGGCGAACTCGTTACGGTATGATAATCTTCTCCATTATGTCAAAAGCAAACGCGAATATGAACGAAATATCCTTTCGTAATTTATCGCATCAGAATTATGAATTACCGTCTAAGAAGCATCAAAAACAGGGCAAATGCAAATCAGAAATGACAGATCGTGGGTATATTATGGAATGAAATGAAGGTGATGGAATACTGTAAAGGCAGGCAAACTGTAAGCGGCCACGGGTATAAATTAAGCGTCTAAAGAAAGACTTCTACCAGGGAAACACTTCCCCGTCGTAGTTATAGAAGCCACCATTGTGTTTTTGCTCCAACTTTGAGCAGGCCTCGACGAGTTGACTGATCGCGTCACTTGCCTGAAAACTCGAAGCATTTAAAACGCGACAGTATGATGGTGAGTTTAAATGAACCGGGAAGGCAAAGATTCAGAATCTACCAAGACGAAAAGTCATGCGCGCTGCATTATTGGCCCTGTTTACAGGGTGTCCCAAAAAAAAAACGACCCATCTGGCATTTCGCCGTATTACATCCAATCGGCCCCAAATTTGGACCAGGGGTGTATCATACCCTAAATAACAACAATCCTGACTTTTAGCCCCATAGCTACAGTAGTTTTAAAGTTATAACCAAAATAAACTTTATTTTCCATTTTTCATAGGGTTTCCGTGGAATTAGACCCCCCAGACATTAAGTGAAAAGGATTCGGTAGGCCTTCTTTACTCGAAGAAATTTTTTCCGGACCAGAATTAATCAAATAATCGTTCAATTAAGCGATTTTTACAACACAAAATTACCCAAGTTCTTAAGCGAAATTAGGGATTCGCAGCCGGAAGTTGATGCAAATCGATGCAAAGTCCAAAACGATAGCCGAAAACACTGTTTAGAATTGCGTCAAAAACAGTATTTTCGTTATAACTCGAGAAAGACTGTAGCTACGGGGCTAAAAGTCAGGATTGTTGTTATTCAGGGTCTGATACACCTATGGTCCAAATTTGGGTCCGGTTGGATGTAACACGGCGAAATGCCAGATGGGTCGTTTTTTTTGGGACACCCTGTATGTTCCGGGGATGATCAGGTCGTCCTTTAAAAAAATCGAGCCCGTGCGAGCAAACTTTTTGATGCCAACACAGTGTAATAGTGGGTAGTTTAGCCCCGTTACTAGGAGTTCAACGTACCTCCAGAGGCGCATCTTTTCCTCCCATATCTGTTTGGCACCATCCTGGGTTAAACGCGACTACGAGGATTCCTTCCGAATCCAGGTCTTCAGCAAGGGTGTGCGTGAATTGGTTGAGGGCCGCCTGAAGCGTAGGGTTCGCCTTTGCTTGCTTTCTCTCTCTCTCTCTCTCTCTCTCTCTCTCTCTCTCTCTCTCTCCCTTCCTCACCTTGCTGACTTTATACGGCAACCACCCTCCCCAGCTCCCCGGAAAATCGGGCTTGCTGATCGACCCGAAGTCGGAGGACATATTGATGATGGCCGCGTGGCTCAAGCCCCAGCTTCCGGAAAAAGCTGCCTTCCGGATGAGTGGTAGGAAGTACTAAAAAATAGAGTATACAGGCCAAAAAATCTTACATGTGTCACCATAATCGGGGAGGTCGTGTTTGGGCTCAGCTGTTGCTCTAGCTGAAAATGACGAGTTCGAGCAGGTCAGCTTTAGTCAATTCTAACAGGCCGAAGGTTACCAAGCCAAAGCCTAAGCCACCTAGCGCATTAATGACACTCTCAACGTACCTTCTTCCTATCCGGCTTATCCGAAAAGTTGTACTCCACCCAGACGCCGGCGTTGTTGATCAGGCAGTTGAGCCCGTACTCGCCGACCACTTTTGAGACCTGGAGATGATCCGCTTTATCGGATTTCTGGCCCATAATCTACCTCCTCAACAGCCGAAGCGATCGTCTTGTCACATTCGACATCAAGTTTGACGACAACCACCCTAGCGTCGCTGATGGCGTTCAACTCGTCGGCTTTATCTGGGTTTCGGACACCGGCAAAGATGTGTAGCACCTAATAATAGACATAAACGGGTTCTTAGAAGCGCGATTCTTCCGCTTCCTGGCCCCTTTAAATATAGTACCAATCGTTACGGATGATTTTCTACGAGAACCTTGCTGTCACCACCCCTTAAAACCAGTCAACCAGGATCAAAATCCTCTTACCCACCTCCTTGTGCTTCATGAACTCCTTGACGAGCGTGAGGCCGAGCCCTCGGTTGGCCCCGGTGATCAACACCGATCTGGGGTACTGTTGATGCATTTTAGATCCTAGAATATAGCGCTACATTGTCTATTAGTTTCAAAAATTTGAATGGACTTGAAAATCTGCTTTGACAGGCGTTACAGTATTAAAAACGGATTCCACAGTATGCCTGGTCCTCGACCGTCGTCTTGTCAAAAAAAATTCGAAAGTGAAGAAAATTTATTGCAACAGTACATAATTAGAATGATAATTGCGATACATAAATTTAACTTAATGTAAATAATGGCAGGTAGATAGATGAGATACGGTAATTTGGATAGTGGAAAAATTTAAATTACAAGGCTAACACGAAAAAACGCGGTGAAAAAATATGAAAGAAAGAGAGAGAGAGAGAGAGAGAGAGAGAGAGAGAGAGAACGAGAGAGAGAGAGAGAGAAGGAGAGAGACTGGGGGAGAGCAGCTAGATCATTTACCACGGAATAACCTCTCCCTTGTTGTCAAAGTATCCGCCCTGGTGCTTGTGCTCCAGGTGCGAGAACGACGTCACCAGGTTGCTGGCGGATTCCTCGATCTGAAATTAGCATAAATTCGAGAAAATTCTGCAGTTTAAATTAACGTCATCTAGGGCCCACTATAACACGAAAGCCAGAGAAAATTGGGTTGAGACTCCAAATATCTTTTTTTTGTTTTGCAGGGCTCAGCGCCGTTGTATACCTGTGTGTACAAAGGGTCGGAGGGGATTTCCTGAAATAGGGTTTGACAGACACAACATTAGAAGCAAAGAAAGAGCGGGAGAGAGATAGAGGGGTGGGGGAAGAGAGCGAGCGATATGAAAGTGAGAGAGTGAGTGAGTGAGTAAGAGAGGGAGAGAGCGGAAAATTTGCGTTTTTAAGCTTACGTCGGTAGGGGCTTCCTGTCCTCCCATAGCCGTCTGAACCCATCCCGGGTGGAAAGCCGCTACCAAAATTCCATCAGCATCCAGGTCTTCGGAAAGAGTGTGCGTGAACTGGTTGACGGCGGCCTTAAAAATGTAACATTTTTGGCACATTTTCAGGCCTGTTTTTATTGCCGTTAGACGCCAGATCTATTCGAATCGATCTATGTCTCACCTTGCTGCACTTGTAGGGGATGAAGCCCTTCTCTCCGGAGCCCTTGATCCCAGCAGAGGTAATTGAGCCGAAATCGGAGGAGATGTTCAGGATCGCTGAAGACCATTAAATTTTCTGGATTGCTCTCTATATTTCTCTCTCTCTATCTCTCTCTCTCTCTTTCTCTCTCTCTCGCTCTGTCTTTCTCTTACCTGCGTGCGCAACTCCCCAGCTGCCCTGGTAGGCGGCCTTCCGGATCAGTGGCAGGAAATTCTGAATATTGTTTTTATTACATCCTTCGGCTATCATAAAATAAAACTGAAGACAAAGAAGAGGATCCTTTTAAGAGAACTTCAAAATCCCTTACATGAGTCACCATAATTTGGGAGACGACGTTGGGGAGTAGCTGGTCTTCTAGCTGAAAAAAAACGATAGAGAGAGAAAGAGAGAGAGAGAGAGAGAGAGAGAGAGAGAGAGAGAGAGAGGGGGAGAGAAAGCATGAGAGAAGGCAATAAGTGCAGAAGGGCGCGAACTATATAAAGATTTCGCATGCCTTTTGCCGATTCGGCGCGTCGCTAAACTTGTAGGGGATGAGGACGCCGGCATTGTTGACCAGGCAGTGCAGCCCCTCTTCACCAACAACTTTGCTAACCTAAAACGCAGGAATATTTTTAGCTTACTAATCGAGTTATTATACGTCGAAAACTTTTGTTTTTGTTTAAATTATTTGCATTTCAAAATACCTCCTGCACGGCCGCCTCAATCGACTTGTCACAGTTGATGTCGAGCTTGACGACGGTCAGCCGGGCGTCGGTGATTTCGTTCAGTTCCTAAAAACAATTTTTCATGTTAAACGGTGTTTGGAAAATTGTTTAAATCAATTGCTTAAAAATTTGATGGCACTGTCACTTTAAAGGGACTGTAAAAGGTAAATCTATTTCCACTGTAACTGCCATTTTTGCATTATTCTTTTGGAGGGATATTCCAGGTATATTTAAAGTGCCATCCTAGCTTACCTTCGCATTATCCGGATTCCGCGTACCGGCAAAGACGTGTTCGACCTCCTTGTGCTTTAAAAACTGCTGGACAAGACCGAAGCCGATTCCGCGGTTGGCTCCGGTGACGAGGACGGACTTCGGGAATTGCTGGTGGACCATTTTGGTTGTTGTAATTTGTGCCTAATACCTGAAATGTGAAATAACTACAATAAGCATGAAAAGCACGTTTTAGAAAACAGAAACGTAAAATTCCATTCTAAAACGCTTTAAATGGCTTGTGAAATCAGAAATAGGTCCAGTCACGGTAGAAAAGTCCAGGCGTGACTTTTTTCAAAGGAAATTGACGAGAAACTGGGCCTTAAGTTAGAAAGGAGTAAAAAGATCTATTAAAAAAAATTGAGTTTTGGAAATCGGTAAAAACTGTCGACGATCGATTCAGAAAGAATTAAAAGAAATTTGCCACAAAAAAACCCCCAGGAAAATACTGTTTTAGAGGAGCGTCTCTACGTTTTAAAAAAATTGGGGAGGGGCAAGCGCTTTGTTGCAAAAAAAAAGAGAATGATGTGACTGCCGCCTCTAAAAAGAGCGAGAATGTTCTGGAAAAGCAGATGGCGTCTTGCCGGCCGGGGCTATGGGAATATGGCAACAATATACGCATCTGTCCTTTCTCCGAAATGGCTGATAAGAGCCTTGTGTAAAAAGGGTCGATTTCAACGAAACACTAAAGTATCGAGGGCGGGACATTGAAGGGGTTTGCCGCCTTGCCTTTCCAAGATCAAATTTTGAAATTTTCAAAGCGAAAAAGACGGAGAAATGAGAAGCAAATCTTCCTCGGGTCGGAACTCCAAAATTCCGTTAAGGTAAGTCAGACAACGATTCAAAAGTCAGGTTTCTGGAACATATGACTTTCTTAAAGATATTTCTAGAGTAAAACATAACTTTTTGAAAGCATAACTTTCGGCAGACTTTAGGACGTCTAACATGTGGCTTGGGCTGTTTGTTTGTGGTTTGTGGGCGAGCAAAGAGCCTTTCGGCTTTGAGAAACTAAAAATGTTGGAATTTCGTGGGGTTTTTTTAGCGTCAAAAGTATTTTGCGTCATCTGTAAACCGTTACGAAGAACAAAAGTAGCTATATTGTCAGAAAAAAAAATAAATAAATTGATGGATGCTAGCAGGGGCGTAGCCAGAAAAAAATTTCGGGGGGGCCCCCAAAAATTTTTTAAAAAAAACACAAACCGTGGCGGAAACAGGGGCGCGGGCGAAAAATTTTTTTAAAAGGTTTTTTTTTTTTACCAAAATACCCGTAGGGGGTGAAAGGGGGCGGGGGGGTAAAAAATTTTTTGGGTGTAAAAATAGTTTGGGTTCCTTTTTTTTTTTTTTTGGGTTCGGGGGGGGGGGGGGGGGGGGCCGGGGGGGGGGGCTCGCCCCCCCTGGATGCTAATAACGAAGAATATTGAAAAATAAATTTCAACCCTGATAAACCTATAAAAAGCTGGTTGCTGCGCGCCCGATATAAAGTTTTTTTCCGGCGCAACTGCAAACTCACTTTAATAAAGCTAGGGCGTTGAATAAGCGGGTGTTTTTGGAGATACTTGTAAGAAAAACGGATAAAGCCCTTGAAATCACCTTAAATACCACTCAAATCTAGGCCAAGCCCCGGTCAGTAAATAAAATCCGAGTCGGCGGATCAGGTAGTCCATTTTTTCTGCGTGGCCGGGTTGTGAGACTGTGGGCCGGCGGCACGTAAACAACATTTTCGGGGCGGTCCGGCGGGCTGCGTTGCTGGGGTCGAAAAGGGGCGAGAGAGAGCGAGAGAGAGACGGAAAGAAACCGGAAAGAGGACCAAAAAGGAGTGAAAGCGGCCGGTGGTGGAGACGCCAGGCGACCTGAAAACAGGCCCAAAAAACGCACAACCCCGGCAAAAAAGCGGCAAAGAAAAGGCGTAAAAAGGAGCGTTCTCGAAGGAGGGAGGGCATAGTATCTCTTTCTGCTTTTTCTGACTCCCCCCAATTGTCTAGAGCCGACCTGCCCCCGGGAATCCACTTCAAAATCCGGCGGAAAGCGCGAAAAAGTTAACTGATTCGGAATGGGGTCCCAGATGTGGAAGTGGGGTACTAAAAATAATGCACTATGCTCGGGAATGCGGCTGAAAATAGCGGAAGCCTTTCTCCCCTCTCTCTCTCTCTCTCTCTCTCTCTCTCGCTTTTTGTTTTTTTCCTCTTATTCACGCTTCGTAGGATTCGAAGACCAAAATGTCTCGAAATCAAAAATTAAAATAATGCCAAATTCCCTAGCAGGAATCCCTGAAAAAAAGACGGCTGGAAAATCTTGCCCTCCGAAAATTCTTCCCGGAATCGATTTGGAAATATAAAACCTCAGCAGAGGCTTAGGCCGCTGCTCCGAGAAGGGACATGAAAAAATTTTTTTTTTTTTTTTTTTTTTTTTTTTTTTTTTTTTTTTTTTTTTTTTTTTTTTTTTTTTTTTTTTTTTTTTTTTTTTTTTTTTTTTTTTTTTTTTTTTTTTTTTTTGAACGTGGGCTTAGTGAGCATAAAACGTTTCAAAAGTAAGAGGAGATAGGGGGAATGAGAGAGAGAGAGAGAGAGAGATGGAGAGAGAGAAAGAGAGAGAGAGAGAGAGAGCGGGGAGAAGGGGGAGAGAAAGATTAAGAGAATTAATATACCAGACAAACTTTTCATTCTACCGGCCAGACAACTGCCCTGCAGCGAATTCCAGGCTGACCTCGACTTGATTAAAAGCACCCTTGGGGGTTGGTGGTGAAGCATTTGGGTCCCGAAGAGCGTTGGAGTGCAAGAGGACTCCAGCTGGGTATGTCTAGACCGATGTTTTGGACGTTCAAAAGTAACAAAAAAAGGATCCGAATAATCAAAATCTTAGCCATTGATCCTTTCAAAGAGCCTGGATCCCGCAATAATTCGCGATTTGCCTTTGCGACACGATTCCGGCAAAATGCCAACACCAAAACGCCGATAGAAACATTTTTGTTGCAAACCTGGAATGCCAATTTCTGCTGTATTTCTGTGGCTGCCGGTATTTGTTTGAGCGGCAGAAGGCGCCCTTGATTTTACCTGTTGGTTTAAAGCAAGTCGTTACGAATCAGCGTTGAATTTCGAAAATTAGGTTAACTGACTTCGTCGAAGCTCAAATTTGTCGAGATTTCAAATCAAGTTTCTCAATTTCACGTTTCGACAACATGAAACGACGGCTGGAACCTTTGAGATTTGCTCGCTGGTCATGCTCTGGAATTTTTGTAATGGCAGTATTAAATTTAAACAAACGTTTAAATAGAAAATTCGATTTCTGACTTGATCACGATCTACCGAGATTCGAAATCCGTCACAACAACAAAACCTCGCATTTGGTTGTACCCGATTTCCTTCACCAAACCTCCTTCCTCCCGTCGAGCTCAAAAAAACCAGAAAATGTTCATCATTTTTGTGGGGGTTTTCAAAATCCGAGTTTGACCACGCCGGCGGTCAGTCACACCCAGCAATAATTGGCCATAAGCCGCGCTTGCCGATTTTCAGGCTTATTCGCTGAAGCCGAAAAAGTGGGGTGGCCGATGAGTTCGGAATCTGTGTCCCCAAAAAAAGGTGAGTGGTGGCGCTAATTGGCGGAAAAATCGGCAGAGTATAAAAGGGGGAGGTTCATGGAGAGCAGAGATAACGATTTGAAGCTTTCCGGGATTACGGTAACCGGAAGTCATTAATACATCGATTTTCCCGTGTTTTAATGGTATGACGATTTCAGCAGCTTGGGGTTGCCAATTTTCCATCAAAAAATTAAAAAAGGGATTTTCAGCGCTTAATCATGATTACCGTAACCGTAAGTTAATCCTAATGCTGCGTCGCTTTTCTAGCAGTTTAATTGTTAAACGGCTTCGAGTTACTTGGGGCCCTCGGTTCGAAAATTTGTAACAAATCCTTGCTTTTCAAGCTTTTTTTTGCGTGTTAGATCAACCGCTATTTTTAACACTTAAAATTAACTTAAAAATCATAAAATCAATTTTCAAACTTATTGATTTAGAGCAACTCATACCCCATGCCTCATAGCTTTTCAGAGGTTTTTATTTTGCAAATCCTAGCCTTGGGCAAAGCCTGAGTTGAAACTTAACGCAAGCATAAGATTAAGGTGGATTTTCTCTAGCTGGGCTTTTTTTCGGTTTCTTCAAAAATTTTATGCTACCTCATTGTGAATTTTTTACATGTAACACCCTGTAGAAACCACAGTCATCTGCTGATTCCAGTATCTCAACACCTCTGGGCAACCCATCAACAACACTACGCAATGAAATTCGTCGCGGTCAGCTTGACCGTTGTAAGTTGATTATGTAGTTTTTATCATACCCAAAACATACCAAAAAACGTCTCAATCCAATATTATTCACGCAAATCCTCAATTATTTTCCAGCTTCTCGTCGGCGCCCATGCGGCCAGCATCGCCACCGGTAATTTCAAATATTTCCTTAAGTCAAAGCTCAGACTAAAAACGTTGGCAAGTGGAATTTTACATTAATTGTATCTGGACGTTGTTCCAGGTGAATCCCAGGCGATTGGCAGCATCATGTCAAACATGCAGGCTGGTGACGACTTCAAGACCGCTCTCGAGAAGGCCAAAAACACGGCGGTAGGCTTCAAAAAAAACTATGTCCTTTCTCTCTCTCTCTCTCTCTCTCTCTCTCTTTCTCTCTCTCTCGCTGCCTCAGCATCTCCCAAAAAAACACTCTCCTCTCTACCTCTCTAACTCTCTAGCGCTCTCGCCCTCTCTCATTATTTCTCGCTCTGTCGTCCCATCTCATTGACTGTCTCTCTTTCTCTCTTCTCTCTCTCTCTCTCTCTCTCGCTTTCTGGAACTGATTCCTACAATGAATTCTCGATTCAGAGTGGCGCCGCGCAGAACGCGCTAAACGACTTGAAGAGCAAGTTCCAGCAGACAGTCGCCCAGGCCCAGGCCTCCATGCCCACTGCTGATGTACGATGTGGTTGTGTTTCTCAAATTTTTTATTTAATTTTTTCTAGTTCAATTATTTTCTAACATTTTCTAAACAATTAGGGACCGAGTAGACTGAAAATCAACCATACCTACAAGCTAAGTTGTTCACTTTCAGGACTTGAAGGCGCAAGTTCAATCGATGCACATCA